CATGGCATTCTACTGCAAATATTAACAGCTAAATGTCAAAAGGCAAGCATGTTGTTGCTCCCATTGTACCAGTAAATCTTATTCAAAGATGAATTATAATATTTCATAACATAGATTTTTCTTATAACAGTTTGAAATATCAAGTGACACAGTCAACCAATGAATATTTGGAAAGCAATAATATTTTAAAAGATTTTAAATATCACATCTCTGGAGACATGTGTCTTAGAAATTCTAGGTGATTATAAAATTGGATATCAAAAATCAGAATATTTTGAAATCTCAAATAGAACCAAATCTGGATGAAGTCACGAAAGCTGTTCCTTTGGGAGATAATTCTACAAATTTGCCATTAGATTTGATGTTAAATCTCTTTTGGACTGGATCTCCTTCTACAGACGATTCAACGGATTCTATCACACATAACTCATTCTTTTACTTTCACATCTCGTAAAGACACATCAATTTCAAGGCCAAGATGATTATGAAATGATTCCAAAACAGAGAACACCCACTAAGGAATGGACAGCTCAGGGTTCACTAACAAATCTACAGCTCACCAGCTAATCTCTTCACTACAATTCTCTTTAAATCTCAATTTCATCTCAGGGTTTCAAGGATGATTCTTTGTTTTTACATTTATTTAGGTTCATGTAATGTAACATCACTAGGTCCCACTGTCAGAATCCAGTAATCATTCAATGTACATTTGTGTTGGACATAAATTTTCAAAAGTTTGGAACTATCCTAACAATTCAAATCAGTTTTAACTGAAATATCATAATGACATAATATGATTAAGAGAAAAAAATTGTTAGAAGTGTTGGTCTTTCTTTATTTCCAAGGACTGTAAAGATCACTTTTACAGATACAATTTGTATATATAATACAGTATCCAATGTTTATCATCTAGGACGAAAATTGTGGTATATTAATTATACAGTGTATATCATTAGCTTCAAATTTATTCTAGATAACGATCATAAATTGCACTGAGATATCATAAGTGTCAAAGATATCTGAAGTTGTGACGATCTTTCCACTGAGATTTTGCAATGCCTGTCTTTGGTTTGGATATACCTATGCTACAACTGCACTTATTAGTATCATAATTAATCAACTTTACAAATTACTATCTTGATCTATGTTAAATTAACATTTTTGATAAAACTTCATTTCATAAAACATAAAATTTGTATACATGGCAATTCATTCTGATGACTTATATACCTAAATAATGAAAAAAAAAATCCTGCATAATACAAATGAAATTAAATATTACAACATTTTAACCTTGCATTCTGACCACTTGATATGAAGCCAATGTAATATGGAATGCAGTATGCAGTATGCAGTTTTATCTGGTTAAACAGTTTCTGACTTTCACACTCAGATTTGTCCAACACTGCTTTAGGTATAGATACATGATGTACACATGAACACCATTTCAGATTGTATATGATTGAGCACATATATACGGACAGACGGACAAGAAGGCTTAAAAAAAAGCAGTGTCATAGAGTACTTAAGCACAGACAGGAGTAAATAGGTACTTGATGGCACGATAGTCATCTTACTCACCGTTCCAGTATGATTCCTACTTGTCAACTATTGTTTCCCTTTAAAGGCTAAACCCAACACAGGTCTTTGTATTTCTTTACCTGTGGGATCCACTTCAGCTTTTTAAACCACAAATAACTGTGATCAATAGTCAAAATGGCAGCTCCGTTGGGTACTTATCATAACCGCTAAACACCTTGCTATCTGATCAACACAGAACTTATTTTTCAACATTTTTCTTATATCTTTCTTTGAAATTGTTGCAAAATATAAATAAATTTCCTTAGATGGTTTTAAGATATAAACTATAGGAGTTTTGTATGACATACTACAGTGCACAAATTTAAAACTTTAATGTTGCTGAAATTAGTATACAATTATAATTCTTCACATAAATGCTTTCGCCACAAAAAAAGTTATTCACCACATAGTAATAAAAGCGCAGCCAAAGTTTGATCAATCAAGGTTGAAATCTTACAACAAACTTCAATAGAGTATTCCATTTCTCCTACCATACATTTATGTATACAAAGCTGATGTTTTCAGCACCAGGAAAAGCACAGGGAGATTTAATTTGCATTGTTGAATTAACAGCATCCATCATCATTCACCATAGACTTCTTTTATTTCTGCCTTGTTTTACAGAATGAAGAGTGTAGAGTTGTCACTGATATTAATCTATTACAATATTTAGATGTTCTGGACATGATCAATAAAACTGAAATGACCTGTTGGTTTACATACTGTTTGTTAAATATGTATTATCAATCATTATATTCTTGCATTTTATCATTGACGGATATATATCATTACAAAATATCATTAAGTATTAACCATCCCCTCGTTCCTCATCACCCACAAATAAAAATAAATGAATAAACTAAAAAACAACAGCTAATATATAAAACATAAACAAAACCAAAAATAGTTGTATCCACATCTTTTCATAAAATATTTCATGTTATTGGAAAATGCTACTTTACTACTTTAGCCATAGGTGCTGAACACGCTAGTTAGTTCAAGATCAACTATGACCAGCAGTATAGGTCATAATCGATCGTGAACTAATTAGCAAGTTAAGCACCTCTAGTCAAAGTAGTAAAGTAGCAGTAAATAATATCTAATCTTACCAAGGAAATATTGCATAAAATATGTCATGATATAGATGTCAAAAACTTGCTTATTCTCTTTCAAAATCAGGCTGAATACAGCATCAATGTTATAGATCTGAGATCCTGAAACAGCAACAAAGATGTGCACATCTGATCCCATTGAAAGTGACCATAGACAATGCCACTGTCTTCATATAACTATATGTATGTTGTGAGGATAAAATTTATCACTGATCTTTAGCCCTGAACAGAGATGATAAATATTAATTTAAACAGATGGCAAATAGATACTATATTATTTAATTTCTTGCAGGATTTCCTAAGTGAAATAGGAGGAAGATTTGTAACATACAGCAAGATGTAATGAAATATGTGGACTGAAGAAATATATTCATAGGACATTAATGTGAAATACAAAAAAACAACATTCTCTCCATTTTTATACAGTACCGGTCTTATTTCTGGTCATGTTATTACAATGTTTTTATTTGTAACAGTAACTAGTGGAGTATTCAATAATGTCAGGAACATTAAGTTACACAAACCAATTAATATAATTTAATACAATCATTTCAAGTAACTGCCAAGCAAGCTAGAAAATTTAGACAATAATCTTGAAGCTAACTATGACCGTGGCCTGTGAACACTGATCCTTAGTACAAAGATTTTAAGCCTGTACGGTAGCAAAGTTACTGTTACTTTCTATTGCATTTTACTGAAGGTGTTTTCACTAAAGGCGACAACGAAACTTTAAGAAAGTATAAAAAAAAGTCTCTGTATGAATTGAAAATTTATCAAGAGAATGCCAAGGTTTATTTTGTTTAGGTCAGTACGTCCGCATTCCAATCACATTCCCATCTACCCCTGTGGTGAGCCCCTGTGTATTTCCCCAATACACACTGAAATGTATGCACTGATTTCCCTCAGTAGTCTTTATCAATGTATCCATATATCAATATTGCTGCATTAAATGAACTCATATAAACTTAAAACAAGTAAATTCTATCGACGGAGGCGTAGCTTTCAAGCGTCGGATTTCACTTTGTAGATGTCGCTTACTTTCTTCATAATGAACAAGCATGAAGCATTGGAGAGACCGGGTCAACACGATCGGATACGCTTGAGGGTCCCATAAAAAGTATGCCAATGGCTTGAAAAAGACAATGAGTAATAACATATTCAAAAACAACTATAAAAGAAAAATACAAACCGTCATTATTCATATCATGCCGCATTTCACGAGGAACAGTTATATTCATGGTTTCAATATCCAAACACAATATATCTTGACCTCCATATTGGAATATAGTTTACAATCACGTGATTAAAATAGATCGATTTGATTGGATTTGTCTGGAAATCGAATTTCGCGCAAAAATAGAGGTGATAGGCTAGTCAAACAAACACATGTTGGCCAAATATCTAAAAATAATTTTTAATTAATCGAAAATGTATGGTATAAAATGAACAATAATATTATATCTTGGTTACGCGTATATGAAGAAAATAAACAAAAGATATATTTAAAATGTAAGTTATTTTTATAATGAGACCTCTTTGATAGTGAGCATTCGATTTCTGTTGGAGGTATTTATTTATTTTCCAATAAAAATTACAGGATGGAAGGACAATGTTTTCCAACTTCACCCAGTTTTGACATGTTTAGAGATTCGCTACCACCGTCAAAACACGGGAATCTGAACTGCAGTATGAAAATATAATATATCCTACAATATCATGTTACTGCAGTACCAAATTAAATCAGTGTCTATGCCATTACTTCAGTAGTTCAATGATAATTGCACACACAGTGACAGTAAACGGATGATATATTCACTTTATTTTAAAAGGCTCAGACCCATTGATAAAAAAAATACAGCTAATAATAACTATATTTTTTTATTTCGGGCATGGAACCTATGTGAAGAGACAGATTGCAAAACAAAACATCACGCCAGTCGTAGTAGGGGAGGTAACACAAATATAACATGTTTTTGTTCCGACACATAATATTAAAATCTCAGTATTTCAACGGAAATCACCTAACTTTCAGATGTTTGTAACGCATATTCAGTTGTTTTACAATGTCCCCTTGTATTTGAAAGACATTTATCACATGCTTCCCTGCACGAAAAACAAGAGAGTTGTTAGACTACAAGAATCGTAGTGTGAATTTCCCGCTACACCTAAAATCTGTGTTTTTATTATACTTGAAGCACTAGAGCGTTTAAAGCGTTTGAAAGAACGCGTCGCGACCTGTCACTTCCTGTGTTTACCTCCTATCCGCTGAGTATCATATCCAACAGTCATGAAATAATGTAGTATTTAGAACATTTGGATGGCTGGTAGTTATTTGATAGAACTATCCATGACCTCAAGATGATTCCCTGGTACATCGTCAAGTTCTATCTGCATAAACACTCCAAATTTTGTTCGTGTTTAGGGGTTTTACTGCTGTTCACCATATGCTTCTACAGGTAAACATCCCATTTAACAGCCCCGACAAAAATATTTGATTGCTCTAGATAATGACAGATTATGATTCTGCTAAACGATTTATTCATAGAAATAGACCTATTATTAGATTATATTATTGAGAATGATTTCTGTATCTAAAATGTGTTTTCACTGTTAAAATTAAACGCCCAGATTTAAATTAAAAATTATTTTTGCTTTGACAATCAACAAACAAGATATATTCTTCTTTGAACACTAAACAGTTGTGGCTTATATTCACATGTCCGACAATAATCCAAGCGCCTTTGCCAAATCTTCATCGGAAAAAAGAGAAATGTACGCTCATTTTTATATAACCCACCAAGATTATTGTATAAAGATGTGTGTAGATTAAGTTTTCTTGGTATTTCACAATTGAAAGTTGACCCACTGATATGTTTCACCGTTTCTCTCTCTGAAGCAAAGTTTGAATTTTTAATTGGGACAATTAAAATTTAACATGTTTTATGTATTTGCATATGCAAAGTTTACTTGTTTATGTAATTAACAATAATATTACATGTTTACATTAAATATGATAACCTTGTATTTGTTGTTATTTGGTTTAAATGTATGTTTCTTCTTATAATAGTAAAATATGTTTGATCTCTGTCAATCAACATCAGTTTATCCATTTTAAAATGACAGTAAGATTTTTTTGTTGTATTACAGCTATTTACAGCTATTCTTGGTGGTGTGGTCTTTCCTGTTAGGGATTGCTGGTGCATACAGCTTCATCAGGTAACAATTCAACTGAAGATTTGTAAATAAGTAATCAGAACTGTGGTCAGGAGTGTGCAAGATTTGCCTAAACTGAATGAATCAAGTTTTTTAAACAAGCATTTTCTGGATAATCTAACCTTGTACCTGTGATTATAAGAGAGATTATAATATGTTGTAAATACTCTGCTGACATATTCATGATAAAGTTTTTAGTATTCTTGGTATTTGCTTGTCTTTATAATATTATGATTTTGTTTTTGATCTTTGCATTTTTCTCATTTGAAGCGCTGATTCCACATTACCAAATCTTCTGTTCATGTTCAAGAGAAACAAAAAGGTATGCACATATTGAATTGAAATAATGTATTTTTTTTGTGTAGTGTAATGATGGAAGGAATCAATACCTCTAATTACTAGCTAGGTTATAAAATATATTGTACCTGAAACAAGAGTCACATGACTTAGTTGTCAAATGTTATATTAAAGGTGTCTTGTAATTTAATGTCCATCATAGTTAATATTGTTTACCAAAAGTGAACTGGTATATATTGGTCCAGCACATTTTCATATGCAAAAACTTCTCCAGTTAGTATAACCCAGTTGTTAACACATACTGGCTTTCCTTAGACCATAAGATTACAGGCAAACATAACATGTTACAGGAGGGAAACACTGGAGATGATGAACTGACTCTAATGAAGACCATGTGTACCGTATGTGGTCAGAGGAAGTGTCCGAGACACAGGTAAACTTTACAGATCAAAAACTTATTATTAGTCAGATGCATCATACAGAACATGGGCAGGATTGTAAATTAACTGCATCACTGTATATCATAGCAGTTTTATCAATGTTGATCCTGCTGATCTTGTGATATCTGTACATTATTTTTTATAAGGGGGAAAAGTGCTTTCAAAAAGGGGTGTGGTAGATCTTTAACATATGTTTTTATTTTCATTGCATTGTTGAATTCTGAAACATCTATGAAATAAATGAAAGCTGTCAGTTAAAATTAAGTACCCTGAAGACAGTTGAACATTGAAGGCAGTTGAACACAGCTTTTATAATTTGTGAAAAGAGTAGTGATATAAAAAGTGTTTACTGCAGTTTTAGTTATATTTAAAATTTTAAATTTACTTGTTTCGAATTCTTCATGCTTTATATGTAAGATTGTAACTTTTGTCAGCCCATTCTGCAAAAGTAGGACCTTTTTTTACACATTTGATATTTATATAAATACATATATTTGATGACGTTATCAAAATGTTACTTAAGGTGTTGATTTTGTTATGATTGTATCAACCTTGACCTATGGTATTTTTATTTGTCATAAGCAATATTGCTATTGTATAGTTATGTGTAAATGTATTTGGAAACAATCTGTTGACAATGATACTATCTGTATTTTTGTGTAGACCAGAGCTTAACATCCTAGCATTCCAACCATGGACCAACTTGGAGTTACGAGGAAAAGTAGACGAGGCTGTGGAAGAGGTAAGTTCAGGAGGAAGTGAAATTTGAATGGAAGAGGGATGAAGAAGGACGAGAGATTAGAGTGGAGGATGGATGAAGGAGGAGGAGAGACTTGAATGAGACAGGAGGGGAATGGAGAAGGAGAAATAGGAGTGGGAGATGGATAGAGGAGGTGGAGAGATTGCAGTGGGAGAGGGATGGAGGAGGAGGAGAGACTGGAGTGGGAGATGGATGGAGGAGGTGGAGAGATTGCAGTGGGAGAGGGATGGAGAAGGAGAGATTGTAGTGGGAGAGGGATGAAGGAGGAAGAGAGATTTGAGTGAGACAGGAATGGAGAAGGGGGAGAGACTTGAGTGGAAGAGCAATGAAAGGAAGAGGAAAGGATGGATTGAGAGAGGGATGAAGGAGGAAGAGAGATAGGAGTGTGATAGGAATGAAGGATGTGGAGAGATTGGAGTGAGAGAGATGAAGGAAAAGAGACTAGAGTGGGATAGGGATAAAGGAGGATGAGCGATTGAAGTGGGAGAGGGATATGGAAGAGAGACTGTAGTGGAAGAGGGATGTACAATTTGCTGATGATATACCCTAAGGGGACTAGATAATTAAAATATGGTTATAATTTACCCAAAGTGGCAAAAATATTGAACTGTTATTGCAATATGGATACTGTACAGAACATCAATCAGTGACCTTGTGTGCTGTATAGAGTTGAAAGGACTTCACGAGTAACATAGAAAAGCATGTTATTTGCAATATTTGCCAAAGGTATTTTATCACATGATAACAGGATAATGACATTCATTTCAATCTCATGTGATTTTTTAAAAAAAAACCCACTTTTTTAAAATCTTAGCTGGCCTTATTTGATAAATCACACATGAAATATAATCTGATTCTATAAATACATTCTGTCAGTGGTGTAAATTTTTACTTTCTGTTTACAGTTCCTGTGTATTGTTTTAAAAGAATATGTGTATACCTGGTATAGGTTTGTATGATGAAGAATATTTTCTAGTTTACATTTCTGTCTTTGAGACAGGAGATTGTCACACACTATTCCAGCTATAAACTATCAGTTACCTTCATATCTATTTATTTTTCATGTCAAATCTAGCTTTAACTGTAATGAGATATTAATAAAGGTAACTGATGTGACAGGACTCAAAAATTACTACTAGAGATAAACTTATCATTGAATCTTTTTTTGTATTAGAGATAAACTTATCAATAAATCTTTTGTATACCAGAGATAAACTTTTCATAAATCTTTTATTTGCCTTTACAACTTTATCCTTGTTTTGTTTTGAAGAGATGTCAGTGCAGATGAAGGCTTTGTGGATGAGCTGAGAACAAACTTACGTTTCCTTGCTTCTGTATTGCTGAGGCGGGCCAAAAAAGTATGTATCATTGTTTCAAAAGCCATAGACATGCTGAAGTGGAATCATTAGAAAAACCTTCCACTTTTCCTGGATCCAGCTTTCCTATCATTTGTAAAATTATGATATCAAGGCTACTTCACCCCAGCTCCAGCACCTTTATCTTGTGGTAATAAAAACACAGTCCTGGCCCCACTTGTATAAAACATCTCAACTTCAGATTTCCTCAAGCCCAGATTTTCCTCAGCTAATATCTCCTTGAAAATATCTTGTATGAAAATTCCTCAAGGAATTTCAGGACAACCTAGCCGATGCCTCCCTCCTGTTCCTTGTGAAAATTTTATACAAGCCGTTTTTGAGGAGATATCAGCTGAGGAAAATCTCGACTTGAGGAAATCTCAAGTTGAGATGTTTTATACAAGTGGGGCCAGGTATTTAATGCCACTGGACCTCAGCTCCAGTACCTTTATCTTGTGGTAATAAAAACGCAGTCCTGGTATTTAATGCCACTGGACCCAAGGCTTCAGTACCGTTACCGTTCTGAGATAACAACCCAGTCCTGGTATTTAATGCCACTGGACCCAAGGATCAAGTACCTTTATCCTTCTGTGATAACAACCCAGTCATGGTAATTAATGCCACTGGACCCCAAACTCCAGTACCTTTATCTTTCTGTGATAACAACCCAGTCCTGGTATTTAATGCCACTGGACCCAAGGCTTCAGTACCTTTATCTTTCTGTGATAACAACCCAGTCCTGGTATTTAATGCCACTGGATCCAAGGCTTTAGTTCCCTTACCATTCTGTGATAACAACCCAGTCCTGGTATTTAATGCCACTGGACCCAAGGTTTCAGTACCTTTATCAATTTGAGATAACAACCCAGTCCTGGTATTTAATGCCACTGGACCCAAGGCTTCAGTACCTTTAACATTCTGTGATAACAACCCAGTCCTGGTATTTAATGCCACTGGACCCAAGGCTTCAGTACCTTTATCCTTCTGTGATAACAACCCAGTCCTGGTATTTACTGCCATGGGACCCAAGGATCAAGTACCTTTATCCTTCTGTGATAACAACCCAGTCATGGTATTTACTGCCATGGGACCCAAGGATCAAGTACCTTTATCCTTCTGTGATAACAACCCAGTCCTGGTATTTAATGCCACTGGACCCAAGGCTTCAGTACCTTTATCGTTCTGAGATAACAACCCAGTCCTGGTATTTAATGCCACTGGACCACAGGTTCCAGTACCTTTATCATTCTGTGATAACAACCCAGTCCTGGTATTTAATGCCACTGGACCCAAGGCTTTAGTTCCCTTACCATTCTGTGATAACAACCCAGTCCTGGTATTTAATGCCACTGGACCCAAGGCTTCAGTACCTTTATCTTTCTGTGATAACAACCCAGTCCTGGTATTTAATGCCACTGGACCCAAGGCTTCAGTACCTTTATCTTTTGTGTTAAGAATGCTACTGGACCCAGGCTCCAGTAATTTCGTCTTACGTTGATGAAAACCCAGTCCTGGTATTAAGGTTATTCGTATAAGCACCATACATATGTCACCATGAATTTGTTTTTATTAAGTTTTACAGTATTATTTGCCTGTTTGTTTTCAGATTGACATTCCACTGTTGGTGAGTGAGAAGTTGATAAAGGCAGGACTCCAACATCTACATGTTTACCTCCAGGCAAAGAAATCAGGTATTTACCTGTCACAGTAGGTTTTGACCTGTCATCATAGGTATATACCTCTCTCTATAGGTATTTACCAATCACTGTAGGTATTTACCTGTCACTGTAGGTATTTACCTGTCACAGAAGGTTTTTACCTGTCATCATAGGTATTTACTTCTCTATATAGGTATTTACCAATCACTGTAGGTATTTACCTGTCACTGTAGGTTTTTACCTGTCACTATAGGTCTTTACATTGTTACTGAAGATACTTACTTGTCATTGTTGGTATTTACATGTCACTATGTTAACATGCCATTGTAGGTATTCACTTGTAACTGTAGGTATTAACCTGTCACTGTGGGTATTTACCTGTCACTGTACGTATTTACCTGCCACTATGTTAACATGCCATTATAGGTATTCACTTGTAACTGTAGGTATTAACCTGTCACTGTACGTATTTACCTGTCACTGTAGGTATTTACCTGTCACTGTAGGTATTTACCTGTCACTGTGGGTATTTACTTGTCACTGTAGGTATTTACCTGTCACTGTATGTATTAACCTGTCACTGTAGGTATTTACCTGTCACTGTGGGTATTTACTTGTCACTGTAGGTATTTACCCTCACTGTAATGATTTACCAAGTCAAAATTTGAAGCCAGATATTTTATTAACATTTCACCAGTGAATACAAATTACACGTAACAACACAGTAAAATACATGTTTAGCTATTTAAAGTACATACTATTACGTAAATATCACAAAAAACTAAGTTGAGTTTATTTGATTGACTGCTGACCAATTCTTACTATTACATGTATATGGAAATTCTTCTTCTTTTGCACAACTTTTCAAAGACAACAGCATCTAAAATAAGTTTTTACTTATCAGATTTACTCAGATTTTTGAAATTTGGATTTATATCTGATGTCTTTAAAAATAATTCATGTCCTATATCATTACATAGATCACAGCGTTCTTCATCCTCCATAGCGTTACCTATCCCTGTAGCATCTAAGGTAGCAAGGAACTAGGGTGTTGGTGACCATCCAGACACCTCTAGCAAACAGATTGTTAAGAGATGAAACACAATGTTTGGTACAAGTAAAATTATTGTATGGTGTTTATAGCACCCCCGTGTACTGACCTTCAGTAGAGGTCATTTGATCCTCACTTAAACATATATGCAAATGCCATTGCTGTTACAGCTCCCCCGGGTACTGACCTTCAGCAGTTGACATTGGACTATCTAGGACCACACCTTCACTGTGCCATGCAGAGTCGTAAGGCTGAGCTGGAGTATCTCAGAAGAATGGTGGAGGCACTATTTCCTTTCATCTTAAACCCTCAGGGTCTAAATTCCAAGTACGTTCTGTTACAGATCTTAAACCCTCAGGGTCTAAATTCCGAGTACGTTCTGTTACAGATCTTAAACCCTCAGGGTCTAAATTCCAAGTACGTTCTGTTACAGATCTTAAACCCTCAGGGTCTAAATTCCAAGTACGTTCTGTTACAGATCTTAAACCCTCAGGGTCTAAATTCCAAGTACGTTCTGTTACAGATCTTAAACCTTCAGGGTCTAAATTCCAAGTACGTTCTGTTACAGATCTTAAATCCTCAGGGTCTAAATTCCAAGTACGTTCTGTTACAGATCTTAAACCCTCAGGGTCTAAATTCCAAATATGTTCTGTTACAGATCTTAAACCCTCAGGGTCTAAATTCCAAGTACGTTCTGTTACAGATCTTAAACCCTCAGGGTCTAAATTCCAAGTACGTTCTGTTACAGATTGTAATCCCTTGGGTCTAAATTCCAAGTACGTTCTGTTACAGATCTTAAACCCTCAGGGTCTAAATTCCAAGTACATTCTGTTACAGATCTTAAACCCTCAGGGTCTAAATTCCAAGTACATTCTGTTACAGATCGTAATCCCTTGGGTCTAAATTCCAAGTACGTTCTGTTACAGATCTTAATCCCTTGGGTCTAAATTCAAAGTTCTGTTATAAAACTGATTTCCCCAAAGCCATAATTCCAAGTAAATTCTGTTTCAGTCTATGAAAGTACAACTTTGAAAACTTCATAAGGGGAAACACCCACCCAGGGTTATTTTCAACACTCCTATAAAATATTTGTCTTAACTGTTTTGTTTTTGCCTTACTGACAAAAAGGAACTGTTACAAAAGCTTCCCTATATACACTAAGTGTGTTTCATTTAATCTTATTACATGATTATGGGACATCTACCTAATATATAACATCAGCTACTTCTGATAAATTAGTCACTCCTGTAATGTACTTTTATCTTTATACATTTTCTTCTTTGGTGTAGTAATATTTACTTATGTTACTGCTATAATTTTGAAGTTTGATGTTGGTTATTTTAGACCTAGTAAAGTGTTATCATTTTTAAAAAAGTCTACAGGGTATTGTAAATCCTGAATGCTAAAAAGAATGCCTTCTGAGTAAAAATCAGCAAAATTGTTGAGCACAACCAATCATTTGATGATATTGCATCTTGTATATTGATTTACAAATCAGACGCTGTTAAACATGAGAAAAACACCTATTGCAATCAATTATTGATTAATTGTCAGACTTGTTACATTCATTGGTGTGTAACATTCACTGACTTACCTTCATATATTAATCATGCAGGTTAGTGCATTACGTAAATGTTGAATTAGTAGGTAAACCAATGTATGTTACACACCAGTGAATATATAACATCTGACAACCAATCCATATATTTATATTTTAGATTGATTTCATACATTCTTTTTAAATTAAAAACAAACCTGAAAGAGCTTCTCAAATTCACAGGATTTCTTAGGTGATGTCATGGGCAACAAACACAATACAGACACTAAACAAAATAGTTCTACTAATACACTAAAACACATCACTTATTTCCCTGTTTAATTAAGAAAAAAGCTTCATAAATATATTGCAATATGTCATCCAATATAGTTTTTTTTCATTTGTAATACAACAAGCACCTACATTAAAAAGAAGATTGTATGCACTGATTTATATACCTGTAGTTTAGGTAATTATTTGTATATTCCTGTAACAGCCAGATCACCAAGGTACGTTATTGGAAATTATCATCATTGGGTTCTGTCGATTCAACAAGGCAGTGTACAATGCTAATGTAAATACTCTGATTTATAATTTTTGTAAATTGTGACTATTGATGTAAAACTTATCAGATGCCGTTTTTGTTTTACTTTTGTTAGGTGTACTTGTTCCTTGGCCAGAGAAATACTGTCTGGGTCTATACTGCTACCAGCACTGGATGCCATAGCTAATCCTGTAAGTATGAGAGACACTGTTCCTGGTGTGTCTTTACTGTAGCTAATCCTGTAAGTTACTGGTATGTCTTTACTGTAGCTAATCCTGTAAGTCTGGGGAACACTGTTCCTGGTGTGTCTTTACTGTAGCTAATCCTGTAAGTCTGGGGAACACTGTTCCTGGTGTGTCTTTACTGTAGCTAATCCTGTAAGTCTGGGGAACACTGTTCCTGGTGTGTCCTTACTGTAGCTAATCCTGTAAGTCTGGGGAACACTATTCCTGGTGTGTCTTTACTGTAGCTAATCCTGTAAGTCTGGGGAACACTGTTCCTGGTGTGTCTTTACTGTAGCTAATCCTGTAAGTCTGGGGAACACTGTTCCTGGTGTGTCTTTACTGTAGCTAATCCTGTAAGTCTGGGGAACACTGTTCCTGGTGTGTCTTTACTGTAGCTAATCCTGTAAGTCTGGGGAACACTGTTCCTGGTGTGTCTTTACTGTAGCTAATCCTGTAAGTCTGGGGAACACTGTTCCTGGTGTGTTTTAAATCTACCTAATCCTGTTAGTCTGAGGGACACTGGTCCTAGTGTGTCTTTACTGTAGCTAATCCTGTAAGTCTGACGGACACAGTTCATGGTGTGTCTTAAATGTAGCTAATCCTGTAAGTCTGAGGGATACTGTTCCTGGTGTGTCTTAACTGTACACAATCCAGTAAGTCTGAGGGACACGGTTCCTTGTGTGTCTTAACTGTACACAATCCAGTTAGTCTGAGGGACATTGTTCCAGGTGTGTCTTTCTTACACCTTGGTGAACACAGGTCTAATGTGAAGTCATAGCCTCCTGTCAGCTTTGTCTCTCATACTTTTTAACACTTTAGTGTACCTGGTCATTCATCTAAACATGTAACTTGTCATTTGTCTGATGAAGATGAGAAGATATATAGCATAGTAATCCTTGAAATATTTAACATATTACAGGTTTTAATTTGCTGAAAGAAGCTTTTCCTAATGTATTACTACATTGGAAAGCTATTTCTGTTCCATATATTATCACAAAGTCAGTTAAACTTTTTGTAGGTTTAGAAATGTTCTTATAAATAAATTAAAACAATACTGATTTTTTCTCCTTAATAGTGTTGTTGATTTACTTGAACCAGGCCTCATTCTTAAATGGTAATTAGTGATTTCTCTGTTTACAGGATATGGTGAATAACATATTGTTAATATTTTTGGACGATACACCAGTAAGTATGAACGTCTCTTGTCACTTTATCTGTTAACTGTTATCACACGTGCTCCAGCATGTTTTGTAATACAACAGATGTTTCTTGGAGAGATTTTGAATCACATATGTCTTATGGACAGTTTTTCAAGTTACAAAATGTTCACTGAAGATGTCCTTAACTTTCAGTATGTAACCTATTCTTATACCTGCTATAAGTGATAAAATTTTGACAACACTGTGCATATATATACATATAGGTGTCAATATATTTTACTTGAAGATTTTGATAACACTGTGCATATATATACATATAGGTGTCAATATATTTTACTTGAAGATTTTGATAACACTGTGCATATATATACATATAGGTGTCAATATATTTTACTTGAAGATTTTGATAACACTGTGCATATATATACATATAGGTGTCAATATAATTTACTTGAAGATTTTGATAACACTGTGCATATATATACATATAGGTGTCAATATGATTTACTTGAAGATTTTGAAATGATTTCTTATTGATTGATATCGTGATATGTCCACAGCCACCTTTAGCAACGGAACCACCCAGTCCCATGGTGACCTTCCTGGAAAAGTTTTGTCGTACTTCTGTCAGGAGTAATTCAGTAAGTTGATGGCCATATTCACTGTCTGTTATCCTAAGAGTCAGTTGTTATCTTAGAGTTGCCTCCATATTGAATTTGTAGTGATTTTTTTACATCCAAGTAGCATTAAATTTACAGGTGAATTTATCTCTGTAATGAAACCTGAACAAATGTTGTACTTCAGTGTTCTTCAGAAATCTGATGTTGGAGAACATTTAAAATAAGATTAGGGTGAAGTAAAAGCTACAATTCCTCTAGCCTTTTGTTTTTGAATAATTGGACTTGTGGATAATGTATGACATGCCTTACTTGACTTTTTTCTCTGCCTTTTTACTATAAGATATTGATTTGGCTTTTCGTTTATTCTTTCTAAATCTACTTATAGTAGATACTTTGTAGATACTTTGTAGATACTTCATAGATACTTTGTAGATACTTTGTAGATACTTTGTAGAATACTTTGTAGATACTTTGTAGGTACTTTGTAGAATACTTTGTAGATACTTTGTAGAATACTTTGTAGAATACTTTGAATTGGTTCATCCCTGAAGTCAGGTGCCAGTAATAAATGTGTTATGTATTGTTATATTTACACTACAGTGCCTACATCATGAGTTGAATGATATCATCGGTGGTAACTACCCTAACCTGCTGTACACGTTCATGCAGTTCCTTAAACGTGAAGCTGCTGTCAACGTCCTTCAGTTTTGTCTGGCATGTGGTAGGTTTTCTTTTTATAAGATAACCAGAAGGATTATGGTATAGTGGAACTCTTGGAATCTAATTTGGTTATTTTTAAATTCAAATTTGATATCCACTCCTTTTGGTCACTTGGACATTTAATTTTATGCAGACAAACCAGTTTGTCTGTCTAAATCTAATATTTCGGTCTTAAATTGTGACAAAATAGCACATTTTGATATAGGTCACAAAAGGTTTTGTCAGTGCTAACCAGATCATGAAATAAGATTAGTGCTAGGTCTGTCTTTATTTCATAAATGAGCAACACTCTTCAGTTCTATCAAGATCAATTTGTCTGTTGTCACTTCATAAACAAACCACCCAGGTCAGACTTCATAAAGGATGTGGATTACTAGCCCCTTCAACTTTGATTTTCTTAATAAAAATTTCTAAAGGGATTTGCTAATTATGGATGATAACAAATAAATGGATGGTGATTAAGTTATGCATGTACAAATATTTAATGCTTTTTGTTTGTTTTTTTTTTCAGATGACTTTAATAAACAGGTTCTCAATCCAGAGCTGTCTCAGAGTGCACTTGTAGAGCTCCACAACCATGCTAAAGATCTGTATCGCTGCTACTGTGCTAGAACTGCTCCTGATAAAATTAAATTTGATGAAGAAATTGTCTCAGAGTTAAAAGAAAGTAAGTTGTCAGTGGATCAACAGATTGACTGTATGTGAATAGATATGACGAGTCAGGAATTTTGTGTAACACTAGTGACTGCAGTTTGATCTGTAGTCGACATTAGACAACAGAACACACTAACTCTAATAGGTTGCTTTGAAAATCCATTTATGTACTGATATGTACATGTATATGTACCAAACTGAAGGAATTATTGATTGTATCTCTATGTTGAGGTTTAGCTTATTTGCTCCAGACTGATAAAAATGTGTAGTCATCAAAATATCATATATAATTTTATAATTGATTGTGGTATCAGAAGATCTATAATATATAAACTAATAAAAACACAGAGAAAATGTTTGATAGATACAGACTGTGTTACACACTAGATACAGTCAGGGTTAATGGATTAGTGGTAAATCTCACCTTCACCTTGTCTGCACAAGCCATTAATATTATAAATAACCATGCTTTAAGAATTAAGTTTGAACTTGGCTTGTTGTGATTATAGATGTAGTCCATTAAGTGTAGGTTAATGTTCGGGTATGTAGTTTACCAGACACAAATATGTGAAGTCAGTATAAGGTTATGTAGTGTGCCGAACACTTGTAGTGAACGTTAAAGTTCATGGTATTGTTCCACACATCACAAGCTAGAGGGAAATTATCATCATGATAAGATCCCAATGATTGTCAAAATTTGAAGGGTATTGTGTTTTCTGTCTTTGTGTAAGTGGTATGTGATTATACTTGTTTATCATACTTACAGTATTGGAGGGTCCTCCCGATCAGGTGATACGCCTCAGAACCTCGACACCATTGTTTAAGTAAGAATTCTTTTCCTCTTAGATTGCTGGTTGTTCAGAACACAAATACTTCTTCATTACATTAATTCTGGCCGTACAAATGGTTGAAAAGTTTATTAATTTGTCAGAATAAAGACTTCCAGTTGGATCTTCCATTTCTGATACTTTCTCTCTATACTTACAAAGAAGTCGTACATATATGATGGTATTTCAAACTTGACTTAAAGTCTTCATTAAATGGTGAAAAGTCAGATGAATTCCTAATGCTTACCTCATATAGATAGCTTTGATTTTTAAAATGTTGTATAATGGTATATTTCAGAGCATATGAACATGCCTACAACCTCCTGGAGAAAACATTTATTCCTTTGTTCCACCAGAGTGAGGAGGTATGTACAGTCTGTAATTTATACTGTTTATAATATTCCTTTACATTTGTTTATGTATTCATAAAATACTTTGTTGTTGTTGATGTACTACTACAGTACTGTAAATAATACAAAACTTAGTTAGAATACAGACTATAACTGTTCTTGTTTGTATGCTGTGTGTATTTATAGAATACAGACTATAACTGTTTGTATGCTATGTGTATTTATAGAATACAGACTGTGACTGTTCTTGTTTGTATGCTATGTGTATTTGATTTATAGAATACAGACTAACTGTTTGTATGCTATGTGTATTTATAGAATACAGACTATAACTGTTCTTGTTTGTATGCTATGTGTATTTATAGAATACAGACTATAACTGTTTGTATGCTATGTGTATTTATAGAATACAGACTATAACTGTTCTTGTTTGTATGCTATGTGTATTTATAGAATACAGACTATAACTATTTGTATGCTATGTGTATTTATAGAATACAGACTGTAACTGTTCTTTGTTGTAGTATTACGAGATGTTGTGTGGTAGCCGTGTCATGTCTCAAATATCAAGAAATACTCTAAGGTAAGTCTGCCATTCATTGAATTGGAGTTAATTCCATTTAGTGAAATCACCATAACATTAAGTAACACCTTTATACCAGAATCTGTATACAGTAGCAATGTATTCTGCTCGGTTTAAAAATCTTCACACATTATCTATATATTCTGCTGTGATTAAAAATCTTTGCACAGTATCAATGTATTCTGCAGAATTTAAAAATCTTCACACAGTATCTATTTATTCTGCTGTGATTAAAAATCTTCACACGTTATCTATATATTCTGCTGTGATTAAAAATCTTCACACATTATCTATATATTCTGCTGTGATTAAAAATCTTCACACAGTATCTATACATTCTGCTGTGATTAAAAATCTTTGCGCAGTATCAATGTATTCTGCTGTGATTTAAAATCTTCACACAGTATCTATACATTCTGCTATGATTAAAAATTTTCACACATTATCAATGTATTCTGCTCGGTTCAAAAATCTTCACACATTATCAATGTATTCTGCTCGGTTCAAAAATCTTCACACAGTATCTATACATTCTGCTGTGATTAAAAATTTTTGCGCAGTATCAATGTATTAAATTTTCTATTCCTAGGTTTGCCTAACAAGCTTACAATTAAAAGAAAGCTTTGGTAGTTAATTGTTCCTTATTCTTTGCTGTAAATCATTAAAAAGTTAATTCAAAATCTAAATATGGAGTGTACAAGTTAATTATACTGTAAATCATTATAAAGATAATTCAAAATCTAAATATGGAGTGTACAAGTTAATTATACTGTAAATCATTATAAAGATAATTCAAAATCTAAATATCGAGTGTACAAGTTAATTATACTGTAAATCATTATAAAGATAATTCAAAATCTAAATATGGAGTGTACAAGTTAATTATACTGTAAATCATTATAAAGAGTAATTCAAAATCTAAATATGGAGTGTACAAGTTAATTATACTGTAAATCATTATAAAGATAATTCAAAATCTAAATATGGAGTGTACAAGTTAATTATACTGTAAATCATTATAAAGATAATTCAAAATCTAAATATGGAGTGTACAAGTTAATTATACTGTAAATCATTATAAAGATAATTCAAAATCTAAATATGGAGTGTACAAGTTAATTATACTGTAAATCATTATAAAGATAATTCAAAATCTAAATATGGAGTGTACAAGTTAATTATACTGTAAATCATTAAAAAGTTAATTCAAAATCTAAATATGGAGTGTACAAGTTAATTATACTGTAAATCATTATAAAGATTATTCAAAATCTAAATATGGAGTGTACAAGTTAATTATACTGTAAATCATTATAAAGATAATTCAAAATCTAAATATGGAGTGTACAAGTTAATTATACTGTAAATCATTAAAAAGTTAATTCAAAATCTAAATATGGAGTGTACAAGTTAATTATACTAGAGGTAGATCTAAGTCTGACATGAAATCTTCCAGCATTAGGGATGGTTGTCAGAGCTAAGAAATGTACTTCTTTGAGTGATTGAATATTAACATAATTTTAATTCTTTTAGCTTCTAATTCACTAAACATTATGAGGATTGTGTATAATACATCACTGTGACTTTTCTCCACAGCAATCAGTTAGCTCCACGACAGCCCAATAATTCTAGGTATTTCAGCGCTGCCTGTTGTTGTAGTCATGTAGCCCAAGTATTCATTTTAAAAACAGTACAGACAAACCTTTTAACAGTCTGAGTAAAGAAAAGGTTCTTCTGTACATCTATGTTGCCTGATAATTATTGGAAAGAGTTAATGATCTTCAAAATCATGTTTTTGTAAAAGAATTCTTAGCAATTATTTTTAGTAGGTTTACTTGTCTGTATTTGTTCATGATAAAAGTGTCAAAGAAAAATCCAATGCAATAATTAATGAGATGACAAGAAACCTTTTTACGTCACTGGGATATCCAAAAACATGATTTTGCTGAAAGTCCATTGAACTAGTGCTCAATAGACAAGAATGTACAGCAGTGTTGTTTATATTACGTATGCACCATTTAAATTTTCATAATTCTGTCAATCTTGTTTTTGTGTAAATTTTCTTCATCGATAAAAACAGAAGGCAAACAATATTTGCTAAATATTGTGATTTCTTATCAAATCTATTTGTATGAGGAATCAACATGCTCCAGTTAATCTGTTTTATGAGAAAATAAGCGGTCGTATTTAAACCTAAGAAAATATGATTGATCCGTGTTAAAACCCTGCCTGTACAACCTTGATAGGAAGAGCATGTTCACGCCCAAGCTACAACTAGAAGGTTACGTTATTATGCTAATCATTGCATGGCTTGAAAACATTTACGGCATTTTCTTGTCTTTGTTGAGTTGTTCCTTTTGTTTGTTATATACACCAGACTATTTAGTGTTGATCCCCGAGAGTGAGACTGATGGTCCAGTGTTTACAGTTATGTGGCTTGATACGAAGCTAGTACACCATGATATGCCACATGACTGCCTAGTCCTATGAACAGATTTTCTGCATTATTTTAAGCGTACAGATGCATGCCATGTTGTAGAATTTTTTTTTTCCTTTGCCATTTTATTAGGCACATGTAGTGTTACCGATGTCAGTCCATTGCAATCTATTCTGAATCAGGGTCATCCGCAGTTTACTGTGTATAAAACTGACTTATAACATTTACTGTGTATCCATATTAAACCTGACATTGTTATCCAGTACTTACTGTATTCTGTGTATATAAGGACATCCACTTTATAAATTAATCAGTGATAATGTTCTGATATAAATTCTGATATAAATTCTGTTAGAGATATATTGTCTAATAAACAAGTAAGGACTTGCCTTTTGCCAGTTACTCTGTAGATTGTTTACCAGCATGTGTGTTGTCTGGTGGTGGGATATTTATTATTATTTGTAAACCATTATATTCTTTATAAGTAGTACATTTAGGCTTGCTTACATTACTGGATTGGCTTGTTATTATCCTGGATCCTTAACAAATTTTCATCTTAGAGGATCGTGTCATTGCCGTCAAAGTTTATATTTTTATGTACATTTTGTCATACAAGATAGTGTCTGTTTTAAGATGCATTGACTTTTGATACTGGTGATATATATTATGTACGTTTATGTATCGTCAGGGGAGATTCATAATGTTGAAGGATTTTCATTAGAGAAATACTTAATATGACTTCTAATAGGATCATTGGAAATAGCATGAGGTTGTGAATAGCCTTAAAAGGACGTACAACATTTATCACTCACTTAATCAGTAAAAAGTGTTTCTGTAATGAAACTCCAAACTTTAAAGTAAATTATCAAAGCATATATGTATCATTGTTACTGATAGTTGAGAGATTTATCCAAAAAATATGTTACTGTTGTTAATGATGCCTTTATGTTTTGTTAATGTTACCGATGAAATTTGTTACTGTTGCTAAGAAAGTCTGTATGATTTGTTACTGTTGCTAAGGAAACTTGTATGTTTTGTGAGTGTTGCAAATGAAGTTTGTATGTTTTGTTACTGTTGCTAAGAAAGGCTGTATGTTTTGTTAGTGTTACTAATGAAGTCTGTAAGTTTTGTTGCTGTGGATGTCTGTATGTTTTGTGAGTGTTGCTGTAGAAGTCTGTATGCTTTGATACTGTTGCTATGGAAGTCTGTCTGTTTTGTTACTGTTGCTATGGAAGTCTGTATGCTTTGATACTGTTGCTGTAGAAGTCTGTATGCTTTGATACTGTTGCTTACAAAGCCTGTATATTTATAGAATGCCAAAGAAGAAGGAGTTTGGATTGTCAAACATTGGACATAAGATAAAAGGAGTGTTTAAAAGTGGTGAGTATTCCATGATGGTCAGGATCAGTCTACTTTTATACCAGGAATCATACCCTAATCCTCTGATATTACAGGATGATATTGATTATGAATCTTTACGAGGCAGTACTTTTGTTTATAATGTTAGATGATTAATCTAGCTGTTTTATCTAACTAAGGAATCATGTTTTGTAAATGTGTTTTCTTGGTCAACATCTGATATTAAATTCTGATTATATAATCTCCCTGTTCCAGCCGAGATGAAAAGCCTACCAGAGATGGATAACTTTGAGGATGCTGATACAGTCACCATTGCTGTAAGTTTGCGAAGGAGATCAGAACACGAAGGAAGATTTTGATGAAGATAGATAATGTTCCTGTTCAGAGAATATGTTTCTGTTTATTTCCACCATTGTTTGTGGCAGTATTTGCAGATTTAACAATCTGAAAAATGTTTGAGATTGTCTGAAAAGATCAACTGTATAAAGGCACAAGCTGTTGGATGATACCTGTTAGGAACATCTGTATTAAGAAATCACCTGTCTGAAAAAGACCAGCATTTTTGTTAGAACAAATTCTATTAATTAGTGATAGACTTTCACAACAATATTTTGGTGTATGATTTACAACATTGCAATCTTTGTATTTTGAGCAGTCATGCAGCTCATTGGATGATGAAGTCCCAGAATGCATTGCTATGGAGGGTTCATTCCAGGAGTTTACTTTACCTGACCTAAGTACATGGAGAGTGACCATTCCAAGGATAGGGGCCCGACCGGACCCAGAAAATCCTCGCAAACAATACTTTGTGTTCATCATAGATATCCGTAGAGTAGATCTCTCCCACAACAATGGAACCAGAGGTAGGAACCATATTACAGATAACACAGAATATGCAGGGGCTACATAAGCTCAATCAGTGAATTGATATACCTAAGTAACCTTAGGTGAAGATATGAGGTGTATAATCCAACACTACTTACCTGTGGCAGTTTGTGTTTCTCAGAAAGCTGAGAAATTGATCAGTCTGTGTTGAAGTAGCAATGTCCTCTTGCAAACACTTAACTGTTTTAAAAATGTTCTGGGCAGCATGGGAAGTGTCTCCTGTGTCTTGTTCATTGAGGTAGTCCCCAGCTTCTACAAGCAGTCCCCACTACCAAATGACACCAGCTGTCCACAGGGCAAAAACCCCAGCAAACAAAAATAAACCCAGAATAGAATACAGCATTTCATTTGAATATTTCAGTGTATCATTATTTGATAGCTAATCTTGATCAGGTAGACTTGATCAGGTAGACTTGAGCAGGTAGACTTGATCAGGTAGACTTGATCAGGTAGACTTGATCAGGTAGACTTGATCAGGTAGACTTGAGCAGGTAGACTTGATCATGTAGACTTGATCAGGTAGACTTGAGCAGGTAGACTTGATCAGGTAGACTTGAGCAGGTAGACTTGATCAGGTAGACTTGAGCAGGTAGACTTGAGCAGGTAGAAGTTATTTTGTAGATTATCAGGTCACCTTTACCTGAAGAATCAGGATGACCTATTTCCATGTTTTATGTTTGTTGTGTGCTGTGCATAAACTTTTTCACATTTTCAATATCTTCTCAAAATTTAGAGGCCAATATTGGTCATAATTGGTCTCGAGCATCTAGCAATGTCAGAACTAAAACTCTAAAATGACTTTACAAAACATTTGAGTTGAGAGCATGTAGGTGTCACTTGGGGAGGAGGTAAAGTTTAATATGATTAAATAGGAAAAGTATATTTTTGACATCTTCTAAACCAGTCAGCTAATTTTGATTATAATTGGTTACCGGCATCCTTGTGACAAGGCAAATCAAAATTGTGAAATTCATGGACCTGATCATCCAGTGAATCACAAACAGGGCCTCCAAAGTGGCAAAATATTAAAAACAAATTAAAGAAGCATAAATCAGCTCTGTTATCCTCACTAATAAATACTGATGAATACATACAAATGACAGGAATTTGATGTTTTCCTTAAAATCCTATTGGAATTATCACCATTGAAAATAGTATTAGGTCTACCTTCATGGACAATTGTCAGATCAAAGATCACAAATTTTGATGTAAAACAAACTGCTTCTGTTAAATTATTTTTGAAAACTAATTAAAAATACACACAAACAATTCAGAATGATTTTGATGGTTACATAATTGTTCCTACAGAATGATTTTGATGGTTACATAATTGTTCCTACTGTAACTACTGCTGTTACTATTGTGTCATTGAAGTTAGTCAGATGACTTTCAAGGCCCTTGAGCCTCTCATTTATTCTAGTTCTCTTAACACTGAATTTATCATTCATCTTGTCTTACAGGTGTTCCAGAAAAAGAAAGCTGGGTTGTGGCTAGGTAAGATAATTTCTCTATATCCTATGGTTAAGGATAATCCATACCTGGTATATAACATTTAAAACTTAACACTGATAAAATCAGATTATTCTCTATAAGTAGTTTTCCTTGCTGTAAACTTCTTGGGATAATTAAAATTTTAATTTCATTTCATATTATCTCTTATTTAATTCAACAAAGGATGTTTTAAACTAGTGTCCAGTTCCTGTGTTTTATGTCCTTATTGAACGTCCTGATTGAAATGAAGTAAGCTAACGGATGATTCCATATTGAAAGTAAACCCAGTTTGACCTCTAAACATAATGTAGGAATTAATGGTGTTCTCTTTTCATTTTCAGGAGATATCCAGAATTTTACGTGCTGGAAAGCAAATTACTAGAATTCCATGGTAAGTGTAAAAGTGAGATCAGCTAGTACATATTATCCATTTCCATGTGAGATATTTGGTTACCATTGGAAACAGTGAGCGACATGTTCTTAACAGTAGTTAACACACAAAGAAAATATCTACCTGATGTATGAATGGTGTTTATTAATGGGTGTCCAGTGATGTAGAGGAATACCCAGATATCCCAGTGGACGCAGGATACCAGCTCATTATCTGATGTGTTTGATCCCTACAGACCTTCCAGCTATCTAAAGTCAGTGCTTTGATGTTGATCATTGTCAGCTCTGTGTGTACATAGATAAAATGTTTAACAATGGTCAATCCTATTTATACCCTGATAATGTTTACCTATTAATTTTGAATTCTGATACAATTGAATAAATTGATTTCAATTTTTCCACTCCTGTATTTTGCTTTATGAGAGTTTGTAATATTTAAACAAGTGATTTGACATCCTGAAGGTGGTTTACATCAAGATTCATCAGCCTTTATAACCCCAGATGTGCATGGTTTGACACATGTATCCATAGCAGTTCACATACTTCAGGAAGTTCACAAATAGAACAGTCTGTGCTGATGTGGTTGTGTCCTTGGGAAAGACACTTATCCTAATTACTCTGAATGGAATGTGATGGACCTCCCATGTTTTGTTCGGTGGAGAAGTCACCAACTACTACAAAGAGGCCTACCTTAAAATGACCCTGAGTGTTAATGGGATGATAAACCCTGCAAACACACTGACACAGCATTCAGTAACTATATACAATATTATAACTAACTCATGTTTTCCCTGACTATAATATCTGTACTTTATCAGGTGAACTGCTGGCAGACTGCCCTCTTCCCGTCAAGAAATCCTTCGGGACAGGCAAACAGGATTTCATAGAGAACAAAAGGGAATCATTTGAAGTGTATCTTCAGGTTTGTAACATTTTATGTGAATGGAGTAATTATCAAAATTTGAGATTTTTAGACTAAAGATTGCATTTTTAGGTCATCTGACCGAAGGGTCTGATGACCTATTGCGATTGCCTTTTGTCTGGCGTCGTCGGGCGAATGTCGTACATCGTCCGTCGTAAACATTTTCAACTTCTTCTCAAGTTCTACATGTCTCATTGAACTGAAACTTACCTGAAATGATTGTGACACGATCCTCACCAAAATTTGTTAATTTCGGGTTGGTCCGAAATCCAACATGGCCGCCATCTTGAAAACACATTTTCGACTTCTTCTCAAGTTCAAAATTTGAAATCTTGTATTTTATGTGAGATGACCGTTAAGGCCCATGGGCCTCTTGTTTATAGGTATGTTACCACTGGTGTCATGGAAAACATTGATGTTATCTATCATTTCAGAAATTATTGACCAAGCCATTCCTGAAAGGCAGTCAGCTACTCTACTCCTTCCTTACTACCGACCATGAGTTTACCTCTGGATTCCTTCCAGACATCAATCTAGGTGAGTTTATATGACATCAATCTAGGTGAGTTTATGTGACATCAATCTAAGTGAGTTTACCTGTAGATTACTAACAGATGTCAATCTAGGTGAGTTTACCTCTGGATTCCTACCAGACATCAATCTAGGTGAGTTTATGTGACATCAATCAAGGTGAGTTTATGTGACATCAGTCTAGGTGAGTTTATGTGACATCAATCCAAGTGAGTTTACCTGTAGATTACTAACAGACATCAATCTAGGTGAGTTTATGTGACATCAATCTAAGTGAGTTTACCTGTAGATTACTAACAAACATCAATATAGGTCACTTTACTTCTTGATTCTGACTAGACATCAGTCTATGTGACTAAACTTCAATCAACATCAATCTGAAATGTTATAATTATGTAGGTAAAAGAATCAACCTTCTTGTTCCAACCTTCATATATCAATGTAAAGTTATATTTTTATGATTTTTTTTACACATTATGACTGTAGGATACAAACATTTAGCTGACACTGCTGAAGCAGGTGGACAATACTAACTGATACCTTTGCTTCCACATCCCTATCATGGTCTCATAATAAATAAGGACATTATAAATGAGCTTATCAAGTTTTATCCAATTTTCAGGGAAAATGTTCAAGGCAGGGGCCATGAAGCTTGTTAAAGAGGTGAGTAGGTAGCAATACTGTAATAAGATGCGGGTATTTGATGATAAGTGGCAGCAAAGAAATAGAATGTGAGTGTTTAGTGTAGGTGGTAGCACTGTAAAATGATGCTGGTGATTAATGAGAGGTGGCAGCACTGTAAAATGATGCTGGTGATTAATGAGAGGTGGCAGCACTGTAAAAGGATGCTGGTGATTAATGATAGGTGGCAGCACTGTAAAAGGATGCTGGTGATTAATGAGAGGTGGCAGCACTGTAAAAGGATGCTGGTGATTAATGAGAGATGGCAGCACTGTAAAAGGATGATGATAGTTAAAGATAGGTGGCAGCACTGTAAAAGGATGATGATAGTTAAAGATAGGTGGCAGCACTGTAAAAGGATGTTTGTGGTTAATGAGAGGTGGCAGCACTATAAAAGGATGCTGGTGGTTAATGATAGTTGGCAGCACTGTAAAAGGATGATGGAGGTTATTGATAGGTGGCAGCACTGTAAAAGGATGCAGGGGATTAATGAGAGGTGGCAGCACTGTAAAAGGATGCTGGTGGTTAATGATAGGTGGCAGCACTGTAAAAGGATGCTGGTGGTCAATGAGAGGTGGCAGCACAGTAAAAGGATGCTGGTGGTTAATGATAGGTGGCAGCACTGTAATAGGCTGTGGGTGTTAATTGATATGTGGCAGCACTGTAAAAGGATGCTGGTGATTACTGAGAGGTGGCAGCACTGTAAAGGGATGCTGGTGGTTAATGATAGGTGGCAGCACTGTAAAAGGATGCTGGTGGTCATAAGAGGTGGCAGCACTCTAAAAGGATGCTGGTGGTTAATGATAGGTGGCAGCACTAAAAGGATGCTGGTGATTAAAATGATAGGTGGCAGCACTGTAAAAGGATGCTGGTGGTCATTGAGAGGTGGCAGCACTCTAAAAGGATGCTGGTGGTTAATGATAGGTGGCAGCACTGTAAAAGGATGCTGGTGATTAATGATAGGTGGCAGCACTGTAAAAGGATGCTGGTGGTCATTGAGAGGTGGCAGCACTGTAAAAGGATGCTGGTGGTTAATGATAGGTGGCAGCACTGTAAAAGGATTTTGAAGGTTATTGATAGGTGGCAGCACTATAAAAGGATGCAGGTGGTTAATGAGAGGTGGCAGCACTGTAAAAGGATGTTGAAGGTTATTGATAGGTGGCAGCACTGTTTCTTCACTAAGAGCAGTTAAAAAAGTAGTACACCTAAAATGTTTAGAGAGAAGAATGTTATAATACAATCAAATGATGTGAAATATCTATCCTATTTTGATTTTCAGAAAGGACAACATTTGGACCCCTTCCTATTGTCATTTTTACAGTCAACAGAAGTCCCAAAGCCTAAATCAAGGTAACAAAATAGTGTCTGAAGTTAGCCTATCTACCAACAGAGCAACTAAACTGAGTAAATTCAAAAATCATTTGTACTGTCTTTAGTGTGAAAATGAAACAACACTAAGAGCTGTAAATAATTAAACCAGTGCAATGAAATTTTATAAAATCTTGCTTACACACCTTTATATTGACAGTACATCACACACCCTCTATATATTGACAGTCCATCACACACCCTCTATATATTGACAGTACATCACACACCCTCTATATATTTACAGTCCATCACACACTCTCTATATATTGACAGTGCATCACACACCCTCTATATATTTACAGTACATCACACACCCTCTATATATTTACAGTACATCACACACCCTTTATATATTTACAGTACATCACACACCCTCTATATATTGACAGTCCATCACACACCCTCTGTATATTGACAGTCCATCACACACCCTCTATATATTTACAGTACATCACACACCCTCTATATATTGACAGTACATCACACACCCTCTATATATTGACAGTACATCACACAACCTCTATATTGACAGTGCATCACACACCCTCTATATATTGACAGTGCATCATACAACCTCTATATTGACAGTACATCAGACACCCTCTATATTTTAACAGTACATCACACAATCTCTCTATATTGACAGTAAGCAAGAGCGTCGAGGATCAGATGCATCTCTCAAGTCCACGTCCAGTGAGAAGCTTTGCTGTAGTCTATACGAGAACAATGCCAACTACTCATCAGATAGCATCGCTTCCAGTCAAACGTCCAGTCTGGAGCTGGACTTCTCAGCAGCTAATGGTCAACAGGAGACCAAGGAGAGACAGGACGTAGATGGCGTATTTGATGCGTTGATCTACCTTGGTAAGTATTCTCTTAAACTCTTCAATAATTACATGCACTCTAACTTTCCAGCGTGATACGTGTACAATAAACAACATTGGTTCCACCACTGGATTGGTTACAGCACGTCATTATTGATAATTACAATTCCTCTCATGTTTCAGCACGATATGTGTACAGTATACCTGACTGGTTCCATCATGTGATGATGACAAGTCGTATCCTGTTTAAGATGACCCTTGAGAACTACCTGGAGTGGTACATAGGGCAGAAGGTTGAACAGGTCACGCAGGAACACCGTATCGTGGGCCTCATCCATCTACTTCGAGGTATATCCTTATCATTACATAAGTATTACAATGTTCTGAGGATGTAAGTTAGTGCACTGGTTGTGGAGATATCTTGTCTGGATAATTTATTGTAGTCTTTTTGATGATGACAAAAAATGGATTTCATAAACCTTGAAAATTGTATAATGAATGTCATGAGGCCATGTATAGACAAGCTACAACAACCTAGGATTTTTGATGACAACAGAAATTGATTTCGTAGACTTGAAAAAACTATTTTATGATTGTCAAAGCCAGTGTAGACGAGCTACAACAATCTAGGATTGAAACTGTTAAGTAAACTTATCATAGCCTTTTGGTGACAACAGAAAATTGATTTCATAGACTTGAAAAAACTATTTTATGATTGTCGGTAAGCCAGTGTAGACGAGCTTCAACAATCTAGGATTGAAACTGTTAAGTAAACTTATCATAGCCTTTTGATGACAACAGAAATTGATTTCATAGACTTGAAAAAACTATTTTATGATTGTCAGTAAGCCAGTGTAGATGAGCTTCAACAATCTAGGATTGAAACTGTTAAGTAAACTTATCATAGCCTTTTGATGACAACAGAAATTGATTTCATAGACTTGAAAAAACTATTTTATGATTGTCAGTAAGCCAGTGTAGATGAGCTTCAACAATCTAGGATTGAAACTGTTAAGTAAACTTATCATAGCCTTTTGATGACAACAGAAATTGATTTCATAGACTTGAAAAAACTATTTTGTGATTGTCAAAGCCAGTGTAGACGAGCTACAACAATCTAGGATTGAAACTGTTAAGTAAACTTATCATAGCCTTTTGATGACAACAGAAATTGATTTCATCAACTTGAAAAAACTATTTTATGATTGTCGGTAAGCCAGTGTAGACGAGCTACAACAATCTAGGATTGAAACTGTTAAGTAAACTTATCATAGCCTTTTGGTGACAACAGAAATTGATTTCATCAACTTGGAAAATCTATTTTATGATTGTCTGTAAGCCAGTGTAGACGAGCTACAACTATCTAGGATTATAACGGTTAAATAAACTTATACATGTTCTTAATTTTTGTTTTAGATGTACTGTTCTTTGACACAGATAGACCAAGGTAAGAAAAGACCACACTTCGGTTGATCGTTGAGTTGTTTGTTAATGTAATTGTCGTGACTTAGATGAGAACAAAATAGAAATACATGCATAGTTTGTAAATTTCATCTATCTTAGCTATACCAAGTTCTTACTTCATATAACAAGTATCAGTTTTGATAGAACTTTTTTCATAGAGCCATTTCCAGAGTCCTGTTGGACTATTTTAGATTGTACAAATTAGGAACATACTGTCATGATAAAGTTTCAATTAGTTGACCTAAAATTTCCAGTTGTGTGTAATATTTTTGTTGCTTCAATCTCTAGCTATAAGGGAGAGCACTGTTAAGTCAAATGAATAACTAGTTCAAAAGTGAAACTCTTCAGTTTACTCACAACTGCTAGAACCTTTTAGCATTTCTTGATAAAGGGACAGATTACCTGAAAGAAAAAACCTGATAACATACTTGTCTGTTGTACTGTTGATATTACTTCTCTGTACATTCAGTTGTATGCACATATTTATTTTTTTCACTTGTAGGACTGATGAACAGAAGAAGGAGAGATTTGAGCAAACTTTGGCTGGATGTTTAGACTTTATTCCAAGTACGAAGACATTTTTGTTTCAGTTTTACATCAAATACAGGTTTCCATTATACAACATGTAAATGTAATGTTAGTGAGCAGAATTAATACAGGACAATGACTATTACATTAAAGGCCATACATTTTGTAAGCTTGTTCTTTCTCTGCCGTTATGACTGTTATCTAAGCAGGTATCTGTTATAACAAGTTTGTTTTATGGAGAAGTAAGGTCTGTGTTAGGGCGTCAGTAGGCTACAAAGGTGTGTGTTAGGGCCTCAATAGGCTACAAAGGTGTGTGTTAGGGCGTCAGTAGGCTACAAAGGTGTGTGTTAGGGCGTCAGTAGGCTACAAAGGTGTATGTTAGGGCTATAGTAAGCTACAAAGTTGTGTGTTAGGGCATCAGTAGGCTACAAAGTTGTGTGTTAGGGCATCAGTAGGCTACAAAGGTCTGTGTTAGGGCATCAGTAGGCTACAAAGTTGTGTGTTAGGGTGTCAGTAGGCTACAAAGTTGTGTGTTAGGGCATCAGTAGGCTACAAAGGTCTGTGTTAGGGCTACAGTAAGCTACAAAGGTGTGTGTTATAGTGTCAGTAGGCTACAAAGTTGTGTGTTAGGGCATCAGTAGGCTACAAAGGTGTGTGTTAGGGCTTCAGTAGGCTACAAAGGTCTGTGTTAGGAATGTGTTAGGGCGTCAGTAGGCTACAAAGGTCTGTGTTAGGACTGTGTTAGGGCTCAGTAAGCTACAAAGGTGTGTGTTAGGGCATCAGTAGGCTACAAAGGTTTGTGTTAGGGCTCAGTAAGCTACAAAGGTCTGTGTTAGGACTGTGGTAGGGCGTCAGTAGGCTACAAAGGTGTGTGTTAGGGCATCAGTAGGCTGCAAAGGTCTGTGTTAGGGCTGTGTTAGGGCATCAGTAGGCTACAAAGGTGTGTGTTAGGGCATCAGTAGGCTACAAAGGTTTGTGTTAGGGCTCAGCTACAAAGGTGTGTGTTAGGGCGTCAGTAGGCTAAAGGTGTGTGTTAGGGCATCAGTAGGCTACAAAGGACTGTGTTAGGGCACAGCAGGCTACAAAAGTCTGTTAGGACTACAGTAAGCTACAAAGGTGTGTGTTAGGGCATCAGTAGGCTACAAAGGTCTGTGTTAGGTCTGTGTTAGGGCATCAGTAGGCTACAAAGGTCTGTGTTAGGACTGTGTTAGTGCTCAGTAAGCTACAAAGGTGTGTGTTAGGGCGTCAGTAGGCTACAAAGGTCTGTGTTAGGGCTCAGTAAGCTACAAAGGTCTGTGTTAGGACTGTGTTAGGGCGACAGTAGGCTACAAAGGTCTTTGTTAGGGCGTCAGTAGGCTACAAAGGTCTGTTAGGACTACAGTAAGCTACAAAGGTGTGTGTTAGGGCGTCAGTAGGCTAAAGGTGTGTGTTAGGGCATCAGTAGGCTACAAAGGTCTGTGTTAGAGCTACAGTAAGCTACAAAGGTCTGTGTTAGAGCTACAGTAAGCTACAAAAGTCTGTGTTAGGGCATCAGTAGGCTACAAAGGTCTGTGTTAGAGTGTCAGTAAACTACAAAGGTCTGTGTTAGAGCTACATTAAGCTACAAAGGTCTGTGTTAGAACTACAGTAAGCTACAAAGGTCTGTGTTAGAGTGTCAGTAGGCTACAAAGGTGTGTGTTAGGGCTACAGTAAGCTACAAAGGTCTGTGTTAGAGCTACAGTAAGCTACAAAGGTCTGTGTTAGGGCGCAATAGGCTACATAGGTCTGTTAGGACTACAGTAAGCTACAAAGGTGGGTGTAAGGGCTACAGTAAGCTACAAAGGTCTGTGCTAGGACTACAGTAAGCTACAAAGGTCTGTGTTAGGGCTACAGTAGGCTACAAAGGTGTGTGTTAGAGCCACAGTTAGCTACAAAGGTCTGTGTTAGGGCTACAGTAGGCTACAGTAGGCTACAAAGGTGTGTGTTAGAGCTACCTAGTTCTGTCTTATGTAATATTGTTGATCTTTGTATTGTTTTTACCTTTCAGAACCTTTTGTATCAGTAGTAGGAAGGTCCAACCATGAGAATGGCACCAAGCTGGTCTTGGAAGTTCTTCAGCAGCCTAAACTTAATAAACAGGTAATTTCTGATTACAGACATAAATATCAGAATTATTTCAGTTTTTATTTCATTCAGTCTCTTTAGAGATATTTTTATTTCATTCAGTCTCTCTAGAGATATTTTTATTTGATTTAGTCTCTCTAACGATATTTTTATTTCATTCAGTCTCTCTAGAGATATTTTTATTTCATTCAGTCTCTCTAGAGATATTTTTATTTGATTTAGTCTCTCTAACGATATTTTTATTTCATTCAGTCTCTCTAGAGATATTTTTATTTCATTCAGTCTCTCTAAAGATATTTTTATTTCATTCAGTCTCTCTAGAGAAAATTTTATTAAATTCAGTCTCTCTAGAGATATTTTTATTTCATTCAGTCTCTCTAGAGATATTTTTATTTCATTCAGTCTTTCTAGATATATTTTTATTTCATTCAGTCTCTCTAGAGATTTTTGTATTTCATTCAGTCTCTCTAGAGATATTTTTATTTCATTCATTTTCTCTAGAGATATTTTTATTTTATTCAGTCTCTCTGGAGATGTTTTTATTGTATCAAGGAACAAACAAAACAGAAAGTATAAAATTAATTTGTAATTGAAGATTATCAAGTGACTATTTTTCTCACCTGAAGGTGTTATGCTGTTATTTAATTTTGTATTTTCAGCTATCATATGTATTCCTTGACATTGTAATTCAAGAATTGTTCCCAGAACTGAGAGGATGATACAGTGTCAATGAGCTGAGCTGTGATGACATAAGCTGTGAGATCATCCAGTGTCACTGAACTGAGAAATGATCTATTGATGGAGTTTGGAGAAAATCCATTGTTTGAAGCGAAGAGATAATCCATTGTTTCTGATATAAGAGATAATCCATTGTTTCTGATATAAGAGATAATCCATTGTTTCTGATATAAGAGAAAATCCAGTGTTTCTAAGCGAAGAGATAATCCATTGGCATTGAGCTGAAAGATGATCCATTGTTTCTGAGATAAGAGATAATCCATCATTTCAGAGCTAAGAGATAACCCATTAGCACTGAGCTGAGGGATGATCCATCGTTTCTGAGATAAGAGATAATCCATCATTTCTGAGCTAAGAGATAATCCATCATTTCTGAGCTAAGAGATAATCCATCATTTCTGAGATAAGAGATAATCCATTAGCACTGAGCTGAGGGATGATCCATTGTTTCTGAGATAAGAGATAATCCATCATTTCTGAGCTAAGAGATAATCCATCATTTCTGAGCTAAGAGATAATCCATCATTTCTGAGATAAGAGATAATCCATTAGCACTGAGCTGAGGGATGATCCATCATTTCTGAGCAATGCGGAAATTTAATACCAGGAATCTAAAATCTAAAAGCTGAGCGATTTTCTGTTGTCACTGACCTCAGCGATAATCCCATTGTTACTTGAGTGAGAGATAATCCATTGCCACTGAGCTGAGAGATAATTTATTTGTCACTGAGCTGAGAGGTAATTCATTGTCACTGAGCTAAGTGATATGTAAATGTTTCTTAGCTAAGAGATAATCCAATTACTGAGAGATAGTCCATTGTTACTAAGCTAAGTGATATGCCACAATGTTTCTGAGCAAAGAGATAATCCAATTACTGAGATATAGGCCACCTTTTCACAGCTGAGAGGTAATCCAATTACTGAGAGATAGTTCATTGCTACTGAGCTGAGAGGTAATTCATTGTCAATGAGCTGAGATATAGGCCATCATTTCTGAGCTGAGAGATAATCCAATTACTGAGAGATAGTCCATTGTTACTGAGCTGAGAGGTAATCCATTGTCACTGAGCTAAGTGATATGCAAATGTTTCTGAGCTATGATTTATTATTACTAAGCTGAGAGAGTCTATTGAGAAGGGACCTGCTTACGGAATAGAGCTGCTGCTCATCTCCAATTTCCCATCGTTGAACTAAGGTTATTTTTGAACAGAGAAAACAACATGTCAAGACAGAGCTGATTCTTGATGATGAGAAGTCCAACACTAACATTTACTTCATTCCACCAGCATTCATTTGATGTCACATTATTCAATGCCATGTATTTCCATTGTAACTCAGAGTTTATATCAAAAGGTTTCTTAGTTTTTATCACATACGCTATAGGGTTCGTATTGTCACTGCACCTATTTTTTTTTTTAAACAATGTCTCAAAATGTTGACATTGTAAAACAGAACTCACCTCTAATCATGATCAAATACATTCCAAGATTGTATATAATTGATATCTATGTTTCATTAATCACTTTCTGGTCCATTTTATTTAATGTTGTCAGGAAAAAGTCAAAAGTTCAAACCTAGCTTATTATATTATACACAATAATCAGTTTAAGTGACCGGGATTCATTGTAATTAAAGTTTAAAAGTTGAATTATTCTTTTTAAATTGTAACCAAGAAATTGAAAAAAAATTACAGCCAGAATTTCCTGGTGCATGTACAAATCTTTCCCAATACAGTCATACTTAAGAATAATATAAGCTTTTATTTACGCACAATTATGGACTAGTTTCTCCTGGTCATTTGATCCCCCTTGTATTAACTTGTACAGCCTGGATGTTGTACAACATGTGTGAGATTGTATAACATTAAGTCTAGTGACTTGTGATTATGTTAAATGTTATTTTTACCTCTGTTGATACCAGAATGACTAAGTTATTAATGAGATTGCTGACTATACATGATTACAATTTGTTACTGGAAGAATCAAAGACATAATATGAATTTGTATTCTTGCTCTATATGTGGTGGCTGACAGGGGGTATTCTGTCTGTCTATTAATCTGAGTGGTGTTCTCATGCTGAAGGATCCTACTAGTTATAAGTATATAGAAGAGTTCCACTGTTGAACTGGTTATTCATTTAACTTAACAGAGATATTGAAGTATCAATTTTCAAATTCTTAATTTTCATAGGGCAACTGTGGTAAAGTCTAAGGATGAAGTAAAGTTGTCCAGGTTTGATACTTGGTGTTATTCTTTTCCTGTTTCTTTTACTTGTAATGGTTCTCATTTGAACATTTTAAATGAAATTCTGTAAACTGTATTGCCAGATGAGATTTTGTACAAAACTGTTATAGACAGTATTAGTGTCAATAGTATTGATATATCATGCAGAAGGTAGTGTGTATAATATCAGAGATATAGATGTTTAAGTAGGTAGGTCACTGTTTGGCAATCAACCATACTTGTACAATCACACTTTGTTTAAAACTGTGTTATATTAAGGAACAGTTTAGAAATTTTATTTATTTGTTTGTATCTAAATTATAAATTTTCAGCTTTGTGTTAGAGTTTTAAGATGATCATAGGAAACAGATTATTCATAAAAAATCTTACATTTGATTTTGAAGGATTTTAAAGTTCAGTCACAAACATCCACTGACATGATGTTCTCAAGATCTAAGTCCAACAGTGTTATCATTTATGAGCATGTGAGATTTTTTTATCGAGGTCAGCTATTCATTTCTGTTTATTTTAGATACAGGTGATCACTGATAGTGCTTTAAACTTGTGATAATTGTTTACTCAAACTACATCCTAAATATACTCTATGAAGTACTTCGTTGATATTCTCACTTGAATGTGAATAATTAAGCAACAATGGTCCTATTATGATACTTTTAGAATATCACATGGGTTTTTTTTTTTTGAGCAAAAAGATAAAAAAGATTTTTTTTTTCTTAATTTAGTTATTTGAAAAAAAGATAAAGACAATGAAATTTGTTTTCATTAAAAATTTTATATTTAAATACGGATACTAGATTGGTGTGTCTTTTCCCATGTTACAGGGAGTACATTTAAGTTTTAGTTGTGTGATATTAGCTTGACGTCATGTCTGATAGTGTACCAGTGTTAGTGACTTACTGCCGCCTTTGTGGTTGTGATATACCCTGTACATGTGACCTGAGACATTTATTTATTGTGAGCCCCACAACTTACTGTTTGTTGATGTGTACAGCTGTGTCAGGCTGATTAATCATGAAATTTTCATTGTTATTTTACTTATTAAAATGTTTCAATTTAACTTGATAACTGTTGTGTTATATTTTATTATCAAGATTATCTTCAGTGTCAAAAAACACTCAACGCAATTGAAAATTCAAAAGTTTGTTCCCAGTACCTTGATTTTCATGAAAGATGTGGACAAACACACAACCCAGGGTTTTGAGAAATGCCAGTTGATTCAGATTATGAGGAAGTCTTACAAATATTAGGATGGTCTCATTTGGAAATATGCTATTTCCATTGCCAATAATCATTACCTTTACAACATGTTATCTAAGGTAAAGGTGACCATCACCCTTACAACACAATTAGATAAGGTCAAAGAGACCATTACCCTTAAAACACACTATTAGATAAAATCTAGGTGACCATGACCAATACAACTCAAGTTTGACAAGGTCAAGGTGACCATCACCCTTACAACACAATTAGATAAGGTCAAAGAGACCATTACCCTTAAAACACACTATTAGATAAAATCTAGGTGACCATGACCAATACAACTCAAGTTTGACAAGGTCAAGGTGACCATCACCCTTACAACACAATTAGATAAGGTCAAAGAGACCATTACCCTTAAAACACACTATTAGATAAAATCTAGGTGACCATGACCAATACAACTCAAGTTTGACAAGGTCAAGGTGACCATCACCCTTACAACACAATTAGATAAGGTCAAAGAGACCATTACCCTTAAAACACACTATTAGATAAAATCTAGGTGACCATGACCAATACAACTCAAGTTTGACAAGGTCAAGGTGACCATCACCCTTACAACACAATTAGATAAGGTCAAAGAGACCATTACCCTTAAAACACACTATTAGATAAAATCTAGGTGACCATGACCAATACAACTCAAGTTTGACAAGGTCAAGGTGACCATCACCCTTACAACACAATTAGATAAGGTCAAAGAGACCATTACCCTTAAAACACACTATTAGATAAAATCTAGGTGACCATGACCAATACAACTCAAGTTTGACAAGGTCAAGGTGACCATCACCCTTACAACACAAGTTGGATAATATCAGGGTTACCATGACCTCTACAACACATTAGATAAGGTCAAGATAACAATCACCCTTACAATGTAAGTTAAGGTTAAGGTGAAAATCACCCAACGTAAGTTAAGGTCAAGGTGAAAATCACCCTTACAACACGTCCAAGGTAACAATCATCCTTACAATGTAAGTTAAGGTCAAGGGGAAAATCAACTTACAACACGTCCAAGGTAACAATCACCCTTACAACGTAAGTTAAGGTTAAGGTGAAAATCACCCTTACAATGTAAGTTAAGGTCAAGGTGACCATCACCCTTACAACACGTCCAAGGTAACAATCATCCTTACAATGTTAGTTAAGGTCAAGGTGAAAATCACCCTTACAACGTTAGTTAAGGTCAAGGTGAAAATTACCCTTACAACATGTCCAAGATAACAATCACCCTTACAATGTAAGTTAAGGTCAAGATAACAATCACCCTTACAATGTAAGTTAAGGTCAAGATGAAAATCACACTTACAACCTGTCCAAGATAACAATCATCCTTACAACGTAAGTTAAGGTCAAGATAACAATCACCCTTACAACGTTAGTCAAGGTCAAGGTGAAAATCACCATTACAACACGTCCAAGATAACAATCACCCTTACAACGTTAGTTAAGGTCAAGGTAACAATCACCCTTACAATGTAAGTTAAGGTCAAAGTGAAAATCACCCTTACAACACGTCCAAGGTAACAATCACCCTTACAACGTAAGTTAAGGTCAAGGTGAAAATCACCCTTACAACACGTCCAAGGTAACAATCACCCTTACAATGTAAGTTAAGATCAAAGTGAAAATCACCCTTACAACACGTCCAAGGTAAAAATCCCCCTTACAATGTAAGTTAAGGTCAAAGTGAAAATCACCCTTACAACACGTCCAAGGTAACAATCACCCTTACAATGTAAGTTAAGATCAAAGTGAAAATCACCCTTACAACACGTCCAAGGTAACAATCACCCTTACAATGTAAGTTAAGGTCAAAGTGAAAATCACCCTTACAACACGTCCAAGGTAACAATCACCCTTACAATGTTAGTTAAGGTCAAGGTGAAAATCACACTTACAACACATCATATAAATCTGAGATGTGTTTTTTTATCGTTCATTTACAGGAAAGGATGATCTGAAGTGACTGATAATTGATACAACATTTAAGCACAATTAATTTCATTGTTTTACTATTTCGCATGAAACTTTAAAAACAGTTATGGCGTTATTTGAGTCATAGTCACATATATATCTATATTGCCATTTTTACTCAATTAAAAATCTTACTTTGAGGTAAAGGAATAATAAAATGAAATGTTTTAAATTAATTTTAGGCTAAACGTACTCAAGTACGCATAGCCTATTGCTACGGCCTTTCAGACAATTTACCGATCCTGACCTTCTCATTGGCTGAAATATCGAAAAGAGTTAGAGCCCTCTAGCGGCAATTTTCTGCGTAAATAATGCCGCGATCTTTCAAATCGCTATTTTAAAAGCATCCAAAATTAGTTTTTTTTTTTAATAACAATACGATTACTATATATTTAAAAAAAGAAGCACAGTGTGGTTGAACTATTGATAAATTTTGAAACAATATATTTTACGGAATTATCGACATGACGTAAGCGTACAGAACACTGTACGTGCGAGTTGATAAGAAGCTAGTCTGGGGGCTTGGTTTGAACTATCAACTAACAGCACTTATAAACAAACAAAACTTACAAACAGAACATCAATTTTGTTTTAATCCTTGTCGTTGTGGCAAGATCGTCTTAATATATAACATCACTTTACCTCAGTAGACCACACCGAATTGGACTGTTCGTCCCACGCGCACACCCGTTGATATGACACTTTTTTCAGGTTTTTCACACCCATCGCCATGACACTTTTTCAAGTTTTTGAAGATAAAATGTTTGCGCTTCGTAGGCAAGGTACATTTAGTGCTCATGATTTATGAATAATATATTTTGAATACTGTACTGATTATGATGTTGACACTGTCATAACTTATATTTTTTGTCTTTTAGTTTTATTTGATGAAGGTTGATTGTGCTGATTTCTCAAGGTTTGTTAATGTGTATCAAAGTTCCTTGAATTGTAAATATTTCTTCAAACAAAGCGCGTATAAAAAAAAACCAAAATGTTTATAATTATCAATTAACTAGAACGAAATATTTCCATAACATATTTATTCATTTAGCGTGTCATGGTGACATTATCTAATGCATTGGAGGTCAGAAATAGTAGTAGCTATAGTGAAAATATTGTAAATTTTGTATATATATGGAAGTCTGGTTTAATCTCAAAGAACTATGTCTTTATAGACATAATTACTGCAAGAAAAGTCTAACCATGATACTTCTAGGAAGATAGGCATGCAAATACATTTAATGTAATTACTTACACTTTAATTTATCTGAAATGCTGTGTACACCTTATCTATTTTCCTCAACTACAAATATAATTACAATAAGTAAGGACTATTACTTTGCAATACATTCAAAATAAAGAAGTAGGTATAAAGTCCTTTCGATTTGTCTAAATCCTCATATTGATAAGATAGTAATTGCAACATCTTGGGTATTTCAAAGGTTTTATTTAGTCAACTTCATCATAGAGCTATTAATCATTTGGCTTGTTGGCGATAAATATATGGTTGTGTGTATTTAGTTATTATTTTACCTATTTTGATTTGTTCACATTATTGTCGTCAAATTTGAAATAAGAATTAAAGAAGATATAAAATCGCTTAAAATTAAGAAAAATAGCCTCTGGTTCTCTTATTTTAGTAATTTTTGCATTCCAAAGTGTAGGAGTAAGGGGAAAGTAATATAGCTTTGCGGTTATTTGTGAACATTTTTCGATACGTTTAGCCTTTCAGTACTTTCAGTACTTTGATTATCTCATGTTATTGTTAGCAATTCGCGAGAAAAAACAATACACTGGGCACCTTAACCAAATTCCGCCGTGAGAACAATTTTAAAGTCTGGTTAGTATGATGTATCACTTAACTCTTAAATAATATTCTCCATATTTCGTGTATCTGGGTTTTTTAATTGATCTCTTTTATCGTCTTTTAGTCATCATATTTTGCATAATTAGGTATTCAAATGACATTTTATGTCTTTTTAACATTAATTAAATTATCCGTACATGCAACTCCGCGGCAAAGCTTGCTTTGCTTCGACGAAAAAAAGGCATCTTGTATCTCGGGTTTTTATATATTGTTGACGTTAAACCTAGAGGTTTCCGAATACATTCATGTGACACCGACCATAACAAAATACAGGCAGGCGTACACCGTTTATCGAAGATGCCTGCTTCTACCAAAATGGGAAGAGGGGTGAAATGTCCCGTGTGCCATATCAGGTACTCATTTACATCAAAAATATGCTTGTAATTACAACTGTTATCGATACCCGCCTTCAGTGCACTTGTTCCAAAAATTGTAAACAAAGTCTGTGCTGCGTATATGGTAGGCTTGTTTACAGATAAGAATATTTCACATTTACTTTTAGATTCTATCTACATAACTAATCGATTTTGTAATTCTTCTTTCGTAAAACGTGACTTAGCTAATGTCATCCACCAGCATCAGTCATAACACATAGCTCAGATTGTACTTTCTGGTTACATAATGGATGTTACGGGTCATAATCCATATCTCAAGTGCTTCGGAAAGAGATTCTGAATCATTCATATGTCATATTGTAAATGTTTTTAAAAAGTGTTTAGGAGTCGCGAGTGTGTTTACTCAAGTATCTTCTGCACATTTTCCCCTAAGTTGAAATGACAGACTACATTTAAGGACAATGATTACTGATTATTTGTGCTGTTTAAGTGAACGTAAAAGTAACATGGAATCAATTATTGTAGTTTTATTCCCACTAGCTGCTGGCAAGATATAAAATCTTCTTGTCATAACTGCTATATGTCACAGCAACATGTACTTCCTTGAACATTGGTAACAATTTTTTTTTAATTGAACAAAGATAAAAGAAATATTAACATTACATTCAAATAAGTTAGAATGCATTTACAGTATCGTCTGTCCTGGTCATAAATATGTTTGTACTGTATTTTTCCAAAGGGAAGGCCCACAACTGTTCAGTTGGAAGAGTATTAGTCAACACATCCTCAACTGTTGATAAGATGTACCTGTGTGCACAGTTTAGTTTGACCTCCTATTCCTATGTCATTTTGTGTTTTTTAGAAAGCTTAAAAAAAAACCCAGACTAGCCTGTGCTATCATGATTGTGTCCTTGGGCAAGACACTTACCCCAGTTGGTCTGCAGGCTTACATTGTGTCTTCTGTGTATTGTTCAGTGAGATAGCAGCCAGCTACTTCAAGGAGTTTCCAACCCCAAAATGACCCTGCCTGTTGATAGGACAATAAATCCAGCAAACAAGCAAACGAAAGCTGGACCCTGGAGTCATGATATGTTTAACCTGGAAACTGATTTCAGATTTTTACCTGAACCCAAGCACCATCTGGACCATTGGTCCTTGAACTCAAGAGTATATGTACCTTTCTGCCTTACCCTAGAGACTAACCTACTTCATCCTTGAGACTATCTGTATTTTTTGCAGTTTAACCTGGAAATTAATAAATGTTCTTTAACCTACCTCAATATGGAGATAAACGTTTCCTTAATCTGGACAATAACTATACCTTGATAACTACATTTTTGTACCTTAATCTGGACGCTAACTGAACCTTGAAAACTACCTTTTATTTTAACATGAAAACTAACTGTACCTTTCCAACTTAACCTGGAGGCTAACAGTTCCTTTTTACCTTAACCTGAAGACTGCTTGTACGTTAACCTGGAAACCTGCTACCTTAATATGAAGATCAAGTATTCCTTTATCTGGACACTCACTGAACCTTGATAATTGTACCTTTGTACCTCAATCTGGAGACTAGCTGATTTTTTAATTTAATATGGAGACTAACTGTTCCTTTTTACCTCAACCTGGAGACTAACAGTATTTTAACCTAGAGACTAAGTGTACCTTTGTACGTTAACCTGGAGACTAAATGTTCCTTTTAACAAGAGACTTACTACTTTAATATGGAGATTAAGTATCCCTTAATCTGGAGACTAACTGAACCTTGATAACTTTACCTTTGTACCATAGCCTGAAGACTAACAGTATTTTAGCCTAGAGACTAAATGTACCTTTGTACCTTAACCTGGAGACTAAATGTTCCTTTTAACAAGAGACTTACTACTTTGATATGGAGATTAAGTATCCCTTAATCTGGAGACTAAATGAACCTTGATAACTTTACCTTTGTACCTTAACCTAGAGACTAAATGTTCTTTAACCTGGAGACCTACTACCTTAATATGGAGATTAAGTATCCCTTAATCTGGAGACTAACTGAACCTTGATAACTTTACCTTTGTACCATAGCCTGGAGACTAACAGTATTTAATCATAAGACTAACTGTACCGTTGTACCTTAACCAACAGACTAAATGTACCTGTACTTACAGATTAATTGTATCTTATTATGGAAACTAACCATACCTTTGTACCATAACCCAGATGGTGGTTGTATTTCAACCTTAAGCCAGTCTACTTTTAAGCTGGAATCTGCCTGAATGTACTTTGAACTGAAGTTTGTAATTATGCTTAAACATCAACTTGGAGTATACTTGCTGAGCGTCTTTCATTTAATACTTCATCATCATTGAGTCTTGAGTGTTTTAAGGTTAAGATTAGTTGCCTTGTCGGACCAATTTCTATTTAATTCATTCTGACAGTCACCTGCCAAGAGAGAAGGATGTTAAAAGTGGTGTGTTCGCAGCAACATGTCAGAACTGTGGACACTTCTTTAAATTTAGAGTGGACTCTGGACTTGCTACAAAGGTGACATTGACTGTCAATGGACAAAAATACACAGGTAATTTGAGGAGTGTTGGTTAGGGGAGGAAACTTATAAATGGAGAAAATACAGTAGTCCAATCCAAATCTCTGTAGAACTTGTATTATATTGAGTTTATTATTTTGAAATAATATTTCTTTGACTTTTAAGTCACTTATGAACTGAGAAAAAGAATTATTTGTTATGTCCACTTGCCTTGTTGATCATCAATTCCTTTGAAATAAGATTTTCTCATGCTTGGTATATTTTCTACAAGGCAAATGGCCACAGTCTATATCCTTTTTACTAATTAAACAAAAGAATCAAGAATGATTGTTGAGAATTCTTGGGTCAAGATAGTCTTTAATAGATAAACTGATTTCATTGTATCCATGATTATATACCTTTATAACCCTTGTATATACTAGTCACCTTATACCACTTAGTTAGAGAAAGAGAAAGCCTGGTAAGTTCGAGGTTTCGGGTTTGATTGGTAGTGGAAGTATTGCAATAATATTGATTATTATATCAGTAACAACATTAAAAACCTGTAGGCTGATACTAATATCAGGAGACTAAAAACCTGTAGGCTGATACTAATATCAGGAGACTAAAAACCTGTAGGCTGATACTAATATCAGGAGACTAAAAACCTGTAGGCTGATACTAATATCAGGAGACTAAAAACCTGTAGGCTGATACTAATATCAGGAAACTAACAACCTGTTGGCTGATACTAATATCAGGAGACTAAAAGTCTGTAGGCTGATACTAATATCAGGAAACTAAAAACCTGTAGGCTGATACTAATATCAGGAAACTAACAACCTGTAGGCTGATACTAATATCAGGAAACTAACAACCTGTTGGCTGATACTAATATCAGGAAACTAAAAACCTGTAGGCTGATACTAATATCAGAAAACTAACAACCTGTAGGCTGATACTAATATCAGGACACTAAAAGTCTGTAGGCTGATACTAATATCAGGAAACTAAAAACCTGTAGGCTGATACTAATATCAGGAAACTAACAACCTGTAGGCTGATACTAATATCAGGACACTAAAAGTCTGTAGGCTGATACTAATATCAGGAAACTAACAACCTGTAGGCTGATACTAATATCAGGAAACTAAAAACCTGTAGGCTGATACTAATATCAGGAAACTAACAACCTGTTGGCTGATACTAATATCAGGAAACTAAAAACCTGTAGGCTGATACTAATATCAGGAAACTAACAACCTGTAGGCTGATACTAATATCAGGACACTAAAAGTCTGTAGGCTGATACTAATATCAGGAAACTAACAACCTGTAGGCTGATACTAATATCAGGAAACTAAAAACCTGTAGGCTGATACTAATATCAGGAAACTAAAAACCTGTGGCTGATACTAATATCAGGAAACTAAAAACCTGTAGGCTGATACTAATATCAGGACACTAAAAGTCTGTAGGCTGATACTAATATCAGGAAACTAACAACCTGTAGGCTGATACTAATATCAGGAAACTAACAACCTGTTGGCTGATACTAATATCAGGAGACTAAAAGTCTGTAGGCTGATACTAATATCAGGAAACTAAAAACCTGTAGGCTGATACTAATATCAGGAAACTAACAACCTGTAGGCTGATACTAATATCAGGAAACTAACAACCTGTTGGCTGATACTAATATCAGGAAACTAAAAACCTGTGGCTGATACTAATATCAGGAAACTAAAAACCTGTAGGCTGATACTAATATCAGGAAACTAACAACCTGTTGGCTGATACTAATATCAGGAAACTAAAAACCTGTAGGCTGATACTAATATAAGGAAACTAACAACCTGTAGGCTGATACTAATATCAGGACACTAAAAGTCTGTAGGCTGATACTAATATCAGGAAACTAACAACCTGTTGGCTGATACTAATATCAGGAAACTAAAAACCTGTAGGCTGATACTAATATCAGGAAACTAACAACCTGTAGGCTGATACTAATATCAGGACACTAAAAGTCTGTAGGCTGATACTAATATCAGGAAACTAAAAACCTGTAGGCTGATACTAATATCAGGAAACTAACAACCTGTAGGCTGATACTAATATCAGGACACTAAAAGTCTGTAGGCTGATACTAATATCAGGAAACTAACAACCTGTAGGCTGATACTAATATCAGGAAACTAAAAACCTGTAGGCTGATACTAATATCAGGAAACTAACAACCTGTTGGCTGATACTAATATCAGGAAACTAAAAACCTGTAGGCTGATACTAATATCAGGAAACTAACAACCTGTAGGCTGATACTAATATCAGGACACTAAAAGTCTGTAGGCTGATACTAATATCAGGAAACTAACAACCTGTAGGCTGATACTAATATCAGGAAACTAAAAACCTGTAGGCTGATACTAATATCAGGAAACTAACAACCTGTTGGCTGATACTAATATCAGGAAACTAAAAACCTGTAGGCTGATACTAATATCAGGAAACTAACAACCTGTAGGCTGATACTAATATCAGGACACTAAAAGTCTGTAGGGTGATACTAATATCAGGAAACTGACAACCTGTTGGCTGATACTAATATCAGGAAACTAAAAACCTGTAGGCTGATACTAATATCAGGAAACTAACAACCTGTAGGCTGATACTAATATCAGGACACTAAAAGTCTGTAGGCTGATACTAATATCAGGAAACTAAAAACCTGTAGGCTGATACTAATATCAGGAAACTAACAACCTGTAGGCTGATACTAATATCAGGACACTAAAAGTCTGTAGGCTGATACTAATATCAGGAAACTAACAACCTGTAGGCTGATACTAATATCAGGAAACTAAAAACCTGTAGGCTGATACTAATATCAGGAAACTAACAACCTGTAGGCTGATACTAATATCAGGACACTAAAAGTCTGTAGGCTGATACTAATATCAGGAAACTAACAACCTGTAGGCTGATACTAATATCAGGACACTAAAAGTCTGTAGGCTGATACTAATATCAGGAAACTAACAACCTGTAGGCTGATACTAATATCAGGAAACTAAAAACCTGTTGGCTGATACTAATATCAGGAAACTAACAACCTGTTGGCCTGTTGGCTGATACTAATATCAGGAAACTAAAAACCTGTAGGCTGATACTAATATCAGGAAACTAACAACCTGTAGGCTGATACTAATATCAGGAAACTAACAACCTGTAGGCTGATACTAATATCAGGAAACTAAAAGTCTGTAGGCTGATACTAATATCAGGAAACTAAAAACCTGTAGGCTGATACTAATATCAGGAAACTAACAACCTGTAGGCTGATACTAATATCAGGAAACTAAAAACCTGTAGGCTGATACTAATACCAGGAAACTAAAAACCTGTAGGCTGATACTAATACCAGGAAACTAAAAACCTGTTGGCTGATACTAATATCAGGAAACTAAAAACCTGTAGGCTGATACTAATACCAGGAAACTAAAAACCTGTTGGCTGATACTAATATCAGGAAACTAACAACCTGTTGGCTGATACTAATACCAGGAAACCATTCCGATTGTCGATTGTTTACTTCAGTATCTACTGACCAGTACAGTCCCTCTACATCCCTGAATGAATTCTTACGCACATCCCGTGTATCAACTGGCACCAAGGTGATGTGTCGGGAGGGTGGGTGTGGCATGTGTTTGGTGGAGGCAAAATTGTACGAACCAATCTCCTTTGGGAAAAAGCCATACTCCATCAATTCTGTAAGTATATTAATATTTATCTCTACACTGATGTAATAATGTAACACATTGATTAATAAAAATTGATGTTAAAACACATAGTAAATAGATTGCATTTTAGAAATGAAGACAACTTGAAAATAACATTATAATCATTTACTTATTTACATTAACAGATATGCATGTGTTTGAAATCATTTTAATTTTCTCTTTCTTTTTTAGATTATAATTTTCATTTTTGTGTTGTTGAAGTTGTTGAGTTGTCTTTTTCAGTGTCTATATCCATTGTTTCTCTGTGATGGTTGGGAGATCACTACTGTAGAGGGAATTCCACACAAGGGAGATAACTCTGTGTCAGAGAGACTGGCTCACTACAATGGAAGCCAGTGTGGTTATTGTAGTGATGGACAAGTCATGAACATGCACTCGTAAGCTTTGTTTAATGGTATATTTGAGAGGAGATGCAATTTCATTTCCCAACAAACACAATCACTTTGATTCTCCATATCAAAAATTCTTGGAGATAATAGTCAGTTTACCTGATATTTAGATGTGACGACAAAGAGAAACTTTTATTGTCTGGTTCAGCATTTAGAGTTTGTTAACACACCATGACCATACACTGCTGAGCAATATTGAGATGGACCTTTGCTTATCGGGTATTCCACTGCACCTGTTACTAATTACTCCTTTCAATGAACTGAAGGGACTATGTAGTTTTTCGTTGTGTACTCCCCTGTCTTCTTGTTTGTCTATCCCTCTGTTCTTCCTTCCATCCTTCTATGATCTCGCGTGGGGTGTATCCTACACTGCCTGTCACTGGATCTTCATACTTTGGGCTATAGTTTTACGTTTGTGTGGTGGTGTGTCTTGTATCAGAATGTTGGCCTCTCTGACCTACATTTTGACCTCGATCTACATCAAAGTAAAAGACCATGCATTACACTTAGCTTGATGACACAGTTTGCTGTATGCGAAAATTAAGTCTCTCAGACCTACATTTTGACCTTTGCATCAAAGAAAATGTAAATGTTTCTGTGTACTCTATTTCCTACATCTCTAGTCACTGGAATTTCATTCTGAAGGTATAGGTCCACCTCAATGATTCATTGTGTTGGTCAGGGACTGAAACTCATCGAATTGTCTTGCTATAAATAATTTGCATTATCACTATTTATAGATTGTCTGATCATAGATTTCTAAATTCAGATTCGACTGTAGGGATTAAAACAGTTCTATTACATCAGTTACTGATATAAGACCTTCCCTTAATTCCCTACTTTTGCATTTGTTCATAATTTTAAAGATTTTCCAGAGCTGATTCTTGGTATCAACTGATTGAACTGTGAAGTATACCTATATCTAATGTTGGTATAGCAGGTACTGTATGTGTTTGTAGGCTACTGGAGTACAATGGTGGACAAGTGACCATGCAGCAGGTGGAGGACGCGTTTGATAATGTCATCTGCAGATGTACAGGTACAAAATCACATACACCACTGTAAAACCATATCATTTTGTGGGCCTCATATTTCACTGTAGTTTCTGTCATACTGCCTTAATACTAGCAAATACCTTTCAACTAGGTTGGGGAGAATTTTTTCAGCTTTTATTATAAATTTTGGCCATTCATCCAACTATGATGCTTAAAACCATTGAATGGGTTACTGTATTGGTTAAGCACATCTTTCTTTACATAAAAGAATGTCCTTTTCTACACAGGTTACAGGCCAATACTGGATGCCATGAAGTCTTTTGCTGTGGATTCTCCTTTCAACAAGAAGAAAAATTCCCACTCTGTAGATATTGAGGTAAGCAACAACAAAAATATGGGAAGTTAAGAAAGCTTATACTGCTCTTAAGATGTAGGTATGAATTTCGCTTTAGTTTTTTATTTTAATTCCAAGTAATAGTGTTACAATACAGACACTTTAAATTCAGGAACGAAGTAAGTTAGTATTTAGGAAATTCAGAAAGGGACTTGAGCAGTCTATTTTAAAATACATCTCAACAGTGTTTCTTTTTACACTGCTTAGTATGTGGATGTATACTATAAAAGTCCTCTGGTTGTCATGAGTCTGTCATTCAACTGTCACTGCAGGGAAGGATGTGGTAAATTCAATCTTACATTAGTTTTCTTTAACAGGACAATTTGCTCTCCAGAGGAAGTGTACAGGACTAGGAATCGGATTCAATGCAAATAATGTTAATTTCAGTGTGAAGTATATTTGCTTTTTCCAGGATATTGGGACCCTAAGTAAAGTGTGTAAAAAAACAGGTGGTCCTTGCCAGGGAAATTGTAGTCAGCAGACAGCAGACAATAAGGAGATGACACAAATTGTATTGAAAGATGCTCAATGGTTCAAACCTAAGTCAGTACAACAGGTTTTTGATGCCATGAAGCAAGCAGCAGGAAAGAAGATGAAGCTGGTTTTTGGAAACACTGGCTACGGTATTGTATTCCTTAATCACAGACTGTTTCATAGAGTGTAAAATAATTTATGGTAAACAGTGCAGTTGTCTGTATCCTTTAACTGTTAATATTCTAGTGGTAATCAAATTTTACCACAAAATATTGTGGTAAAATTTTATTGTGCTAATTGGAGTTGCTGTATTCCATTTATATAGTAATTATGGTGAATGCCCTAATTCGTCATTGTGCTGATATTCTGAAAAATGATAATGCACTAAAATTTGATAACACTAAATCAAGTATGTCTACAGTATGTCTTGTACAGAAGGTTAGAGAATGGATTTGACAGTTACCTATCACTATTCCAAAAGGAATTTTCGATTTTATAGAATTAGTCATGTAAGTGGGGGGGAAAAAAAAGGGAAAAGATCTTTTAAATAACAAATAAAGATTAAATGATGGTGAGTGTCAAGATCTTTTTTGGATCTCTTGTTTAATTCTAAATAAATATTAGATGTTGGAAGATTTTACTAAAACGACAGCTTCTTTTGTATCAGGTGTGTTTTTGGAACTTGGTCAGTGGATGTTTGAAGTCTTGATTGACCTCCGAGATGTCCAAGAAATGTATGTGGTAGATGTAAGTATTCTCTCAGATCAAATGGAGATATTTATTTCAAATACATTTTACATACCTAAGAGCTGTAGATAAGAACTCTAGTTTCACTTTGATAATGTTGTAAACCTTTGACATTTTCATTCAATGCTTATTGACCTATGCTTTTTACAGTTTGATAGTGCTGATGTAACCTTTGACCATTTCAGGTCCTTTAATGAATTCATTTGACTTTAATTTAGTTTTTTGTTTTGTCCACTTAGACAGTTTCATAGATAATGACTTTTGATTCTCAGTTTCACTTTGTCAATCTTATAGATGTTGACCTTTGATCCTTAATTTCACTTTGACAGTCTTATAGATGTTGACCTTTGGTCCTTAGTTTCACTTTGTCAATCTTATAGATGTTGACCTTTGATCCTTAATTTCACTTTGACAGTCTTATAGATGTTGACCTTTGGTTCTTAGTTTCACTTTGACAGTCTTATAGATGTTGACCTTTGGTTCTTAGTTTGACTTTGTCAATCTTATAGATGTTGACCTTTGATCCTTAGTTTGACTTTGACAGTCTTATAGATGTTGACCTTTGTTCTTAGTTTCACTTTGTCAATCTTATAGATGTTGACCTTTGATCCTTAGTTTGACTTTAACAGTCTTATAGATGTTGACCTTTGGTCCTTAGTTTCACTTTGTCAATCTTATAGATGTTGACCTTTGATCCTTAGTTTCATTTTGACAGTCTTATAGATGTTGACCTTTGGTTCTTAGTTTCACTTTGACAGTCTTATAGATGTTGACCTTTGATCCTTAATTTCACTTTGACAGTCTTATAGATGTTGACCTTTGATCCTTAATTTCACTTTGACAGTCTTATAGATGTTGACCTTTGGTTCTTAATTTCACTTTGACAGTCTTATAGATGTTGACCTTTGATCCTTAATTTCACTTTGACAGTCTTATAGATGTTGACCTTTGGTTCTTAGTTTCACTTTGACAGTCTTATAGATGTTGACCTTTGATCCTTAGTTTCACTTTGACAGTCTTATAGATGTTGACCTTTGATTCTGTGTTTCATTTTTGCATTCTTATAGAAGGTGAGCTTTCCTTTTTGCTGTTATTGACCTTAAACCCTTTTTAGTTCAATGATGATGTTGATGTTTGATCTCTGTAGTTTTATTAAAATGTTGACCTTTGATATTACAGTTTGACAGTGATGTAACCCTGGGAGCAAATCTGTCATTGACACAGTTACAGGACATATTCTACCGTGGGAAGAGTGAGCCTAACTTATACTACTTTGATGCACTGTATGAACGTGTTAAGAACATCGCTGCCCACTCTGTGAGAAATGTAGGTACTACAGGGCTCTCTTTACTAAATCATTCTTCTTTCTCAGAAAGTTTCAGTTCTGTTGCAGTCTAAGTCACAAAAATAGATTTATTGTTGCTATTTGTTTCCTTCAGAATATCATTGTCATAGTTAAAAATTCAGGGATATTTCGAAGTATTTTACCAGACTTATCTGATCAGAAATGATTTTCCTCATCAAAAGATTATTTCAATGCCTGATAAAAATTAACAGACAGATGAATATATACATCCTGTAAATTGTTTATTTCACAGCTTGGCTGCTGGGCCGGAAACCTCATGCTCAAGCATGCACATCCAGAATTCCCTTCTGACGTTTACTGTATGTTAGAAGCTGCTGGGGCACAACTAGACATCAGTAAGTTCATAAGGTCTCACAGCCCAGACAATTTAAGTGAAACATACTCAAGTTATCTGTTTCTGGTTTAAATTTATTACAAGGATCTTATATTGTGAATATCCATACTTTTGATCAGAGTGCCCCTTGACCTAAGGTCATATGATATGATCTAGACCTAAAACCTGATTTGGTCACTTCTGAAATCATAAGCTTCAGTGTAGAATATTCCAATATTAAAGACATCTTTTGACAATAGTTCCATGGCTGATTAGATGTCAAATTCTACCAACCTTCTTTAGATCTGAATCAGGGGTGGGGGAAGCGATGGGGTGAGAGGGGAGGGGCACAACTTGGTCAGGAGAGCAACAGCCTAATATAAAGTCAGGTTAAGATAGATGTAAGGTCTGACCCCTACCCAAGGCAGTCAATGTTTTTTGAGTGAAGATAGATGTAGGTCCTGATCCCTTCCTAAGGCAGTCTGTGTTTCTTGAGTGAAGATAGATGTATGGTCTGACCCCTACCCAAGGCAGTCTGTGTTTCTTGAGTGAAGATAGATGTAGGTTCTGATCTCTTCTTAAGGCAGTCTGTGTTTCTTGAGTGAAGATAGATGTATGGTCTGACCCCTACCCAAGGCAGTCTGTGTTTCTTGAGTGAAGATAGATGTAGGTTCTGATCCCTTCTTAAGGCAGTCTATGTTTCTTGAGTGAAGATAGACATATGGTCTGACCCTACCCAAGGCAGTCTGTGTTTCTTGAGTGAAGATAGACATATGGTCGGGCCCTACCCAAAGTAGTCTGTGTTTCTTGAGTGAAGATAGATGTATGGTCTGACCCCCACCCAAGGCAGTCTGTTTTTTTAATGAAGATAGACGTATGGTCTGACCCCTACCCAAGGCAGTCTGTGTTTCTGGAGTGAAGATAGACATATGGTCGGACCCCTACCCAAAGCATTCTGTGTTTCTTGAGTGAAGATAGATGTATGGTCTGACCCCCACCCAAGGCAGTCTGTGTTTCTTGAGTGAAGATAGACATATGGTCTGACCCTACCCAAGGCAGTCTGTGTTTCTTGAGTGAAGATAGATGTAAGGTCTGACCCTACCCAAGGCAGTCTGTGTTTCTTGAGTGAAGATAGCCATATGGTCTGACCCCTACCCAAGGCTGTCTGTATTTAATTGAGTGAAGATAGACATATGGTCTGACCCTTCCTAAGGCAGTCTGTTTCTTGAGTGGAGATCGATGTATGGTCTGACCCTACACAAGGCAGTCTGTGTTTCTTGAGTGAAGATAGACATATGGTCTGACCTCTACCCAAGGCAGTCTGTGTTTCTTGAGTGAAGATAGATGTATGGTCTGACCCCTACCTAAGGTAGTCTGTGTTTCTTGAGTGAAGATAGATGCAGGTTCTGACCCCTACCCAAGGCAGTCTGTGTTTCTTGAGTGAAGATAGATGTATGGTCAGACCCCTACCCAAGGCAGTATGTGTTTCTTGAGTGAAGATAGATGTATGGTCTGACCCCTACCTAAGGCAGTCTGTGTTTCTTGAGTGAAGATAGACATATGGTCGGACCCCTACCCAAAGCAGTCTGTATTTAATTGAGTGAAGATAGATGCAGGTTCTGACCCCTACCCAAGGCAGTCTGTGTTTCTGGAGTGAAGATAGACGTATGGTCAGACCCCTACCCAAGGCAGTCTGTGTTTCTCTGATGAAGATCTGAGATGTGTGGTTTGACCTATACCTGTTATCAAAGGAAGCTCAGATTACAAGCGATCCGGTATTGTCATGATTACATCCTTGGACAAGACACTTTACTCAAAGCCTTTTACACTAATTTCACTAATTTTCTTGCTATGTAAATTTTATTTCATGTGTGGGAGTTAGGTCCCTTCACTGACTCATGCTGCTTTTATACACATAATCAATGCTTTATGTAGTTATGTGTTTACATTTTATTTCAAATTTAAATATAACTCCTTTCCTAACTCTTTCATTTTGTACGTAGCTGATGGGTCACAGAACCAGCTAGGGATGTATCAGATATCTCACTTCCTGTCACTAGACATGACAGGTAAGCTGATTGTGGGTATGATGTTACCAGGCCTCGACAGCAAGGACTACTACATTCGTACCTACAACGTCTCTAAGAGGACGCAGGTGAGAAACGACGAACATGAAAAGTCACTGTGGGGTCACAGTTGTTGGTCTATTCAGACAAATTGTTTCATAATTAAATAAGTAAAACTTTTAAAGAGTCAAAGTTAGCAGAACCAAATAAAAAATTTACATAAGTGGATGGTTCATCTTAATTGTGTTGCAGTATACGATCTTTAGATTTTTGGTGGTAAGAACTGACTAAACGAAGGCCCTATATGTTCAGCAATATATCTCCAAAGATATTTCACAGATTTGCTTCAGACAATCAAAGAATTCTACATCAGAGAAAGAAACTTATGTCAATGAAATATTGATAGTTTATAGAATCACTGTTATGCTACAGGTCAATAACAAAATACAAATATGTTCATTCATGCAGATGAAAGTAGCTTCACCTGGATGACAAACATGGGATATGTCACTATGCACTTAACAACCAATTGTAACCTATACAATCCAATTACAGTTTGAAATGCTTTAATTTGTGTATCCATGCTACAGTGTACTGGTTATCATTTTATTCTCTCGCTTTTTTCAACACATAATCGATACCCAATGAAAATGTTTTCAGGAAGTTTGCTTCACATTTTTACATAGAATGCCCATGCATATGTCAATGCTGGTATCCGGATGAGATTGGATAGCAAGAACAAATACCAAGTGAAGGAAAAACCAACATTAGTATTTGGAGGCATTAGTGCTACATTCGTAAGTAGAGATTTCTAATTATATCTAAGGCTGTAAAAGTTGTTTATCATAGTATATAGTTTAAGATCTTACAGTCATGTCTCGTGTGGGTAGTTGTACCACATATACATAGGGGTTTTCCACAGCCCAGCAGTTTGCTGGGAACTTGAATTGACATTCGGAACAGCTCTGTTTCACTAATATCTCCGTGGCAATGACAACACAGATGATTTCGCACTGTGCATACAGCCCAGTAATATATATTCTCTATGTTTTTGCCATCTATGAATACACACTAATTGTTGGTATACATTTTCACCATTGCTATATAATTTAGTAATTTTAATTCCTTTCTTTTTATATGTTTCATTATTGGTGATTGTATGTAACTTTAGTCAGAGCTTTGACCTATGCTATAGGTATCCTACATTAGGTGATTGTATGTAACTTTGGTCAGAGCTTTGACCTATGCTATAGGTATCCTACATTAGGTGATTGTATGTAACTTTAGTCAGAGCTTTGACCTATGCTATATGTATCCTACATTAGGTGATTGTATGTAACTTTAGTCAGAGCTTTGACCTATGCTATAGGTATCCTACATTAGGTGATTGTATGTAACTTTGGTCAGAGCTTTGACCTATGCTATAGGTATCCTACATTAGGTGATTGTATGTAACTTTAGTCAGAGCTTTGACCTATGCTATATGTATCCTACATTAGGTGATTGTATGTAACTTTAGTCAGAGCTTTGACCTATGCTATAGGTATCCTACATTAGGTGATTGTATGTAACTTTAGTCAGAGCTTTGACCTATGCTATAGGTATCCTACATTAGGTGATTGTATGTAACTTTAGTCAGAGCTTTGACCTATGCTATAGATATCCTACATTAGGTGATTGTATGTAACTTTAGTCAGAGCTTTGACCTATGCTATAGGTATCCTACATTAGGTGATTGTATGTAACTTTAGTCAGAGCTTTGACCTATGCTATAGGTATCCTACATTATGTTACAGAACCATGCTACAAATACAGAGACATTCTTGATGGGGAAGCAGCTGACCGACCCAGAAGTATTTAAAGGTAACACAGCCTTGTCACCTGATGACTACTTATTTTACCAAAACATTCTCTAATCTTGAGAATTATAGGGAGATGAAATGTTGAATAATGGAAAACCTCTGCTTAGTATTTAACAAAATTTATTGATGTTGGTGTTATCTTTGTTTTCTATGATAACCATTGACCTGTCTCCCACAGGGGCACTGATGACCCTGTCTGCAGAAGTGGTCCCTGACACCACTGACTTGAGGGCAGCTAGCGCTGCCTACAGGAAGAATCTGGCCCTGTCTTACTTTTACAGAGTAAGTTATGGAAATCCTAAACTGTCTTGATTTTTCTTCTTCATATTTTGCTGTAATTGATCGTTTTTCAACAGTCAGTTGCTGAGTTTTTGCCAGATTTTTTTAATCTTTATTTTAGTCAGATGTTGTAATGGCAGCAGTACTTGGATCTGGTCAAAGTCCACTAACTGAAGTCACATGTAATCCCTCTAGTTTGTTGGTATTCCAACATTAGTCACCATTAAAGTACAAAGAGCTGTTATTTTCTTCCGACCTTATCTGATTTGCCCTGTGCATTTTGTTGGAGAATTTTGCTGGAGAAATACATATAGTTAGGTTCGACATCAAATATACTGATGAAAACTTACAGACATACTATGATAGTAAACCTCAAAGTTTCTCTCGTTTACTCTCCTTTGTAATAGATGTTGGAATGGGACATTTGTGCCTGTTTTACAGTGCTTTAAAATAATGTCTTAAAATACGCAGATGTATGATGCCCATCAATTAGTCAGTCTTTTGATCTTTCCACTTGTAGCATCTTACCTGATATACCAGTTTGTGTTATTAAATGCTATATGAACATGAACTATTAATAGTAAACTGACTATGTATCCAGTTTGTGTTGGACGTTTTGGGAGATGCGGCCCCCACCAGACTGAAGACAGGAGCTAAAGCTCTACTTAGGCCTTTGTCTACGGGACAACAGAGCTATGACACCAAACCTATGGAGTGGCCACTTACACAGCCAATGACTAAAGTCTTAGCCCTCAACCAGGTATGCCAGAAATCATTTATAAGGGTAGCTTTGTTAAAATGTGTCAAAATTTTTTTGATTTTCGTATATTTTAAATATGACTTTGAAAATATTGCTAACTACAAAACAGTTATATGACTGTTTAAATAAAGTAGGTCCAATATTTTTACTTTCTAAAGTGTTATATAGTGACTTTTGCATTTAGTTTTGGGCTGCCTAAGGGGTACTCTTAGTTCTTAATCCTCGAAAGTAGACTATAGATCTTCCTTGGATAGAAGAACGTAGACTTCCTGAGACCTCATATAACTTTGGTTGATTAGAGAAATATTTTTTCTGAATGATGCAAACAGTGTAGAGATTTTTTAATATTTTACAGACCTCAGGGAAAGCTATGTATATAAACGACCTTCCCAGCAAGCCCCAGGAGCTTCATGCTGCCTTCGTTTGCAGCACTGTAGCTAATGCCACTCTACAAAGCATGGATGCCACAGAAGCACTGGTCAGGTCTTCTTTATTTTTAAATGATATTGAAACATTTGATAAATACACCAAAAAAAAGACCAAACACTCAATCTCATAAAATTGAAGTTATGACTTATTGTAATATTTGATTTGATAGACAAGATTACTCATTGATTTTTAAATTGATATACTCTAGAATACTCCTGGTGTGGTGAAATTCTTGGAAGCCAAGGACATTCCTGGAGTGAACAATTGTTATCCCACAGCAGAGTTCCCAGAGGAGGTAAGTACAGTATGGAGGGTACAGTCCATAACACCATTCTCTGAACTGGTAAGGACAGGGTGAAGGATCCTGTCCATATCACCATTTCCAGAGGAGGTAAGTACAGTATGGAAAGTACAGTCCATAACACCATTTCCAGAGGAGGTAAGGACAGGGTGAAGGATACAGTCCATATCACCATTTCCAGAGGAGGTAAGGACAGGATCATCATTCCCAGACTGATCAAAAAAGCAAAGTGGCTATCTTGAATTTCGACAATGAAAAAAATCCTTGAGAAGTGCTGAATAGGTCTTTTTTAAATGCCATATGTATGTTCCCCTTGGTGTTTATTTGTGCCTTTTGAATTTTGGACTGATCAGAAAATCAAAGTGGCCGGCAGGCAACCATTTTGGATTTGACAGTTAAAGATTATTATAGCTATTTCTAAAGAGGAATGTTCAACTTTCGTATAATTGAGGACAAAAACAAAGGAAAGAAGAGAACAAAAGGGGAAAAGATCCCACATTTAAAGAACATAGAAAGATGGCTATTTCCCTCAACACTAAATTGACTAAATTAACTTCATAAACTATGTATTACGTGAACATGTATATTTTCCTTTTATGGTAATGGGAAAGGTTTTTGTTTCAGCTGTTCTGCAGTGGTCAAGTGTCCTTTTCTGGTCAACCTCTTGGTCTGATTATTGCAGGTGAGTCTCTAGCCATATATTTCCTACACTAAATCTTGCCAAAGGACAATGTTATCACATTTATTGTTGTTACCAGACTTGATCTTATCACCAGGTATATATTATGTATACATGAGAATTACCACTTCGTAAAACATTTGCACATTTACAACAAAATGGTATAAGAGTTATTTCCCCTGGTCTGTTATGTTTTATGGGTGAGTTATGAAACTTGTTTATGACAATACATGAGTTAGGAGGGAACTATTATGTAGTATACATGAGTTATGGCCATGGTAGTATTTAATAGTATTATTATCTAGTATACATGAGTTATGGTTCTTGATAGTTTATAGTATGATAATCTTTTATACATGAACTATGACTCTTGGTTTTTCAGAATAGTATTTTACAGTTACAGGATAATGCTGATATTTTCCCCAATTCTAAGGGCCCCAGGCGCCAGTCCCAAAATGGGGTGTGAGAGCCCTGATTATATTAATCTAGAGTTATTGACTTCACCCTGTAACTACATTATAAATCAGGAGTTATGGCCCTTGGGTTTTTTATGACGACATTGTACAGCAGTTGTAACCTTTGTTCTTTGGTAATCATATTATAAAAGAGATACTGCTTTAGGTTTGTTATGACATAATACACAAAAGGCTCTAGGTCTCTCATGATAATATCAGTAAGCAGTTAGAGCCCTTTTTGATGACAATATTATCTAAAAGTTTAAGTTCCCTGATGATATTGTTTAACAAGACAGTAACTGTCCTTCATAGAAATAATGGCATTTAAGGGTTTTATTTATTAATATTTTTGGCTAAATCCTTTTTTTCATTTCATGAATATAGAGGATGAGGATACAGCTCGATCAGCAGCCAATAAGGTGAAGGTCAACTACACCAACATACAGCCTCCTATTCTTACTATGGGAGATGCTATCGCCAAGAAATCTATCCATCCTGGACTGACCCCAGAATTTACTGTAGGGGATGCTGAAGGTAAGCAGTGTTTATAGCTCACCTGGCCCTAAAAGCCAAATGAGAATATGCCATGGTATAGTGTCTGTCTTACATCATCTTCTCACATGAGTGAAATTTGTTCAAACCTTTAAATGACTGTCTGATTAACCCAAAGAACTGGAATTTTGACATTTGGTAGTTTAGTACCTGGGATCTAGCCTGACAATATGGATGGTAAGTTCCTTGGTTGAAGCCCAGCAAATGATATGAAAAGAAATTATGTTGACCCATATTCAAGGTGACAAGCATCAATTTCTTTTTTCTATTGGGATCGCATTTTGTCTAGTGTCGTAAACATTTTCAACTTCTTCTACATGTCCCATTGAGCTGAAACTTACCTGAAGTGATTGTGACATGATCCTGACCAAAGTTTGTTAATTTCGGGTTGGTCCGAAATCCAACATGGCCGCCATGACCGCCATCTTGAAAACAAATTTTCGACTTCTTCTCAAGTTCAAAATTTGAAATCTTGTATTTTATGTCAGATGACCGTTAAGGCCCATGGGCCTCTTGTTTTAAAATGTGGTCTTGAATCAGGGATGAATGTCAATGATATTAAGTGATAATATTTTTGTGAAAAACATTGAATACAAGGTGAGCAATGCAGGCCAATTGGGCCTTTTGTTTTTCATGAATTTCATTGCTGCCTGTGCCTTTACTAAATTCTTGAATACTGGGAAAATATTCCCAATTTTTCTTATTTTTTCACAAATAACACAAAATAAGAGGTTTGTGTATCAACTGTTACAGGAGCTATTTCAAAATCTCCTCAGAAGATCCAAGGTTCCATCAGCTGTGGAGCTCAGTACCACTTCCATATGGAAACTCAGGTATATATTGTCATTAAAGAAATGGAAAGTGCTCTTTTCGTATCTTGATTGTCAATGTCAGTTTAATGTAAATGGACTGTGTAACTAAGGGTTTTGTAACAAGATATTATCTAATGAAACACCTGTGTCATTAAGTTATGTTATAAAGAGTCTAACCATAAAGCCAGGACTCCATAACTATATATATAAAACTAAGGACAATGTTACTAAGGAATGTAACTGTTCGTGTAACTAAAGACTGTGTAACTAAGGTCTGTGTAACATATTGCCAAGACATAAAGAATATATATTGTTTTATTGTGAATTGGAGTAAAATTTATTGTTTGGTACAGGTGAGCATAGCTACCCCCACAGAAGATGGAATTGAGTTAGATGCAAGCACACAATGGACAGATTTGAACCAGAGGGCTGTTGCCATGGTATTGGGATGTTATGAAAGCAGGTAAAACTCTGGACTAACAGGAAGTTGTACATTATGTATTGGGGGGATGGGGTGGGGAGAGCAGGAAATAGTGGGTTTTTTTGTAAAACAAAATGTGCAAAATCAATTTTTATGTGTTACCATGTGTTTAAAATAGCATTATTGATTATGAAATATACATTACATTCAGTATTGTAATTTGAAATGTAGTGATCAACCTATATAGACACTCGTCTAGAACTCTCCCATCACTAAGGCTTAAATCTTACACTTTTATTTAGGGTATTTAGAACTCTCAAGTGTTTATCTGCTTTCCTTGTGTGAATTGTAACTCGAGTCTTATTTTGTAATGCCCTAGATTAAAGATACAACTCAGAAAACATCTCATTAACAGAAAGAAGAAACGTAAACAATGGCACAGACACTTAATATCGTATCCATGATGGTGATAACAAGAAACATGTAATCAGGTTTTGAATCAAAAAAGAGATACAAACAGCATGAAACTGACATTATACCTTAGGGTTTTTTTTTTTTACAGAATTACTGTGCGGACTAAGCGACTTGGGGGTGCTTACGGAGCCAAAATTAGCAGGAATGCTATGGTGTCAGCTGCCGTTGGCTTAGCTGCACATGTGACTAACAGGTAAGGTTGTCAAAGTAAAGGGATGTACATATAGGAGACTGATCATTTTTATAGGTAAATAAGACATAGTGGGGTCATCACTCAGTGAAGTGGTGTAATGTACAGTTTATTGTTTAAAGATGTATTCTTTAAAGGTATATAATAGCAATAATGATATAGCGACTTTTTTTGCACATACACAAGAAGTATTAAGATTGGTATTTTTCTTATTTTTGTTGTAAAGGCATACCTTAATCTGTAACAATGTTTTTACCATAAATTATTTATGTTGAAGGCCTGTGAGGATGAACATGGAGTTTCATACAAACATGGAAACCATGGGCAAAAGATTCCCATTCATGGCAAACTATCAGGTGGGTTAAAAAGTCTCCTGGCAAACTCTTGACAAATTACTGGTGAAAGTCTGATGATTGACTACAGGTTAAAAAGAAGTCTCCTGGCAAGCTACAGGTAAAACGTTTCTTGACAAACAACTGGTAAAATCCTGATGACAAACTACTACTGTAATAATATACAAGTAGGGTAAAGAAGTGAGGAAAACTGAAGGTGAAAATGTTTTGTACAGATATGATAAATACAAGGTGGGTAAAAGAACTTCAGAAAAAATTGTCATTACAATTTGGAGATGTTAACTTATATTCATTTTGTATGAGATCGCATATCCTACCTACTAACAATTCTGGGCCTTGACAAAGAATTTTCGTCTTGAAAATCAAATTGCCAATAATAGGCCATCTGTCAGCAGTTTACAAAACTGATATTTATAAATTACTTTTTATACGCTGCCGGCTGTACATACCTCCGGACGTCCATCTGTACGTCCATTTCTTGTGAACGCGACTCCTCCTAAACTAATCATCAGATTTTCACAAAACTTGCTCAATGTTACAACTACAATGGGTAGATGTGCATGAAGGGGTAATTTTCGGTTCTTTGATTTTTGTAAGATTTATGCCAACCATGATCTCAGGCCCCTGTCTCTTCCAGCTAAGCTAACTGGTCTCACAGACTTCATTTTGAGCTTATGTATACAGACGTGTTAAAAGCGATAATTAAAAGGACCAATCTTGCTCTTTATATTTTGTGGCGGCGTATATTGTTTCCGCGACACTCTTGTTGTTCTGGTATTTTTGTTAAATTTTTTCAAGATTAATTGTCATTACTCTAAGTGGTTTTAAATTTTAGATAATTTGTTTGATGTTGAAGTGAATTTTTTTTTTCACATTTTTAATCCAATTAACATTGTGGGTGATTTGTTTTACTATGTCAGTGGTGTTCCAATGTTGTAGGTTGGATGTTCCGATACTGGAGTCCTCAATGGTGTGAAGATCACCTATTACACAGACTGTGGCTACCTTGCATCAGACCATGCTTTGCCAGTCGTAATTGCATTCTCTGACAATGGTAAGTCTACTTTTCTCAAGTTTTTTGGTTGCCTTATATACGTCAACTTATTTTTCAATCTTTATGGTAATGGACCCTACCATATGAGGGGTGAGGATGGGATGTCGTCTCTGTGATAACTTTGTTTCAGTACATCGTATCTAAGTCCTTCTTACCTGGTTGAGGCCACTGTAGTTTTACATCATATCCACCAGTCTAGTGTTAATACTTTAACAACTTAGTCACCTGACATATTTTAGGTTTCTTGATCACATCATATGATTCTTTTTTATCTACCTCTTTCCTGCAATGACCATCATATGACTTCCATCGACATTTTCACATTTTGGGCCTCTGAGAAATCGCCAAAATCTTTTCAGCAGAACTTCAGTAATTTATTTAATTAACTTACTGAGGAAATAAATTGTAAGTTATATAGTTCAATCCACAAAGGGGTCTTACATATTAACAGAGCTCAAAGGGGAAAGTTGAGTTCACTGCTATTCCAAAACACTTCTCCTCTAGACCAAGATGTTGTAGAAACCAACACTGATTTTTAATTGAATAATTTCATTATGCCTCTTAAAATGGAGCCTGTGTGCTAGGAGCAGGGGCCTGAGAAGTGGAAACATAGAGTAGCAGTCAGGCGGAAGCCTGAGAAGAGTGAAACCAAGGAGTAGTAAACAAGTGGGACCTAAGAAGTGTGGAAAGAAAGATAAATAACCAGGCAGTGGCAAGATAAATGTAAAAACAAAGAGTAGCTACCAGGTAGGGGCTCAATAAGTGAGATAACAATTAGTAGCCACCAGGAAGCAAACAAGGAGTAGCCACCTGGCAGGGGCTCGAGAAGTGAGATAACAATTAGCAGCCACCAGGAAGCAAACAAGGAGTAGCCACCTGGCAGGGGCTCGAGAAGTGAGATAACAATTAGTAGCCACCAGGAAGCAAACAAGGAGTAGCCACCTGGCAGGGGCTCGAGAAGTGAGATAACTATTAGTAGCCACCAGGAAGCAAACAAGGAGTAGCCACCTGGCAGGGGCTCGAGAAGTGAGATAACTATTAGTAGCCGCCAGGAAGCAAACAAGGAGTAGCCACCTGGCAGGGGCTCTAGAAGTGAGATAACAATTAGTAGCCACCAGGAAGCAAACAAGGAGTAGCCACCTGGCAGGGGCTCGAGAAGTGAGATAACAATTAGTAGCCACCAGGAAGCAACAAGGAGTAGCCACCTGGCAGGGGCTCGAGAAGTGAGATAACAATTAGTAGCCACCAGGAAGAAAACTGGAAGTAGCCACCAGGCAGGGGCTCGAGAAGTGAGATAACAAGGAGTAGCCACCAGGAAGCAAACAACGAGTAGCAATGAGGCAGGGGCTCGAGAAGTGAGATAACTATTAGTAGCCGCCAGGAAGCAAACAAGGAGTAGCCACCTGGCAGGGGCTCGAGAAGTGAGATAACAATTAGTAGCCACCAGGAAGCAAACAAGGAGTAGCCACCTGGCAGGGGCTCGAGAAGTGAGATAACAATTAGTAGCCACCAGGAAGCAACAAGGAGTAGCCACCTGGCAGGGGCTCGAGAAGTGAGATAACAATTAGTAGCCACCAGGAAGAAAACTGGAAGTAGCCACCAGGCAGGGGCTCGAGAAGTGAGATAACAAGGAGTAGCCACCAGGAAGCAAACAACGAGTAGCAATGAGGCAGGGGCTCGAGAAGTGAGATAACAATTAGTAGCCATCAGGAAGCAACAAGGAGTAGCCACCTGGCAGGGGCTCGAGAAGTGAGATAACTATTAGTAGCCGCCAGGAAGCAAACAAGGAGTAGCCACCTGGCAGGGGCTCGAGAAGTGAGATAACAATTAGCAGCCACCAGGAAGCAAACAAGGAGTAGCCACCAGGCAGGGGCTCAAGCAGTGAGATAACATTGAGTAGTCACCAGGCAGGGGCTCGAGAAGTGAGATAACAATTAGCAGCCACCAGGAAGCAATCAAGGAGTAGCCACCAGGCAGGGGCTCAAGAAGTGAGATAACAATGAGGAGCCACCAGGAAGAAAACAGAGAGTAGCCACCAGGCAGGGGCTCGATAAGTGAGATAACATTGAGTAGCCACCAGGCAGGGGCTCCAGATGTGAGATAACAATGAGTAGCCACCAGGAAGCAAACAAGGAGTAGCCACCAGGCAGGGGCTCAAGCAGTGAGATAACATTGAGTAGTCACCAGGCAGGGGCTCGAGAAGTGAGATAACAATTAGCAGCCACCAGGAAGCAAACAAGGAGTAGCCACCAGGCAGGGGCTCAAGCAGTGAGATAACATTGAGTAGCCACCAGGAAACAAACAAGGAGTAGCCACCAGGCAGGGGCTCAAGCAGTGAGATAACATTGAGTAGCCACCAGGAGGCAAACAAGGAGTAGCCACCAGGCAGGGGCTCAAGAAGTGAGATAACAATGAGTAGCCACCAGGAGGCAAACAAGGAGTAGCCACCAGGCAGGGGCTCAAGAAGTGAGATAACAATGAGTAGCCACCAGGCAGAGTCAAGAGCAGAGCAGAAATAAAGAGTAGCAACCATGCAGAGGCCTGAGAAGTGTGGAAGCCTTACTGGACCTGGATTGCAGCGGAGAGGTATAGCTACATTGGGGAATTCGCCAATCTTATTTCACATTCATAATGAGCAAAAGTTGCATAAATTAAGTCTTAAGTATTTTAAGTCATATTTTTTTCTCATACATAATTTATTTGTGATCATTTTGTTACTTACAGGCAGAATACTGGCAGATTTTCTGAGGGTGGTGAATACCTCTCTGGTATTTCATTGACACCCTTCATAAAGTATAGTATAACATACAAGTCCTCATCCCCCAGAAACATTATAACAGGCCCCTGTGATAGTATAACATACAATTCCTCATCCCCCAGAAACATTACAGGCCCCTGTGATAGTATAACATACAAGTCCTCATCCTCCCAGAAACATTGTTACAGGCCCCTGTGATAGTATAACATACAAGTCCTCATCCCCCAGAAACATTGTTACAGGCCCTTGTGATAGTATACCATACAAATCCTCATCCCCCAGAAACATTACAGGCCCCTGTGATATTATAACATACAAGTCCTCATCCCCTAGAAACATTATACCAGGCCCCTGTGATAGTATAATATACAAGTCCTCATCCCCCAGAAACATTATAACAGGTCCCTGTGATAGTATAACAAACAAGGCCTCATCCCCTAGAAACATTGTTACAGGCCCCTGTGATAGTATGTTGTACAAGCCCTCATCCCCCAGAAACATTGTTACAGGACCCTGTGATATTATAACATACAAGTCCTCATCCCTCATGTTGTAAGAAAATATTAAGTCATGCTATTTCTATGTGGGATAATTATTGATTTAGTGGATGTACACAAATGGATATTATCAAGGTTAGGCATACTTTTTTAATGTGAAATGTTCATGGGTACTGATTTTTCATCTGAAATCTTATTCATTGCATTTTGTTTACAGCTGTGAAGCTAAGTGTTAGTTTCATATGATATAAGATTAAGATACAGAACCTGATGATTGGTAAAAAGGGTTGAGGTCAAAATGGTTCTAATGCACTAAACTTTCGACCAGTGCTTAATACTTTTTGTAAATCAAAATGTCTGAAATTGTAGATGAAATTTCAAATGTCATTACTCAATCCGATTGCTTCGGATTGCTTTTGGGATTAAAAGATAAAAGGCAAGGTCACTGTTACTATAAATAGAAAATTTGTTTCTGGCCAATATTTCAAGATCCCTTAGACTGAATAAACACAAACTTCACTCAGTCCTTCCCTACAGACACAGCCTGCCTGTGACTGCTTTTTGATATGAAAGGTTGAAGGACAATATCACTATTACTAGAAAGAGGAAATGTCTGCTTAGGTCAAGGCTACAAAAATAAAAACAAATTCTGCCGACAATATAACCCCAGTTCCACTAAATAACTCAAGTTCCCCGTGGACTGATCAGTCAAGGCTACAAAAATCCAAAAATTCTGCCGACAATATAACCCCAGTTCCACTAAATAACTCAAGTTCCTCCTGGACTGATCGGTCAAGGCTACAAAAATGAAAAAAATTCTGCCGGCAATATAACCCCAGTTCCACAAATAACTCAAGTTCCTCCTGGACTGATCGGTCAAGGCTACAAAAATGAAAAAAATTCTGCCGGCAATATAACCCCAGTTCCACAAATAACTCAAGTAACCCCTGGACTGATCAATCTCAAAAATAACGAAAGAGTTCTTTGAGCAATTGCGATATTAATATCGTTCAACGATATTTACTACATTCAGAAAACACTAATCATATTACATTCAGAAAATGTTTTAATGTTTTAGGAACTAATATTTGATTGTCATGACAATATTGCCATTGTCTACCCATCTCATAAACAGAAGAAACAATTCTATATACCTTTTATTGAGAGATTGTCATGTTTTTAAACTTGAGGTGAGGTATACCTATGGTAAACTCTGCATTTTTCTCTTTTCAAATATGGCCTTCATTCTTATGGATGTGACTCTAAAATTATGCTCTATTCAGCACTGCACTTGCATTATCAGTCGTGTTTACCAGATGTAAGTGTACGAGGTAAACAGTCGCCCATGTATAGGTAAATAGAACAAAGGATATCACAGGAGTTTCTATGTAACATGATGTTTATTTCACAAATTCAATAATTCGGTATGTCACACACCTAAGACAAAAGAAATATCAAATTGTCCAAAAAGTGTAGTGGTTTTTGTATCTGAGTGACAAAATTTGTAATTTATCACGTAATATATTCCTGTATGACACAACTTCAACTTGGATGGTAAAATAGAACCTGTTATGTCATTATGCCATTTATTTAGGATGCCTTGATACAATCATTTATCATGTGTCATATAATATGTATCAATCAAATGCCTTGTTATTCTATGACTATACCTATATCATATTTATTTAGGTCTAGCATATTTTCATGTCACTTTAAGTTTACAAATGACATCACAAATTCACAGATGACATCATGACATAACATTGTAGACCATAGTTATAGCGCAGACATGAACTCAAGTTTGATGTAGACATTATTGTCTTCTACCATACTTGCTCTAAAAAATCAGATTTATTTTATAAATTTGTGCACCAAATAGAATCTGATGTAAGGTCCTATATTTATGACACAACCTTTTTGAACTGGCCTGTTAGGTGATAAAATACCTTATCTTATATCATGACCAACACAAATTTCATTTTGAAATTCAGTTCTGTGAAAAAAAAGTCATAAATGAACCTGAATTTAATTATCATGAAATGCAATCAATGTGTTTCCATGGTTTCCAACACTGATCTGAAGAAATAGAGAGTAGCATTTCTGGGTAATCTCATTTTATATATACAAAGTAACTATTTAATATGTGACAAATTCTACTGTTCTTGGATCGGTCCTGAGAGATAGGTATTGTAGCTGTGGGGACAATATTTCCCAAAGAAAATATAAGTCTGTGTAGATCGGTGGACTGCAGTTGTTGTAGATGTGTTTACGGTAATTATTTCTTTCTAAATTGTTTTTGTATGGTTTTGGATAAACAAGATCAACAGTTAGGGTTCAAAATCAGAATTGTCACTGTCCTTCCTTAATGGCTTATAATTAAGATTATTAATGTCTTTTGTCATCAAAGACATCATATTAGTTGCCATGTTATCATTAGATCTGTATTTTTTGTGAAAGCAAGTCATGCACACACCAATGAGGAACATAGTTATGAAGGCCACTCCACAATGCCATGCAAAATACATGGTGGCAATCAGATATGAATGGTGATCTTCTGAGTTCCATTCCTTTGCTCCAGGCAAAGGGTTATGCAAAATGAAAGCTATTTGCCAGAACCAGGTGCCTTGTAACAAAATGAAGTAAGGCCTTGACAATGCTATAAGAATGTTATCTCTCCACCTCATTTCTGCCAGCAATGCCAGTACAGAAGCACTAATGGTGTAAACCAGAAGTGTGTGAACAAGTACATCAACACCATCCCTACCGTGTAGGTGAAACTTGAACAGCATTCCTTCCACTGTTACTGCGATGATCATGCTCACATATTCTATGTCTTTGAGTACTGGAAATCGGAAGTACACCAACAAATCCATGATTCCTGTCAAACCGAAGAAGAAGAACATGGTGGCATGCTGTCCATTTTCTGGGGTAGTGAACTTACCACTATTGAATCCTGTGTATATTTCTCCAATTATTCCCACACTTGTAAAGAAGAGTTTCAATAAAGATTCTATCGGCCAATTTTTTGCTTTGCCACATAAACAAACACATGGATAAGTTGGTGTGGATGTAAAACGTAGATTTTGTCGCTGACAAGTCAGGTATCTATGAAACATTTGAACAGTCCACCATAATGCAAAAACAATGAAGAAAGATCCAGGCAGTGCATGACCTTCAAAATTTCCCATGATTCTTCAGGGTTTTTCTTTCTTGATTTTGAATTATCTGTGAATACACAGAAAAATAAATGTGTTATTGCTATTATTATAACTGTTGATAAAGATGTTTTAGAAATCCATTATAATTTCTCAGTATGTAGTAAATGGTACCAACTATTGTAATTCATCATTTTTACGCTTTATGACATCTGATCAATGGTGTTCTACTGTATATAGGGAAAGTTATGCTGCAGTTTGTTTATTGTCTGTATCTCAAAGACAGGTTAAAGGTTGAACTCGAATATGAAAAAGATTATTCAATTATCTTAGGTAGAATTTAATTCTTTAAGGAAAGGAAATGTATCCCAATATAAAGTACATTGTTAAAAAAGCTGAACTTTGACCCCTTGGCAGGTATAATATTATCCTTTCGGAACATAAACACTGACATCACTATTTGTTATATTATTTTTAACTTGTCAGTTGTTGGGCTCCAGCGTAACTCATAGAGGAATCTTAGCTTAGAGTGTATAATTATTGTGTTGAATGATATTTTTCATATTTTCATGTTTAAAGTAAACTTTTTTTCTTGTGTGTGACCTGTTTATCTGAGACCAAGTCTCTCCTTTCCCTGCCCTGTGTATTGGCGACTAAACCTCTCCTTTCTGTACCCTTTATATCTGAGACTAAACATCTCCTTTCCCTGCCCTGTGTATTGGAGAATAAACCTCTCCTTTCTGTACCCTTTATATCTGAGACTAAACATCTCCTTTCCCTGCCCTGTGTATTTGAGAATAAACCTCTCCTTTCCGTACTCTTTATATCTGAGACTAAACATCTCCTTTCTCTGCCGTGTATATCTGAGATTAAACTACTTCCACCCCAGCCCTGTATAGGTGAGACTAAACCCCTCGCTTCCCACTGTGTATCTTAGACTAATACTCTGATACTATACCTATACCCTGTCTTTTCTAGTCTCTGTTTGCAAAAGTTGATTTTAGAAAGGTACAAAAAATGTTTTGAGTGAAAAAACATTAATAATTCATGTACAAAATATGTTAAAGATTCTAAAAATAAAATTGAGAAATGTTTTGATTCCTCCAACCTTGTTAAAATATGGGGAAAAAAAACAAAAACAAAAATCTTGTGTTCGTCTACCTTCCTACAATTTGCCATAATCTCTTCTAGGAGATGATATTTTGAGAGAAGAAACCATAAATACAACCTTAGGAGCAATCCTGTTCATTTTTAAGTATATCATTGTGTTCCTTTCATCACATTTTTAACAGACTAATTCATGGCACTTCCTATCCATTTTTATTGTTATTTTATTGTAAATTTTGTTTTCTGTTGGTACCTTGTAAGTCTATATAAAATAAATTGAGACATTGACATTAAGATCTTCTGTCAATAAAATTTATTGAAATGAAATGGAGACATTTGCTGTGTAGTTATTGGTGCTTAAAAGATGGTTATACTGTAAGAACTGTAAATGTTAAATATCAACAGACCTGTCTTTTGAAGCATTCCTCTTGTACTAGTAAATCTATATACAAACCTTGCTAGAGAGTACGTGATGAACTTCTGTCAGCCTTCCAGTATTGTCATCAGGCCGTGATTATGACTCTGAGTCCTATTTTGTACTACACCAATGGTGGTCCTAGTTTTACTGATAAATATCTTCATGTTACAGGTATCTTATCATCAAGACATACCAGGTAGCTACGCTATACGTAAAGTAAACAATCTAGAATGTTATCTATTTGAAAAGGATTCAGTATAAAACGCCTACCACAGATTCAGATATTTTAACAAAACTATTTCGTTGAGAAAAGGGTATAGTACAAAACCCCTGCTGCAGATTAAGAAAGTATTGCCCAAATAAAACCATGGCATTGAGTATTTATGGTCTGTGAAACAAATCAGTGAAAGTACTGAGTAACGTCAAATACATAAAATTGGAAATTATTATTAGTCTACTTGATAAAGTTTTCCCTTTAAAAAGTAAACTTTTGAATAAGATTTTGATAATAAAGTTACGCACAGTTTTTAAATCTGACTTGTACTTTCCTTTGTAAAGTATTAGTAAACACTACAACTACCAGTGTGTCTTTTATGTCACCTGTTTGTATGTTGTGCATCTCTAAACAATTTATATTTTCAACTCCTTTTCTATGACCAAAAAACCTAGGGTGCTGATATTTTGCCTGTAGCATGCTGGAGTAAAGGGATATCAAGTTTGTTCAAATGAATGACCTTGACCCACTTTTAAGATCACGGGGATAACTGTGTTAAAATCTTAAAATTATTTCTCCTTAATAACCGAAAGGCCTAGGGTGCTGATTTTAAGTCTGCAGCCTGGTATAATTGGCTACCAAGTTCACCCAAATGACCCACTTTTAAGTATACAAGGGTCAAATGTATCAAAATCTTCAAACAAATTCTTCTTTATGACCAAAAAGTCGATACTTTTAGTATAAATTCAGTAAATGATGAAGGGCTACCAAATTATTTTTTAATGATTGATCTTGATCCAATTTTCAAGATCATAGGGATCGAATGTGTTGAGAATTATGAAAAAGTTTGAAAAATACAGGTCCTGGATTATGATATTTGTATCATAGCATGTTTGAGGAATATGATTTCAAGGTGTAGAAGTTGACTTGATGAACTAACAATCTTCTTTGTAAGCTGTAGAACAGGTAGGCAATGCATCAAATTTAGGTCTCTATCACATAACTGTCTTTGTAATAAGATGACTGTTAAGGCCCATGGGCCTGTTTGTGTGTGTGTGTTTTTTAGGAAAGTCTTATTTATAACAGGTCTCAGACCTTTCGGGAGGGAGTGGCAGCAAATTTGAGAATAGAGCAGATCCTTTAAAATCTAAGTTCTTCCTTCGTAGGAATGCCAGGATTGTGTTCCTATTTGTTCTGAAGTATCCTTGAGTGAAGGGGAACCATTTTGTTTTATAAATAGTGGGTCTCAGCCACCTGAAGTGGGACAGGTTAAGCCTAACATAGAAACAGAGCCAATAATTTTTTTTCTTCTTGAGTGTGAATATCAGTTCCAATTTGGTCTGAAGTATCCTTCGGTGAGGATTTTAGTATAATTGGTTTGGTAAATGCCCTGGGGGCAAAGGGTTGAGCCCCAGTTGAGTACATATGACTATTAATGAAAGAATTCTATGTTGTCATACCTTCATTGCTTCCTACATTACATCCTACATTTAACCTACTTGTAGCTTATTACTGTGAGAACTGGCACCTCATCCCGGTTGGACTGAAGACCAACAAACCATTGAACACTGCTGCACGATCCCCAGGATCCTGTCCATCGATCTTCATCACAGAGTCCATAATGGAGCATGTAGCAAAGGCGCTTAATTTGGACCCAACAGAGGTCAGGAGGGTCAACCTCTATCAACAAGGCCAGGTAAGGTCTTCATTGATGGATATCATTCCTATTTTAGCTCTCCCCATACAAACAAGTGACTGTGTCATTCCAGTACATTTACTAGCTCACTCTGTATAAACAAGTGCCTGCATCACACTAGTACATTTACTAGCTCACTCTGTATAAACAAAAGTCTGTGTCATTCCAGTACATTTACTAGCTCACCCTGTATAAACAGGTTCCTGTGTCATTCCAGTACATTTACTAGCTCTCCCCATACAAACAAGTGCCTGTGTCATTCCAGTACATTTACTAGCTCACTCTGTATGAACAAGTGCCTGCATCACACTAGTACATTTACTAGCTCACTCTGTATAAACAAAAAATCTGTGTCATTCCAGTACATTTACTAGCTCACCCTGTATAAACAGGTTCCTGTGTCATTCCAGTACATTTACTAGCTCACTCTGTATAAACAAGTGCCTGTGTCATTCCAGTACATTTACTAGCTCACCCTGTATAAACAATTGTCTGTGTCATTCCAGTACATCTACTAGCTCACTCTGTATAAACAATTGTCTTTGTCATTCCAGTACATTTACTAGCTCACTCTGTATAAACAAGTGCCTGTGTCATTCCAGTACATATTTTAGCTCATCCTGTATAAACAACTGCCTGTCTCATTCCAGTACATTTACAAGCTAACTCTATATAAACAAGTGCCTGTGTCATTCCAGTACATTTACCAGCTCACCCTGTATAAACAACTGCCTGTGTCATTCCAGTACATTTACCAGCTCACCCTGTATAAACAACTGCCTGTGTCATTCCAGTACATTTACCAGCTCACCCTGTATAAACAACTGCCTGTCTCATTCCAGTACATTTACAAGCTAACTCTATATAAACAAGTGCCTGTCTCATTCCAGTACATTTTCTAGCTCACCCCATACAAACAGATGTCATTGTATCATTCTGGTATGTTTTCTAGCTCACCCCATACAAACAGATGTCATTGTATCATTCTGGTATGTTTTTTAGCTCACTCCATACAAACACATCTTACTGTATCATTCTGGTATGTTTTCTAGCTCATCCCATACAAACACATCTTACTGTATCATTCTGGTATGTTTTCTAGCTCACCCCATACAAACACATCTTACTGTATCATTCTGGTATGTTTTCTAGCTCACTCCATACTAACAGATGTCATTGTATCATTCTGGTATGTTTTCTAGCTCACTCCATACAAACACATCTTACTGTATCATTCTGGTATGTGTTCTAGCTCACTCCATACAAACAGATGTCATTGTATCATTCTGGTATGTTTTCTAGCTCACTCCATACAAACACATCTTACTGTATCATTCTGGTATGTTTTCTAGCTCACCCCATACAAACAGATGTCATTGTAACATTCTGGAATATTTACCAGCTCACTCCATACAAACAGATGTTACTGTATCATTCTGGTATGTTTTCTAGCTCACCCCATACAAATAGATGTCATTGTAACATTCTGGAATATTTACCAGCTCACTCCATACAAACAGATGTCACTGTATCATTCTGGTATGTTTTCTAGCTCACCCCATACAAACAGATGTCATTGTATCATTCTGGTATGTTTTCTAGGTCACCCCATACAAACAGATGTCATTGTATCATTCTGGTATGTTTTCTAGCTCACCCCATACAAACAGATGTCATTTTATCATTCTGGTATGTTTTCTAGCTCACCCCATACAAACAGATGTCATTGTATCATTCTGGTATGTTTTCTAGCTCCCCCCATACAAACAGATGTCATTGTATCATTCTGGTATGTTTTCTAGCTCACCCCATACAAACAGATGTCATTGTATCATTCTGGTATGTTTTTTAGCTCACTCCATACAAACACATCTTACTGTATCATTCTGGTATGTTTTCTAGCTCACCCCATACAAACACATCTTACTGTATCATTCTGGTATGTTTTCTAGCTCACCCCATACAAACAGATGTCATTGTATCATTCTGGTATGTTTTTTAGCTCACTCCATACAAACACATCTTACTGTATCATTCTGGTATGTTTTCTAGCTCACTCCATACAAACAGATGTCATTGTATCATTCTGGTATGTTTTCTAGCTCACCCCATACAAACAGATGTCATTGTGTCATTCTGGTATGTTTTCTAGCTCACCCCATACAAACAGAAGTTGGAGCACTGCAATATCTCCACCCTCCTGACTGAGTTGGAGTCAATGGCTGAATTGTCACAAAGGAGAGCCAGTGTAGCAGCTTTCAATAAGGTATGTGTTCATTATAGTAACTTTAAAGGTCCTTGAACCTTCAAATTTCCATGCAGATTTTCTTACTTTTATTTACTGCCTGAGATATATATAGTGTATTTACAATAAAAGAGAAAAGTAAAAACAAAAAGAAATGCATAGATTAACCTATCTGTTTTACAAAAAGACTGCCATTGCAATGTTTTTTTTGTTTTGTTTTCATTACTTTTATCCAGAACAATCGATGGACAAAGAAAGGATTGTCAGTTGTCCCTATGAAGTTTGAGATTGCTTGGGAAGGAGCTAACTACAACTGTCTTGTTGACATCTACGGTGGTGATGGGAGTGTGGTCATAGATCATGGAGGCATTGAGTGTGGTCAGGGTATCAACACAAAGGTAGGTGGAGGAAGTGATGTCATAGATCACGGAGGCATTGAGTGTGGTCAAGGTATCAACACAAAGGTAGGTGGGGGAAGTGATGTCATAGATCACGGAGGCATTGAGTGTGGTCAGGGTATCAACACAAAGTTAGGTTGAGGAAGTGATGTCATAGATCACAGGGGCATTGAGTGTGGTCAGGGTATCAACACAAACGTAGGTGAGAGAGGTGATATTATAATCCATGAAGGCATCATGTTGGGTCAGTAATGAAAAAAGGTATTGTGGATGAAGTGATGCTGTAGAACACAGAATTAATGAGTGTTGACAGTGAAGCAATGTTACTTTACTGCATAATGCAAACTATCAAAATTTTTTTTTCACAAAATGTTAAACTGTTATTGTTTTATTGCAAGAGCATTTTGATTTTAACGTTTCAGGGTTAAAACTATTTGTTGATGTGATGTGTGGATAGGATAAATGAGATTGAAAATTTCTTCAACTTCAATATGAAATTTTATTGCTCTATACAAGAATACTGTTTGTCTGTATTTTAGACGATCCAGGTGTGTGCATACAAGCTTGGAATTCCTATAGAGATGATCAGAGTGGCAGCCAATAACACAGTCACTAACGCAAACAGTGTTACCACAGGTGGAAGCATCACCTCAGAAGTCTGTTGTCAGGTATCTATAAACAGCCAATAGAATCATTAGTTTTGTGTCTGTGATGGACAGTTATCTTGTCATGTGACCAGTAATGAAACCTGATGTTGTAGTATTTAGTGATCGATTGTGTCCGAAGTGAAGACTTAAGTGATATCATATATAAACGTAGAATTTCTGTATATCAGAGTACATTATATGTTTATTGATGTTCATATATATGGATGAGTGCAAGTGTACACAGTATGACACATCAGTGAGTCTCCTTTTTTTGTGGAAAGAGTATATGTCACAGACAACCCTGTTCTGTCTTGGTCGTGTCCTTGAGCAAGATATTTAAACCTGATGGTGCTAGATATTTGATCAATAATGTTGTAACACACCAATACAAGTAGGCCTCACCTCAAAATGAACCTTATCACTTGGTGATGGTCCCAGCTAGGATGGGGCAGCATGTGCTACCTACGGAAGACCCAGCTAGGATGGGGTAGCTTGTGCTACATAGGATAGACCCAGCTAGGATGGGCAACATGTGCTACCTACGGAAGACCCAGCTAGGATGGGGTAGCTTGTGCTACATAGGATAGACCCAGCTAGGATGGGCAACATGTGCTACCTACGGAAGACCCAGCTAGGATGAGGTAGCTTGTTCTACCTAGGATAGACCCAGCTAGGATGGGGTACTGTGTGCTACCTAGGATAGACCCAGCTAGGATGGGGTACTGTGTGCTACCTAGGATAGACCCAGCTAGGATGGGGTACTGTGTGCTACCTAGGATAGACCCATCTAAGATGGGGTGGTTGTGCTACCTAGGATAGACCCAGCTAGGATGGGGTACTGTGTGCTACCTAGGATAGACCCAGTTAGGATGGGGCAGCATGTGCTACCTAGGATAGACCCAGCTAGAATGGGGTACTGTGTGCTACCTAGGATAGACCCAGCTAGGATGGGGTAGCTTGTGTTACATAGGATAGACCCAGCTAGGATGGGGTACTGTGTGCTACCTAGGATAGACCCAGCTAGGATGGGGTACTGTGTGCTACCTAGGATAGACCCCGCAAGGATGGGGTATTGTGTGCTACCTAGGATAGACCCAGCTAGGATGGGGTAGCTTGTTCTACCTAGAATAGACCCAGTTAGGATGGGGCAGCATGTGCTACCTAGGATAGACCCAGCTAGGATGGGGTACTGTGTGCTACCTAGGATAGACCCAGCTAGAATGGGGTACTGTGTGCTACCTAGGGATGACCCAGCTAGGAAGGGACAGCTTGTGTCACATAGGATAGACCCAGCTAGGATGGGGTACTGTGTGCTACCTAGGATAGACCCAGCTAGGATGGGGTACTGTGTGCTACCTAGGATAGACCCAGCTAGGATGGGGTACTGTGTGCTACCTAGGATAGACCCAGCTAGGATGGGGTAGCTTGTTCTACCTAGGATAGACCCAGCTAGGATGGGCCAGCATGTTCTAACTAGGATAGACCCAGCTAGGATGGGATACTGTGTGCTACCTAGGATAGACCCAGCTAGGATGGGGTAGCTTGTTCTACCAAGAATAGACCCAGCTAGGATGGGGTACTGTGTGCTACCTAGGATAGACCCAGCTAGGATGGGGTAGCTTGTTCTACCAAGAATAGACCCAGCTAGGATGGGGTACTGTGTGCTACCTAGGATAGACCCAGCTAGGATGGGGTAGCTTGTTCTACCTAGAATAGACCCAGCTAGGATGGGGTACTGTGTGCTACCTAGGATAGACCCAGCTAGGATGGGGTACTGTGTGCTACCTAGGATAGACCCAGCTAGGATGGGGTACTGTGTGCTACCTAGGATAGACCCAGCTAGGATGGGGTAGCTTGTGCTACCTAGAATAGACCCAGCTAGGATGGGGTATTGTGTGCTACCTAGGGATGACCCAGCTAGGATGGGGTAGCTTGTTCTACCTAGAATAGACCCAGCTAGGATGGGGTACTGTGTGCTACCCAGGATAGACCCAGCTAGGATGGGGTACTGTGTGCTACCTAGGATAGACCCAGCTAGGATGGGGTACTGTGTGCTACCTAGGATAGACCCAGCTAGGATGGGGTACTGTGTGCTACCTAGGATAGACCCAGCTAGGATGGGGTAGCTTGTGCAACTTCAGGAATTACACCTTCTCTGTATTTACCAGTAGTCATGTTTTCTAATCAATAAGAAGAGCTTGAAGGACATTTATTATATACAGAGATTATATATGTTTTATGGCGTTTAGTTGATTTTAGCTGATTAACAGTAATATGATATATCCATTTAGAAAATGTTATTGTTTTATCAGGCCATTGTTAAATGCTGTGATACATTATTGGAGAGGATTGCACCTGTCAGAGCCAAAATGTCAAACCCCAAATGGAAAGACTTAATTGAAAAGTGTGTAGCTGAAGGTGTTGACCTCACAGCTAGATACCTGTAAGTAAACATAACGCCATTACCTACTACAGGTAACAAAGTTTCAGCTGCTGATATATCTATATTGTAGTTTAATAATAATCTCTGTAAAATATAAAATTATATTAATTTTTAAAATAAATACATACTTTCTACAATACAATTTGATACTTGGAGGGTTTTGGCCACAATTTTTAGGTCACCTGACCCAAAGATTCCGGATGTCTTACAGTCATGATGTTTCTTTTATGGCTGTGAATAAGACTTTAATATTTCTAACTTCTTAGCAAATTCTACTACATGGATTCAGCATAATTTCCTTGAAATAATCCTGATATTGTACCGAACGAGTGTTATTATTTTATTGGTCAGTCCAGAATTCACTGTGGTTGCTATCTTGAAACTTTTTCTCCAGTTCCACAGGTGCCATTTTGCTAAACATTAGTGGGGATGTGAAGGAAATGAAGCTGAGAAATGTTATTTTTCATTCTCGTTAAATCCTTGATAGACAGTGGCCATTTTGAAACATGCTTGTGTAATCATAGCTTTCTTGAATACTGCCTTTTAAAACTTCCTCATCTAAAGATTGTGTACCTGCATGTACATAATTGGATATATGTGAATGGTCCTTACTGTTATGGTAGAAGTTTTTGATATAACACTGAATATGTAGTTATAGATGGTGATTTTGGTTTGTAAGCTTTGGAGGTATAAAATTGTTATGTAAGTTACTAAAATATTACATCTGATGATAGGTACACAGTTGCTTCCATACAAGTGTCAACACATGAAAAGCACATGCAGATATTGAGGGCGAAACTGATAAACATTATGAACCCCATTGACATTTCAGTAGTAAAACCATTAAACCAAGTGACTTGAAGAATTTCCAAAATCCTTTAAGAGTTGGCAGTTACTGTCTTGATGAATTTTTCTGTTTATTGTAAAATCGGGAAGAAAAAATATCTTCTCTCATCATAATTAGTACCATTGATGTATGATGATTTTCCTGATTATCCATTAAGCACAACACCAACTATGCCAGATGGTGCACAATTCAACTACTGCAGCTACGGGGTGACCTGTACGGAAGTGGAACTGGACGTGCTGACAGGACAGTACCAGATACCAAGGGTGGACCTACTGTTCGACTGTGGAGAGAGGTAAGACTGACCAGTAGGACTGACCAATAGACCTACTGTTCCACTGTGGAGAGAGGTAAAACTGACCAGTAGACCTACTGTTCGACTGTGGAAAGAGGTAAGACTGACCAGTAGGACTGACCAGTAGGACTGACCAATAGACCTACTGTTCCACTGTGGAGAGAGGTAAGACTGACCAATAGACCTACTTTTCCACTGTGGAGAGAGGTAAGACTGACCAGTAGGACTGACCAATGACTGACCAATAGACCTACTGTTCCAATGTGGAGAGAGGTAAGACTGACCAGTAGGACTGACCACTAGACCTACTGTTCCACTGTGGAGAGAGGTAAGACTGACCAGTAGGACTGACCAGTAGACCTACTGTTCGACTGTGGAGAGAGGTAAGACTGACCAGTAGGACTGACCACTAGACCTACTGTTCCACTGTGGAGAGAGGTAAGACTGACCAGTAGGACTGACCACTAGACCTACTGTTCCACTGTGGAGAGAGGTAAGACTGACCAGTAGGACTGACCAGTAGACCTACTGTTCGACTGTGGAGAGAGGTAAGACTGACCAGAGGTAAGACTGACCAGTAGGACTGACCACTAGACCTAACATACTACTACTGTACAGAGAGGTAATAATAATGACCTGGAGTTTTGGAAGCATGTGAGTGCCTTTGGAAAACCCACATGGTCATGTAGATGATCCAATTTCTTTTCTTGTTTGATCCAAACCGTTCTTCTGTTTAAAACACCAAATACTTAGTTATTACTATAGTTTCAAAGAACCAAATAAAAAACAGAGACAAGGATAGTCACAAATGTGGATTCTTGTATGTTGTAGTTACTAGTTGTTAAAATCATTTGAATACTTTATCTTGATTTTTTCAGCATGAACCCTGAGATCGACATTGGACAGGTGGAAGGGGCCTTTGTGATGGGACTAGGGTACTGGCTTACTGAGGAGCTGAAGAATGATCCTCAAACAGGAGCCCTTCTCACCAACAATACCTGGGTAGCTTATCCCCCCCCACCCCCAATACAAATTAAAACAAAATGAACCTTAATCCAAAATCTAATCAAATTCATGCCTTATTCTCACCCATCCTGTCCTTAATCCAAAACTTATTGATATTGAAACATCCACAGAAACATTATACAAACAAGAGTCAAAATATACTAGATAATTACATAATTTCATGAATTAACGATTAAACATTGAAGCAAGAATGATTTAGTATCCAGAGTTTAGAGAAATCAAACCTCATTTCTCAAGCTATATTACTTAATGCACTGTAAGAATCAAAATAAATGCAATCTATATTTGTCAGGTGAGAAAGAACTCAAGGTCAAAATATGGCTTATTTTCTCAAAAACAGCCTTAGCTAGTTACTATTCTATACTTAAATAAGATGGTACATATCTGCGTGGACAAGAAAAGCACTCAAAGTTCATGCCTAATAGTGAACACTCAAGGTTCATGCCTAATAGTGAACACTTGAGGTTCAAGCCTAATAGTGAACACTCGAGGTTCATGCCTAATAGTGAACACTCGAGGTTCATGCCAAATAGTGAACACTCCATGTTCATGCCTATTAGTGAACACTCGAGGTTCATGCCTAATAGTGAACACTTGAGGTTCAAGCCTAATAGTGAACACTAGAGGTTCATGCCTAATAGTGAACACTCGAGGTTCATGCCTAATAGTGAACACTCGAGGTTCATGCCTAATAGTGAACACTCAAGGTTCATGCCTAATAGTGAACACTCGAGGTTCATGACTAATAGTGAACACTGGAGGTTAAATCCTAATAGTGAACACTCGAGGTTCATGCCTAATAGTGAACACTCGAGGTTCATGCCAAATAGTGAACACTCCATGTTCATGCCTAATAGTGAACACTCGAGGTTCATGCCTAATAGTGAACACTAGAGGTTCATGCCTAATAGTGAACACTAGAGGTTCATGCCTAATAGTGAACACTTGAGGTTCATGCCTAATAGTGAACACTAGAGGTTCCTGCCTAATAGTGAACACTTGAGGTTCAAGCCTAATATGGAACACTAGAGGTTCATGCCTAATAGTGAACACTTGAGGTTCAAGCCTAATATGGAACACTAGAGGTGCATGCCTAATAGTGAAGAGAGTTTAATAGTGAACAATGAAAATGCTCTAGATTGTGACATATTTATTCTATAGTAAATAGGTTTAAGGGACAAAATTAACTTGAATATCAGAGGCTTCCTGGTTACTGAGTTATCATTTGAGGAATTCATGTTTATTTTCTTTCTTCAGGAGTATAAACCTCCACTTGGAAAGGATATCCCAATAGACTTCAGGGTTCATCTCCTAAAGAATGCACCTAATCCATTAGGGATTCTAAGGTCAAAAGGTATGTAAATAAAACTCGAATATCCTAAGCATTGTGGGTAATTTGGTCAAAGAGTGTGTATATAGATGAATTGTATACCTTAAGCATTGGGGGGGTCGCCAGGTCACAAAGTATGTTTATAGATAAATTATATACCCAAAGGATTGGGGGTCGCCAGGTCACAAAGTATGGTTATAGATAAATTATATACTAAAAGCATTGGAGGTCATCAGGTCAAAATGTATGTGTATAAATGTATTGTATACCCAAAATAATGGGGGTCATCAGGTCAAAAAGCATTGGGAGTCATCAGGTCAAAAAACATTGGGGGTCATCAGGTCAAAAAGCATTGGGGTCAACATGTCAAAAAATATGTATACAAGTCACCTTATATACCTAAAACCTCTTGGGAGCCTCAGTGGTCCAAGGGTCAAAATGTCAGAATTATAAAATACCTTGTATACCCGCTTGCCACTCTCATGTTGATTTAAAAGGCATTCTTTGATACTTTCTGACAACATTGATTTTTCTTTTCTCCCCAGCCTGTGGTGAGCCTCCCCTCTGTATGAGCTGCTCAGCGCTATTTGCCCTGAAACATGCAGCAGAAGCTGCTAGAGAAGAGATTGGACAGAACACATTCTTCGCTCTCTGTAAGTCTCATAGAAATATTTGATTCCTGTTACGGTGAAACATCCTGTAGGTTATCTTCATGATCAAAGTAGAAAATTTCCAAAACTCTGTTTCTGTATTGTTCTTAGATTTCTTGGGTCTTATATTTCATCCTAATTCCAGTTTTGGCTATTTCAAGTTTGAATTTCATGCACATCTATAACCTGGTGTCCATATAAACATGCACAACAAATATTTTCCGAGATTATCATTCACTATAGAAAAGTTTGCTGGGTATCTAATTTGGTGCTCTCTTTATTGACAACAGATACAGTGAATTTAAATCCCTTAGGAATATTATCAACAATACGGTAGTCCTTTGAAGTGGTAAAAGAAAAACTAGAACAAAACATTTTGCTCTGAATGTGGATTAGGACATATAAACATTTGATGGCTGGTCAAGACACCTCAGAACTAAGATATCGTGAATGATTCTACCTTCATTAAGTCTGAATATATGAGTCTTTTGAGTCAATAGATTTCCAAGATACTACTGGAAATTTCTGTTCACTATTACAATATAGGTTATACAAAATTAAAGACTGATGATTTTGTTATTTACAAATTCTTCTCATGACCACTCTTCTGATTCAATAAGTCTCATTAATTTCATGAGAGAATCTATTTATAAATGCAAAATAAGTCTGAAGTGATAGATTAAGGAATTAGTCGCAAGGAGAAAAAAAAATTTAAGGAAAATTATTTGTTTGAATTCTTTATTTATTTTTTTTTCAGCTGCACCAGCTACTGTAGAGAAAATCAACACTGTATGTCTTCTGAGGCCTGATCAAATGGTTCTCACTGCTTAGTATGGTGTCACCCTCCAACAGGTCTATACAAATTCTATAGATGGAAAACCTGTGGTACAAACATATTAGTAACCATGGTAACCAAAAGGAAATGTGTAATTCTTTCAAAGACATATCTGGTGCTATTATTCAGACGTTTTAAAGGTTGAATCAGGAGATCAGAGGACTATCAATTCTGGTGAGGAATGCTGAAGAAAAAGTTGTCCAGTTTTTTTTGTTTTTGATAACTGTAAATATTCAAAGGACATTTTGTCTCTTGTTGATTGCATCTGCACATTTTAAGCAGAAAACTTAATGAAATACTTTTTTATTAGTATTATTTGGACCTGCAGATGTAATTGTACAAAGTCATCACAACACTGCTCTTTTGTACAACATGACGTCATATTTGTGTAATTGAAGCATAAATGAACATTGCTCCATGCAATGTTAAAGAGCAAATTTTTACCTTGACAATGTAGTATGGATGACATAATATTAAATATTTCAACTAATATGATATAAGTATGACATTAATATGTAAAATTCAAATAGAAAACCAGAAGAGGTAGCTGGTTCTGAATCTGAGCAAAATCTCATTTAATCATTAATTAAAGAGAATTTTGTTAAATTGAAAATAGGGGGAAAGTGCTTCTAAAATAGGCCACTTATGTATGGCATGAAACGTTGATTGTGTAGTAATTGTTGTTGTTTTCACATTGACAAACCATGAAAATAAAAAGTAATGAATAAGACTTCACATGACAGAATCATGTGTGTAGTTGAGTAGTATCCTCGAGGGTTGTACCATTGAAATATTTTCTTAGGTCCAAGCTAAGAAGACTTAACATTTATACAATTTATTGACAAGGATTTCAACCTTTTCACAAAAGGATATTTTCTTCAACACTGAATTGATAAACTACAAAGGGAGATAAGTTTACAAAAGCACTCGTATTTAATGGTAGACATGGGTCAGTATTTGTTAAAGTGATTGGATGTTAAATCATCTGTAGACAAAATTATTTTATGTACTACACCTTGATTTATTCTTCCTGTATCAATGTTTACTAGAGAGGCTGTATAGATACTTTTTTCTGCTGCAATCTTGTGATGTTTCTTGATTTATTCTTCCTGTATCAATGTTTACTAGAGAGGCTGTATAGATACTTTTTTCTGCTGCAATCTTGTGATGTTTCTTGATTTATTCTTCCTGTATCAATGTTTACTAGAGAGGCTGTATAGATACTTTTTTCTGCTGCAATCTTGTGATATTTCTTGATTTGTTGACATTACCTGTTTTACAGGAAGTTATAACTAAATTGTTACTATATAAATAATCAGGAATAAAGTTATTATGATTATATTTGTTTATGACTCTCTTTTGTGAAAACCACAGCTTCGTCCAGGATCATTCATACCCCCTCAACAGTCGAAATCATCATTTCTCAATGAAATCCATAATTTTGTCCCCCCCCCCCCTTCTTCCCCATCTTCCCCCAACAGACAAGTTAATCCTTTCTTGGTGTGAAATCAACACCTATGCCGTAGATAATCCTTTCTCCTCAACAGTCAAGTTCATCATTTCTTGGGAATTTTGTTTTTTGACAGAAATGGTTACCAAATAAAGCATGGTTCCAAATAACAGAATACATAGATATTTAAATCTCCAATGAAAACCTACTTATTTCTCAGTTACCCTGTGGTCAGTGTACCGGTAATTACACCCAATACATTAATATATTATGACAAAACAGAAAAGTCCTATTGGAGTTTGCTTTCCATTGCTTAAAATATGTCACCGACGCTTCATGGCAATATATGTATTGGGACTTCACCTGAAAAAGAAATCTGGATGGAGGACGTTACCAATGAAGAGTTCATATCAGTCCATGTAACGTTCTTGAATGATAGCAAAATAATCATCTGATCAACTAGTCTTACATTAATTTCCATTTCTTATAAAATTTACAAAAGAATGTTTTATTCTAAATCAAAATGTAACCATACAATACTTTCACCTACATCCAACATACATAGAATTTCATTACTTTCAAATGGAAAATTCTTCAGACTAATTGTATCAACATCATATGATAAAAAATATGATGCAAGATCCTATATTTAATAGAGAAATTACTTCAAGTAAAAAGACACTAATGACAAAACCTGATCAGATGATCCAGTCTTGGAACATGACAACAGAAGGAATCCTGATCTGATGATCCAGCCTTGGGACATGACAACAGAAGGAATCCTGATCTGATGATCCAGCCTTGGAATATGACAACAGAAGGAATCCTGATCTGATGATCCAGCCTTGGGACATGACAACAGAAGGAATCCTGATCTGATGATCCAGCCTTGGAACATGACAACAGAAGGAATCCTGATCTGATGATCCAGCCTTGGGACATGACAACAGAAGGAATCCTGATCTGATGATCAAGCCTTGGAACATGACAACAGAAGGAATCCTGATCTGATGATCCAGCCTTGGGACATGACAACAGAAGGAATCCTGATCTGATGATCAAGCCTTGGAACATGACAACAGAAGGAATCCTGATCTGATGATCAAGCCTTGGAACATGACAACAGAAGGAATCCTGATCTGATGACAAAGCCTCAGAACATGACAACAGAAGGAATCCTGATCTGATGACAAAGCCTCAGAACATGACAACAGAAGGAATCCTGATCTGATTATCAAGCCTTGGAACATGACAACAGAAGGAATCCTGATCTGATTATTAAGCCTTGAAACATGACAACAGAAGGAATCCTGATCTGGAGATCCAGCCTTGGAACATGACAACAGAAGGAATCCTGATCGGATGATCAGGCCTCAGAACATGACAACAGAAGGAATCCTGATCTGATGATCAAGCCTAGGAACATGACAACAGAAGGAATCCTGATCTGATGATCAAGCCATGGAACATGACAACAGAAGGAATCCTGATCTGATGACAAAGCCTCGGAACATGACAACAGAAGGAATCCTGATCTGATTATCAAGCCTTGGAACATGACAACAGAAGGAATCCTGATCTGATTATCAAGCCTTGGAACATGACAACAGAAGGAATCCTGATCAGATGATCAGGCCTCAGAACATGACAACAGTAGGAATCCTGATCTGATGATCAAGCCTTGGAACATGACAACAGAAGGAATCCTGATCTGATTATCAAGCCTTGGAACATTACAACAGAAGGAATCCTGATCTGATTATCAAGCCTTGGAACATGACAACAGAAGGAATCCTGATCTGATGATCAGGCCTCAGAACATGACAACAGAAGGAATCCTGATCTGATGATCAAGCCTTGGAACATGACAACAGAAGGAATCCTGATCTGATGATCAAGCCTTGGAACATGACAACAGAAGGAATCCTGATCTGATTATTAAGCCTTGAAACATGACAACAGAAGGAATCCTGATCTGGAGATCCAGCCTTGGAACATGACAACAGAAGGAATCCTGATCTGATGATCAGGCCTCAGAATATGACAACAGAAGGAATCCTGATCTGATGATCAAGCCTTGGAACATGACAACAGAAGGAATCCTGATCTGATGATCAAGCCTTGGAACATGACAACAGAAGGAATCCTGATCTGATGATCAGGCCTCAGAACATGACAACAGAAGGAATCCTGATCTGATTATCAAGCCTTGGAACATGACAACAGAAGGAATCCTGATCTGATAATCAAGCCTTGAAACATGACAACAGAAGGAATCCTGATCTGGAGATCCAGCCTTGAAACATGACAACAGAAGGAATCCTGATCTGGAGATCAAGCCTTGGAACATGACAACAGAAGGAATCCTGATCGGATGATCAGGCCTCAGAACATGACAACAGAAGGAATCCTGATCAGATGATCAGGCCTCAGAACATGACAACAGAAGGAATCCTGATCTGATTATCAAGCCTTGAAACATGACAACAGAAGGAATCCTGATCTGATGATCCAGCCTTGGAACATGACAACAGAAGGAATCCTGATCTGATGATCAGGCCTCAGAACATGACAACAGAAGGAATCCTGATCTGGAGATCCAGCCTTGGAACATGACAACAGAAGGAAACCTGATCTGATTATCAAGCCTTGGAACATGACAACAGAAGGAATCCTGATCTGATGACCAGGCCTCAGAACATGACAACAGAAGGAATCCTGATCTGGAGATCCAGCCTTGGAACATGACAACAGAAGGAAACCTGATCTGATTATCAAGCCTTGGAACATGACAACAGAAGGAATCCTGATCTGATGATCAAGCCTTGGAACATGACAACAGAAGGAATCCTGATCTGATGATCAAGCCTTGGAACATGACAACAGAAGGAATCCTGATCTGATGATCAGGCCTCAGAACATGACAACAGAAGGAATCCTGATCTGATGATCAGGCCTCAGAACATGACAACAGAAGGAATCCTTATCTGATGATCAAGCCTTGGAACATGACAACAGAAGGAATCCTGATCTGATGATCAAGCCTTGGAACATGATAACAAAAGGAATCCTGATCTGATGATAATGTTTAGGAACACAACAGAAGAAAATCCTGCGCAGATGATAATGCTTAGGAATATTACAACATTATAGTCCTAATTAAATAGATAAGATAGTCTCAGTAGTGAAATACAAACAAGTATAAAAAAAACCCTCATGTAACACCAAAATAAAGAGCCAACTTAATCTGACCTGACATAACATGTATGGTTTGGTTGGACACGAGACATGCCCAGTGGACCCGAAATGACATTTACGGTTTGGTTGGACATGAGACATGCCCAGTGGACCTGACATGAGACATGCCCAGTGGACCTGACATGACATGTACGGTTTGGTTGGACATGAGACATGCCCAGTGGACCTGATATGAGACATGCCCAGTGGACCTGACATTACATGTACGGTTTGGTTGGACATGAGACATGCCCAGTGGACCTGACATGACATGTACGGTTGGGTTGGACATGAGACATGCCCAGTGGAACTGACATGACATGTACGGTTTGGTTGGATTCCATCTGGAGAGGAAATTCAGCATGTTTTGGTGTAGGAGCTATACTCTTTTTCAGCAGAGTAAACATAGATTACGAAGGGGAAGCATTAGGATTTGAGAAGAAAGCAATATATTTTAGACAAAGGATAACTGTTTCATTGTTCTGCAGTAAGCCCATCCAGTGACTCTACAAAGGATAACTGTTTCATTGTTCTGCAGTAAGCCCATCCAGTGACTCTACAAAGGATAACTGTTTCATTGTTCTGCAGTAAGCCCATCCAGTGACTCTACAAAGGATAACTGTTTCATTGTTCTGCAGTAAGCCCATCCAGTGACTCTACAAAGGATAACTGTTTCATTGTTCTGCAGTAAGCCCATCCAGTGACTCTACAAAGGATAACTGTTTCATTGTTCTGCAGTAAGCCCATCCAGTGACTCTACAAAGGATAACTGTTTCATTGTTCTGCAGTAAGCCCATCCAGTGACTCTACAAAGGATAACTGTTTCATTGTTCTGCAGTAAGCCCATCCAGTGACTCTACAAAGGATAACTGTTTCATTGTTCTGCAGTAAGCCCATCCAGTGACTCTACAAAGGATAACTGTTTCATTGTTCTGCAGTAAGCCCATCCAGTGACTCTACAAAGGATAACTGTTTCATTGTTCTGCAGTAAGCCCATCCAGTGACTCTAAGTCAGAATTTGTATACTGGTCCTCTGGCTCACTGAAGGATAACAACAACAAGTTTTAACAATAAACATTGATTTATTTACATTTACAGTACTAGACAGCCAATGTAATGATAATACTGTAATTGTAACAGGTACTTCCTGGACTGAATCAATCATATAAGGTGAGGAATAACCAAATACCAATTAATACTAAATGTTTCTGGTAATTATTCCAACATATTTTCTGGCAATTCTTTCAGATTCATAAGATTTGCCAGATCACTTGCAATAATGTCAAATTAATTTACATTCAGAAAGCACTTTACCATTTAAATAAATAATATAGAAAAATAACCATGGCTGACCAAGTACTGTTGTTACAAAGTTTACAAAAACATGGAAATAAGTCACAATTTGAAATCGTCTCTGGAGTTAACAAATCTAAATTTTTCACTATCACAATCAAACCTGCCACTGCTTGAAATCTGAGTCCTGATTCAATTGAAGATTTTATAATTTATCATGAGTATTAACAGTTTTAACAGTTTTCTGCTATCAACATGCTCTTGTTTCATAAAGATCCCGATAGATTTGGTAAACCGCTGAATCAGGACATCCTGGGTGGATTCATGGTGGTTAATCATTGTGCTAATTCGATTCAGCACTACTATCTAATTAATATCAGTTAATCGGTGTGCTAGGACACAGGGGGAGACAACTCAGTCCTTGGTGTGTTGATCCTTGTTTGGTCAGAAGAGCTATACAGTATAGGACGACCACTGCCCAGCAAAGACTGTCGCTCTTCCTCTATCTCCAATTGTCTTCTCCTGCGATTTTTCCTGGTGGATTCTGGGAAATCTGGCTTGCCACGCTCTCTAAGTAACTGAAATATTGACCCTCCAATGAATAAAAATCCCCATAGAAATGTCAGTGCGATATCTGAAAAAAAAAAACCCAGATAATTTGGTTATGTAATAAGAACTTGAATTCTATTAATCATGTTCTTCATACTTCAGTCCATTCAGTGAGAGCTGCTAAATTCTGGAGCATATGGAAAGGATGCTTATATATCATTAAAAACTGGGTGCTAATGATGATTAATTATTATTCAAGACCTCATGATCATTGTCAAAAATAAATGATAGATTAAATTGTGCCTTTGTTTATTTTTTTCCTTCACACATTGTTTCCTTTTTCCTCATTATGACCAATAAATATCCATTAACTTTCTCATTATTTGATCATCAATAGTTTACATGTATTGTCACTGGTTTTTCAAAGAAATATTGAATACATTCAAACGCCTAAGGTCTTAAAGTAACAATGGAGCTCCATTTTAAACACATTTTCAGAGACTAGAATAAGAATTCTTTTTTTTTTAAAGAAAATCAAACTGAGTTTCATAACGTCAGAGAAAATTTATAAAAACAATAATTTGAAACATCAAAAGAAAACAGACACTGTATTACCTGCTGTGAGATAGGGCCCTGTTACTATCACAGACAGGTAGTCTGGAGCTATGGCATGTCGAACAGAATTTAAAATGATGTATTTCAAACCACTCTCCAGGAAAACATCCACAGTGATACAAACCAAGTAGCCTCCCAGAAATGTACACGATAGGATACTCAGCTGAAACATACAAGTTACACAGGATGCTCAGCTGAAACACACAAGTTACACAGGATACTCAGCTGAAACATACAAGTTACACAGGATGCTCAGCTGAAACACACAAGTTACACAGGATACACAGCTGAAACATACAAGTTACACAGGATGCTCAGCTGAAACATGCAAATTACATAGGATACTCAGCTGGAACACACATGTTACACAGGATACTCAGCTGAAACACACAAGTTACACGGGATACACAGCTGAAACATACAAGTTACACAGGATGCTCAGCTGAAACACACAAGTTACACAGGATACTCAGCTGAAACATACAAGTTACACAGGATATTCAGCTGAAACACACAAGTTACACAGGATACTCAGCTGAAACATACAAGTTACATAGGATACTCAGCTGGAACATAAAAGTTACACAGGATACTCAGCTGAAACACACAAGTTACACAGGATACTCAGCTGAAACATACAAGTTACACAGGATGCTCAGCTGAAACACACAAGTTACACAGGATACACAGCTGAAACATACAAGTTACACAGGATGCTCAGCTGAAACATGCAAGTTACATAGGATACTCAGCTGGAACACACATGTTACACAGGATACTCAGCTGAAACACACAAGTTACACAGGATACACAGCTGAAACATACAAGTTACACAGGATGCTCAGCTGAAACACACAAGTTACACAGGATACTCAGCTGAAACATACAAGTTACACAGGATATTCAGCTGAAACATACAAGTTACACAGGATACTCAGCTGAAACATACAAGTTACACAGGATACTCAGCTTAAACACACAAGTTACACAGGATACTCAGCTGGAACACACAAGTTACACAGGATACTCAGCTGAAACATACAAGTTACATAGGATACTCAGCTGAAACATAAAAGTTACACAGGATACTCAGCTGAAACATACAAGTTACACAGGATACTCAGCTGAAACATACAACTTACACAGGATACACAGCTGGAACACACATGTTACACAGGATACTCAGCTGAAACATACAAGTTACACAGGATACTCAGCTGAAACATACATGTTACACAGGATACTCAGCTTGAACACACAAGTTACACAGGATACTCAGCTGAAACATACAAGTTACACAAGATACTCAGCTGAAACATACAAGTTACATAGGATACTCAGCTGAAACATACAAGTTACATAGGATACTCAGCTGAAACATACATGTAACACAGGATACTCAGCTGGAATATAAAAGTTAGACAGGATACTCAGCTGAAACATACATGTAACACAGGATACTCAGCTGAAACACACAAGTTACACAGGATACTCAGCTGGAACATACAAGTTACACAGGATACTCAGCTGAAACATACACGTTACACAAGATACTCAGCTGAAACATACACGTTACACAAGATACTCAGCTGAAACATACATGTAACACAGGATACTCAGCTTGAACACACAAGTTACACAGGATACTCAGCTGGAATATAAAATTTAGACAGGATACTCAGTTGAAACATACATGTAACACAGGATACTCAGCTGAAACACACAAGTTACACAGGATACTCAGCTGGAACATACAAGTTACACAGGATACTCAGATGAAACATACATGTTACACAGGATACTCAGCTTGAACACACAAGTTACACAGGATACTCAGCTGAAACATACAAGTTACACAAGATACTCAGCTGAAACATACAAGTTACATAGGATACTCAGCTGAAACATACATGTAACACAGGATACTCAGCTTGAACACACAAGTTACACAGGATACTCAGCTGGAATATAAAAGTTAGACAGGATACTCAGCTGAAACATACATGTAACACAGGATACTCAGCTGAAACACACAAGTTACACAGGATACTCAGCTGGAACATACAAGTTACACAGGATACTCAGCTGAAACATACACGTTACACAAGATACTCAGCTGAAACATACACGTTACACAAGATACTCAGCTGAAACATACACGTTACACAAGATACTCAGCTGGAACACACATGTTACACAAGATACTCAGCTGAAACATACAAGTTACATAGGATACTCAACTGAAACATACATGTAACACAGGATACTCAGCTTGAACACACAAGTTACACAGGATACTCAGCTGGAATATAAAATTTAGACAGGATACTCAGCTGAAACATACATGTAACACAGGATACTCAGCTGGAACACACAAGTTACACAGGATACTCAGCTGAAACATACAACTTACACAGGATACTCAGCTGAAACATACACGTTACACAAGATACTCAGCTGGAACATACAAGTTACACAGGATACTCAGCTGAAACATACAAGTTACACAGGATACTCAGCTGAAACATACAAGTTACACAGGATACTCAGCTGAAACATACAAGTTACATGTTACCTTTATAGGATACTCATTTTATGAGGGCACAGAGTTGAGGGGTACTATGTTCTGTATCACAACCTCTCTCACCAGGTTTTTAAAAGATCTGGTCAATATTAATGCAATTATAATATTCTCTTTCCTTAGGAGCGAACACATTGTCTTACAGACATTTTCTAGTTTGAAGGATATGTTGATACTTTGATATTGGTGGCCCACAATGCTCCAATCTACTCTATATACATTTCTGTAATACATTTGGGATGCTGATGAATTTACTATGATAAAATACAATACTTACATGTTTGGTGAAGTAGAGCAGAAGTACGGGTATGATGAGCACTCCCACAGTGAATGTCATTCCATAGTTAAACTCACGATTCCAGTAGTTCAAATTTCCTGGTGAGAAAAAAGATTTCTATGCCTACGTAAACTAATTGTCAAGGTTAAAGTGGAAATACAGATTTCTAAAATTACACATAAAGGAAGTCAAGGAACATGTTGGAAGTACAAATTAAATTACATACACCAAAAGGCAAGGCTCATGTTAGAAGTACAAATTTCTATAATTACATATCTCAATAAGCAAGGCTCATGTTTGAAGTACAAATTTCCATAATTACAAACAGATGTAGGCCAGGCTCATGTTAGAAGTACAAATTTCTATAATTACATATCTCAATAGGCAAGGCTCAAGTTAGAAGTACAAGTTTCTATAATTACAAACAGATGTAGGCCAGGCTCATGTTAGAAGTACAAATTTCTATAATTACATATCTCAATAGGCAAGGCTCAAGTTAGAAGTACAAGTTTCTATAATTACAAACAGATGTAGGCCAGGCTCATGTTAGAAGTACAAATTTCTATAATTACATATCTCAATAGGCAAGGCTCAAGTTAGAAGTACAAGTTTCTATAATTACAAACAGATGTAGGCCAGGCTCATGTTAGAAGTACAAATTTCTATAATTACATATCTCAATAGGCAAGGCTCAAGTTAGAAGTACAAGTTTCTATAATTACAAACAGATGTAGGCCAGGCTCATGTTAGAAGTACAAATTTCTATAATTACATATCTCAATAGGCCAGGCTCATGTTAGAAGTACAAATTTCTATAATTACATATCTCAATAGGCCAGGCTCATGTTAGAAGTACAAATTTCTATAATTACATATCTCAATAGGCCAGGCTCATGTTAGAAGTACAAATTTCTATAATTACAAACAGATGTAGGCCAGGCTCATGTTTGAAGTATAAATTTCTATAATTACATACAGATGTAGGCTTAGCTCAAGTTAGAAGTACAAATTTCTATAATTACATATCTCAATAGGCCAGGCTCATGTTAGAAGTACAAATTTCTATAATTACAAACAGATGTAGGCCAGGCTCATGTTTGAAGTATAAATTTCTATAACTACATACAGTTGTAGGCTTAGCTCAAGTTAGAAGTACAAATTTCTATAATTACTTACAGCAATGGGCCAGACTCATGTTAGAAGTACAGAAAATAACTGATTTGATGCTGTTATGTACATTATATTATCCATGCCTTATATTTATATGCCCAAGTTACGGAATGCGTCTATATATATTTATATGCCTAAGTTACGGAATGTGTCTATATAGATTTATATGCCCAAGTTACGGAATGTGTCTAGATATATTTATATGCCCAAGTTACGGAATGTGTCTATACATATTTATATGCCCAAGTTACGGAATGTGTCTATACATATTTATATGCCCAAGTTATGGAATGTGTCTATACATATTTATATGCCCAAGTTACGGAATGTGTCTATATATATTTATATGCCCAAGTTACGGAATGTATCTGTATATATTTATATGCCCAAGTTACGGAATGTGTCTGTATATATTTATATGCCCAAGTTACGGAATGTGTCTATCTGATACTGTTTACAACACATTTATTTCCATCATTTCTGAAACAATATGAGTTTGGTATGTGGAATAGAGAGGGATTGGTATTGGGAATTGCCTACTACAACAAAGAGAACATCATTCTGTACATCACCATTAAGGAAGTGATTAGTTTTGAGAAGAATTGATTTATGGAAGTTTCCCTGTAACGCTAGTTGATGTATTTGTTGGAAGTACAGATTTCGGTAATTATTTGCAGTTAAGACTTTTGTGTATTACTAACTCTTTAGGTCTACACGTACCGCTTAACTTCACTTGAATATCATTATCATAATTTGACAGTATCCAATGTTTCTAAGGTTCGCCCACCAAACTTGTCTGTTGACCATGTTTAATAAGCCCACACCTTGGTAAAGTACCCGTCATTTTCAGTCTGCACATTCTTACTATCTGAGCTCAAAAACTGGTACATTTTCAAAACTGATCAAACATCATCAATTTTATCATCAGAATAAAAGGACTAAGTTTAGTTCAAATGGTGAAGGTTAAAGTTAATTATGAGACACAAATGAAATCTACAAATTTGATTTATAGAGCTCATTAGAGTTTGTATCAGAATTACTGTACAGAAGGGGAAAAGTCTATCATACGTTCATAAGAGGTAATTTTACAGCAATCTGGATTAAGACGCCAATTCAAACCTTCAGACAGAATTTTCCAAAGATATTTCCATTTAAGATCAACAAACATACAAACCCAGTGGACTGAAGAAAACAATACTGGAAATGATGTAGCCACAGGTCAGACTAGTGAACAAGACAGTTATTGTGTGGATTCCGTGACACCACCACAGCGCCAACCATCCTGTAGCCATGACAACTCCAATCACAGCACTCAGAACCATCACCACTGTAAACATTCAGTAGAACCTTTTGATTTTACAATGTCAGAGAGTAAACTTGGTTATCAATTAGATAGTCAATTCTTGCATCTCATCATGACCACACTCCAAACTTAGAGTTTCTTATCAACATAAAATGATACAAAACATATGGGTATTCATCAAGTTTTCTGATTTACTCCAATATCTAATGATGCAATTTCCTTATGTATCAATTATCTGTGTTAATAAGTATATCAAAACCCCTATTTCATGTGTCAGTTCCTTAACCGACTAATGTCAAACCTTTTTAGGTCATTTTTCTCTCTTTTTTTTCTTCTAATTTCTGTGTTTCCCTTGATACTAAAGCCATCAATTTTATATAACCTAAACTTCATTGGAGATTTGATGAGTATAATATCCAGATTTTAGTTTAAACTGGTGTTGGTTAAGTACTGAGAGCTGTGAGAATAATGTCAATATTTCAGTATAATTTGGTGCTGTTTTAATGCTGTAAGTGGTAAGAATAATGTCAATATTTCAGTATAATTTGGTGCTGTTTTAATGCTGTAAGTGGTAAGAATAATGTCAATATTTCAGTATAATTTGGTGCTGTTTTAATGCTGAGAGCTGTGAGAATAATGTCAATATTTCAGTATAATTTGGTACTGTTTTAATGCCGTAAGTGGTGAGAATAATGTCAATATTTCAGTATAATTTGGTGCTGTTTTAATGCTGGGAGTTGAGAGAATAATGTCAATATTTCAGTATAATTTGGTGCTGTTTTAATGCTGGGAGTTGAGAGAATAATGTCAATATTTCAGTATAATTTGGTTCTGTTTTACTATGTCTAACCTACAATTTTTTACAATAGTCAGGATACAGTGGTATACCATCACAGTTTACAACTACACCATCTATTAAAACAAACTTAGAAATACCTCAAACTGGTATCATTGTCATATCTAAAACTGGTATCTATCTAAAACTGGTATCATTGTCATATCTAAAACTGGTATCAATGTCATATCTAAAACTGGTACCAATGTCATATCTAAAACTGGTACCAATGTCATATCTAAAACTGGTACCAATGTCATATCTAAAACTGGTATCATTGTCATATCTAAAACTGGTACCAATGTCATATCTAAAACTGGTACCAATGTCATATCTAAAACTGGTATCATTGTCATATCTAAAACTGGTATCATTGTCATATCTAAAACTGGTATCATTGTCATATCTAAAACTGGTACCAATGTCATATCTAAAACTGGTACCAATGTCATATCTAAAACTGGTATCATATCTAAAACTGGTATCATTGTCATATCTAAAACTGGTACCAATGTCATATCTAAAACTGGTACCAATGTCATATCTAAAACTGGTATCAATGTCATATCTAAAACTGGTACCAATGTCATATCTAAAACTGGTATCATATCTAAAACTGGTATCATTGTCATATATAAAACTGGTATCATTGTCATATCTAAAACTGGTATCATTGTCATATCTAAAACTGGTATCATATAAAACTGGTATGTCATATCTAAAACTGGTATCATATCTAAAACTGGTATCATATCTAAAACTGGTATCATATCTAAAACTGGTATCATTGTCATATCTAAAACTGGTATCATTGTCATATGGTATATATCTAAAACTGGTATCAATGTCATATCTAAAACTGGTATGTCATATATAAAACTGGTATCAATGTCATATCTAAAACTGGTATCATATCTAAAACTGGTATCATTGTCATATCTAAAACTGGTATCATTGTCATATCTAAAACTGGTATCATTGTCATATCTAAAACTGGTATCATTGTCATATCTAAAACTGGTATCATTGTCATATCTAAAACTGGTACCAATGTCATATCTAAAACTGGTATCATATCTAAAACTGGTATCATTGTCATATCTAAAACTGGTACCAATGTCATATCTAAAACTGGTATCATATCTAAAACTGGTATCATTGTCATATATAAAACTGGTATCATTGTCATATCTAAAACTGGTATCATTGTCATATCTAAAACTGGTATCATTGTCATATCTAAAACTGGTACCAATGTCATATCTAAAACTGGTATCATTGTCATATCTAAAACTGGTACCAATGTCATATCTAAAACTGGTACCAATGTCATATCTAAAACTGGTATCAATGTCATATCTAAAACTGGTACCAATGTCATATCTAAAACTGGTACCAATGTCATATCTAAAACTGGTATCATATCTAAAACTGGTATCATTGTCATATCTTAAACTGGTATCAATGTCATATCTAAAACTGGTATAAATGTCATATCTAAAACTGGTACCAATGTCATATCTAAAACTGGTACCAATGTCATATCTAAAACTGGTATAAATGTCATATCTAAAACTGGTATCATATCTAAAACTGGTATCATTGTCATATCTTAAACTGGTATCAATGTCATATCTAAAACTGGTATCAATGTCATATCTAAAACAGGAAAAGCTGAGAAATACTAAAACACTTACCTACAATAGATTGGGTGGTAAGACGTTCGAACAGAATGACAGATATAAGTCCAAAGCCAAGAAATGCTGCCAGGAAGGTGGCTACAAGATAAATGTATATATTACCATAGATACTCATACTCCCTGACAGGAAGGTGGCTACAAGATAAATGTATATATTACCATAGATACTCATACTCCCTGACAGGAAGGTGGCTACAAGATAAATGTATATATTACCATAGATACTCGTACTCCCTGACAGGAAGGTGGCTACAAGATCAATGTATATATTACCATAGATACTCGTACTCCCTGACAGGAAGGTGGCTACAAGATAAATATATATATTACTGTAGATACTCGTACTCCCCGACAGGAAGGTGACTACAAGATCAATGTATATATTACCATAGATACTCATACTCCCCGACAGGAAGGTGACTACAAGATAAATGTATATATTACTGTAGATACTCGTACTCCCTGACAGGAAGGTGGCTACAAGATCAATGTATATATTACCATAGATACTCGTACTCCCTGACAGGAAGGTGGCTACAAGATAAATGTATATATTGCTGTAGATACTCGTACTCCTGATAGGAAGGTGGCTACAAGATAAATATATATATTAATTATAGATACTGGTACTCCCTGACAGGAAGGTGGCTACAAGATAAATGTATATATTACTGTAGGTACACCATTATCACTGACATCACTCAGTGCTGTTTTATGACATAAAGTACTTAATTCATATGATGTGATATTGTATCTCTTATATTAAACATGTTACATGTATTGTGATTAACAAATGACTGTATGTACCATTTTTTCCCAAATTTATCTCAAGTATTTCATAGTCAGATGCAGGGTGCCCTTTTTCTCTTTGGTACCCTTACAACTATTTATACAAAAATGCTTTTATCATTGGGTAAAAGTATTTACATAGAGAGAACATCTAAAATAGATAAAGACAAAAGATAAATCATGAGATAGGCTTCCATACAAAAATCTCCATATCACAAGTTGATATGGAGTTCCAAAAAGTTAATTTTGATAACTTTGTATTTTTGTTTTACATTACTGACTCACATGTCCTAAAGAATCTGTGTCCCAGTATAACCAGGAACAGGCCCAGCATTCCTCCAAATACAGCCAACACTTTCCCTCCAGTTCCTGATAACAAGTAAAGGAGGAAAGAAATATAAGGTTAATATCTTGTGTAGCTTCATTATAAAAAATAATTTATTCCATGATATAAAAAGAAAGTAAGCTACACAAGAGGAAGTAAGTTGTGTGTTTAATATCCACCATAATGATAAATGTCCTAATTTAGAAGATAAAATGAGTAATTATCATGACAAGATACATATAATGTTGACCTAAAATGTCCTATGTAGAGCCTGTAAGTAAATAGAACCACAAACAAGGCTACTGTATTTGTCTGTAAATTTGTTCTGATTTTAACAAACCTGTGATGTCACGATTCATTGATTTATCTATTTATTTATCTATTGATTGATTTATCTATTTATTTATCCATTGATTGATTTATCTATTTATTCGCCTGGTTTTACATCTGCTATTACAGATATAGCAGTGCTACCTGGTGTATTAATGTCATGTTTTAACTATCAAGAGGATTGTTGAAATGAACAATAGAAAACATTTACCACTGTCAAGCATCTCAATTCGTTAACAAATCTTCAAGAAAATTCATAATTTCCATTTGAAATAGTAAAATCAGCATCTGTTATAAAATCTAGCGGAAGTATTTGTAGAAATTTTTGTTATTCATTAAAATGAAAACAAATTCAACACTAAATGCCACATGGAAAAATGACACATGGTAAGATTTAAAGGACATTTTTAATGGCTTTGTACAAACATTATTGCTAGTTTCTTACTGAAAACTGTACCTATCATGTGACACTTGTCAGTATTGTCTAGATCACATGCATATGTGGCGACTGGAACATAGGCTGCCCTCGAATCTGGTCCCAACTTGGTATCTGTGACAATGATGTTGTATATTGTGCCCTGACCAGTATAGGATGACATTGTCAAATCAGAAATGGTCGTTGTTTTGTCATCTGTTAGGCTTCTTAGCTGGAACAAAATATTTGACCTAAATTGATGGATTGACCAATCAGTTTAATTGATTTTTGCCCATTTATTTATGTGAGATACTTCAAAGATATCAATCAAAATATAAATGTGAACATGTTTATCAGAGTGAGATAGATATGACCAACAGATACAGCACTCAATATTCTTATATTGCCAAATCATCATATAGTATCACTATATGTGGAATGAGTATAAGAATGTTTGAGGACAGACAACAGACATCATGAAAAATTTATACTAAATACCTGGAATTCATTCAGCTGAGTAAATTTCACCCACACATATGAATTTGTGATGTATTACATACATATTAAAATTTACAACTGATATCGCAAAATATCATCAGCAAGTACAGTTTGTCAATTGAAATCACAAAATTCACACACACAAAGGATGAATGTGTTTACTTACTGTACTACCAATGCAATATACAACCATTTAAATCTTTGCCTCCTAAGATCCAACAATTAAGTGATAATGCTAATATTTAATTTGTCTTCACACACTGAAATCATTTCTTTTTCTGGACTCCCTATTACAGTATACTACAGTGGACCCTTTATAATCCAGACACCTTTATTTGTTCAGTCAGCAGGCTAATGTATTCAGAGTTATCTCCCTTAACCATATTTAAAAAAAAAAGTATGATCAGTGATTTTTGGGATTCTGATATCTGTGTCCTGAACTCATTATCTCCTTGTGGGACTCACTTAAGAACCCACTATATTTCTTAGTATTTGGCCTCATCAAAATTCTGGAAACGATGTTCTACACTCGTCTAAAAAATCCTACAAAAATGAACATGTAATTTACATTTATGGTATGAAGATCATTATAACCTTCAGGTGGGAGATTCATCGATTTCAAATCACATAGAATAGAGTAATTGAAAAAGTAAAGATACACTGTTTTCTCTCAATTCAACTTCATATGCAGAATGTATTCCTGTAATACAGAAATCTGTGTTATGTTTTTTTTCTGTGTTAATTATACGAAAGTATTGAGAGATGGTGACACCAAATTAATTAAATTTCTCTTTTTACATCTACATCATGTATCATTCATATCAAGTATTAACTTGATTTTTTTGTCCTTATTCACTATTAACTTACTTACACGTAGAAGTTGCTCTATAGAATATTGAATAATTCAGAATTAACTATCAAACATTTGAAAATAAGATCAAATGTTTTCTTTACCTTCATTTCATTTGTCCTGTGTATAAGCAATGATCTGGTAGTAGACACTCTAACTACATACAATGACTAGTATTATACTGAACACCTCTGACAGGTAACAAAACAAGTCCTGACTACTGCGATATACCAATATCAAAAGACATTCCATTCCATTATCAAAAGTCTCTCTGAAACCATTATTCTAATTTTCCAACTCAATAGTACAATAACATTATGGTAATCCATTTTCTAACATATGTATCAGGACTGCAAGTTTTCCATGATGACTGGTATCAGATTATTGCAAGAAATATATATATATTCGAAAATGACACTTACCTTCTTACCATTCTTTAACACATCTGCCACAGTCATCATTTTCTGTATTCCTGCAAAGTGTTTCTGCTGAGAGAAATCCCCACCAGGAAGGTAGTAGACATACATGTCATATTGTAGTGGCTTTGACAAGTGTTCACAATCATCAGGGTCAGGGGCCCTAGATCGACTTCTCCCATGACTTGACCACTGGAACCTAGTCAAAGTCTTAGTGGAGTCAAATGTTAGGTGAAAATTCGGATCATTTTCATACTTAAATTCGAAGTTACAGCCACCTGGAATAGGACCTGTAAGTAAAAAAAGATTTTCTTGTATATGTACTTGAAAAGCTTTCTAATGGTGAGTGATCATGTTCTTATTACTTGTGTGGGAATATCACCAGATCTATTCTACAATAAGTCAAGGAATCAACATATTACCTTTAATTGATAGTAGGCAGGTTTGGCTTATTACAGGACAATAACGCATTTGTTGGATTCTATGGGCCTTATAACCGATAGGAGTCGATTTGGGGATTATATGGGAATTTTAGTGATATGGGAATATGAAGACACTACTGGCGTCGGGATGTAAGCATGTTAATGGTATTTGAATATTGGGATATTAAAAGCCATGTTGCAATATTGTATTATAGGGATGATCCTTAGATAGACTGATGTAGATATAACCTGGTTCAGGGTTAAGCATATACGTACATTCTACATATTATACACCTGAAAAAACAACTTACTTTTCAATGTATACCAGATAACAGTCACTAAAGCCTGAACTGTATGATTGTGATTTGACTTTATGTACCAAGACATATCTGTCTGGCCCATTGACAGTACTGTAGTAACACCAACATCAGTTCCTGTTTCTGTGGAGTCAGGAGACAAGGATGGACTCAGAGATAATGCCAAGGCATCCTTGTGGCTGTGTATTTGACACACAATATGAGTTTTGTCATCTGGAATAGACTGAACTGCAAGATTTACTCTGCTGTTGCCTGGTACTGAGATAGAAGATGGGTTCCCTGGCGTCAAATCTAAAAATACATTTATCAAAACAAAAAAACATATATTTGATATATGAAGGTTCATTGATAGCGAATATAGCCTGCACATACATGTATGTTGTGCCATTTGAAATTGTGAAATAAACCCCCATGGAAATGACTACCAATACACTACCATTTCATTATGTCCCCTTGCTCAATTCATTCAATCATAATTCAATAAAATCAAATGAACCTATTCCTACCGCCCTCGCTTTCAAATCATAATAATGTATTTCATCAAATCCAGTGAAATCCTCTGATCCTAGCATATTTAAATTCTGACATTTGAAGAAGCTCGGAACATTCTTGGATTTCCAAAGATGCACTGAGAGTTCAAGTAATCTTCTCTTTAGAATGGATTTTTATCTTCCGAAATCAAACATTTATGTAATGTTAGAGATCTCAAAAATATATTGTCTACTGTTTACACAAATTGATAATCATACAACTACTTAATATTGCCAATGAAAACAATGAAACATTTTTGTCAGATAAAAAAACATAGGCGTGATGTTTCTGTGCTTTACAAACTTTATTTTAATCTTTCAATGTTGTTCACAAACTTAGTTTATGAAATGCATATATAACATTTACATGAAATACATTTACTGTGAATAACCAACTGGTCGGGTTATTTCTGAAAAGAACTTCAACTTTATACGACTTTTAGCCTGGTAGCAGCGTACACACAGTATCAGTCACTGTCGGTTGTAGAGCAAGCTTACCTATTTCTTTTTCTTCGCTTTGACGAAGGCTTCCCGAGACCGAGCAAGTCAAAATCAGGATGATGACAACACCTGCACTGTGTTCCATTCTTTAAACAGTAACTACCACTAGCTTTTCATCATCCCCACACGGCTGATTTACTAACTACATCAAGGATATAAATAAGACGGATATATTGTTTTCTATTTTGACCGGAAGTAATGTGACCTAAGGGAGATAACGCTGTACGGATATTATTAATCACAGTCCGGTACTGTCTGGGTCGCACGGATTGCCTGGTACTGCCCGATACAGTCATGGATATATAATCCTAGATGTGCATGTGACTTGTCCTGGGAAGGTATTGTACAAGCTGTCAAGTTACTACCATGTACAAGTTGATGTTCTACAGAATGTGTGCGTAAATCCTGGGGTATATTGTTCATGGTTGGGTGGGTGATTATAGGTCAGTTTATTGTTAAGATTATCCTATTCAAAATAAATGAGTATATATATCTTTTTTAAAAATAATTTTTACATTTTAAATATTTCCGTTATTTTTGCTTTTATTTTGATTCCCGATAACTCCACTTTGAGATGACTACAGCATAAAACTTTTTCTCAGCTTTAAAATGAAGTATTATTTTTGTTGAAACGTGGGCTAGTGACCGAGCTACACTTTTTTAGGTGTGATTTCTAGCATGAGGCCCACTGTGTAGCTATGGGTTGGTGCTAGCGGCAATACCTTCCCGAGATGGCGGCGCTGCAGACACGTTGCGCCAACAATCGCGGATAAGCCGAGCGGCATCTAGGTTAGATATTTATGGATACAGCCCCACACCGCCTGGTCTTTTAATTTCATGATTTGAAGCGTCCAAAATGCCTCATGTGTAAATATATTCACAAAATTGATATTGTTTCAGCTATTTGAAATAAGTGATATCGCAACAATGCACTCGGATCGTGTTATTTGCGATACCAGCTGCGCCCGAGCTTTCATTTATATTTATGTGTCAAGAAATATGCACTATATACATAACTGTAAATGAAATTAATATCAAAATCCAGAAATGATGAAAAGATATAAAAAAAAAACCCTGACAGAATCATTACCATTTGATATCACCGATATCGCTACAATGCACTCGGATTATATCATTTACAATACCGGCGGTACCACCCACACGTTTAATGTCTATTCACGCATGAATATCGAAGTCCAAAATGGATTACAAAATATTATAGATTGACCGAATTATCTGTTTAAATTATTATAATTTGAAATCACCGACATAGCAATATTGGGACCTCTTGGGCTTTTATTTCTACCCCTGTATTGTTAAATCTGCATTCTATAAATATATAAATATCGTAATACATAAATGGTGAAAAGATATATTATAAACTGATTGTTCGGTTTTTCAATTTTATTCAGATTTAAATAAATAAAATGGATATGAAAATTCAGAAGTAAAAATAAAGGTCTATTGAACTGTATCAATCTCATAAATAATAACAATGATAAAACATTATCATGGGAAAAAATGACCAAAAAAAAATCTTTCTAACAAAACAAAAAACAAAACAAAAATTAAAAAAAATAGGAATCATGGGCATTTGAAATCAGTATGATTGCAACAAGGGATTGGATCGTGCTATTTGCTATGTCGGGACCGCCATGGGTTTCTTTCTATCCTTGTATCCATTATATTAACAACATGAACACAATGATAATGAAATCATGGATATCACAACGATACGTTTGGGTTGTTATTTACAATTACGACCTTCCGGCCTTTTGATTTTACTCCCGTATCTATTTAACTTTTATGTATTACAACTGGAATATTCATATGTACAAATCAAGAAATGACGAAAGTCATATAACAGCGACGGCGAACGGAGCGCCATCAGAAGGAAATGACTTCACTTGTTACAACCGGCCGTAGTTCATGCGATAAATGTATGCGTTCCTCAAAGATCAATTCTGGAGTCACTTCTTTTCGCAATCTATATTAATTATATCGTTGAAAACATTCAAGTAACAATAAAGTTGTTTGCAGATGACACTTTTAAAAGTTTCTCGCATTTTACAAAACGACCTCTTCTTGATTAAAGAATGGTCTTCTATTTGGATGGTTGATTTTAACCCTGATAAAACGGAGTGTCTCGTAGCGAGTAAAAAAGTAAAAAAGTAAAAAAAAAACCTCCTCATCCGGTTCTCCATTTAAAAAAAGCACTTTTTTTCTAGTGTTACTTCTCGCCAACACATTGGTGTTACTATCTCTGACAAAGCTGATTGGAAACATCACGTCGACATTATTGTTGAACTTGAAGCTATTAGAATAAAATGTGGAGACACTAAACTAGGTAGTCATGATTCCCTTTACCAGGAAACTGGAATTGTGTCATTGTCTGAAAGGAGACGTAAACATAAACTTATCCAGCTTCAGGCCCTGACTGACACTTATTATCAGATATACTACCCAATCGAATTAATTGTATGATCATAATGTCTGCCAATCTTAAAATATTGCTAGTACACAGGCTAGAACCCCAATCTTTAATTAACTCTTTCTTTACCCGTACTATAAACTTACAGAGTAAATTGTCTCCTAATACAAAAAGGAGAATCCTTCCATTTCATTTCTGAAATTACGTCTACATCCTGGAAAATTTAATGTTCCCACAAACTACTTAAGTGGCATTCGTCAATATATTAATTTTATGTACAAACATGTCCATATAGCATACTGCACAGTCAATATATTAATTCTATTACAAACATGTCCTTAGACCTTCTTAACTATGATTCATTGTGTATCGAAGCAGAAACTGCTGATATATATAAAACTATTCAATCATTCATTGTTAAAAAGTAAACGCTTTGATTCTTTGATACTAATTCTCATATACAATTATTTTACAGTTGTCACTTCTTTACGAGGTTAAATAGTGTAATGTACTTTGTATATTAATTCAATAAATCTATTCGACACCACTACTAACCTTCTCTATCCTCTCCCCTCCCTTTTCTTTATCTCTCCACCCCTTCTATATACCATATCATTTTCTCCTGTTTAACCGAATCATTGCTAACTTTTTAATATTACTACTTAATTAATTGCTATCACTACATATATGTAGTATTACTATGTTGCCTAATATTACGACATTGTTACAAATTCTCTGTTGATTTATACAACATGTTGCCTACGGACTGGGTGTTGAGCCCTATACGTACGTCATGTATCTGTCACTCAGTATAACATCAGTTCTGTGTGTTATGCCTTTTTCTAAGAGAAGACGGATTAATAAAAGTACGCAGGTATTTCTTTCTGAATTCTCTCTTCATTGGTCTTTATATAATGTTGTATATGTTTATTTCAACTAATAAAATACTGATAAAACCAATGCACCTTGTTACATGTAAATACCCCAGTGTGAATACAATGTCCCATAGTGCAATAACCGCTCCACTTCAATGGATCGATTGTATAACAGCATCCATACGCCCCTGTCCATGCCGCGATACATGTATTGAACAGGCTGTGAACACAGTTAAAAAATAGACAATATCTAACAATTTCCGTCCTCAATCAAGATTACAAATTCCGCCTACAATCATTGATAAGAAGTAATGTTGGGACCTTCGAACATAGATTACCATACTGACATTTTATTGATACGTGTAGGGAGAGCATTTCGCCTTGTAGCCTACATAATTTATGATGTAATAAAGTTTTTATAAAATGTGATAAATGTTACTTTCACTTTATTTAAGGTTGTTTTATCTATAACCGTTATAAGCATCTTTCGAACTACACCGACGCTTCGCATTGTAAGTTATCATTACCCTATTGCGTGCCCACATATACGAGTTGGAGATAGGACAATGACGGGACATACGAACTAAGGACTGTCACATGATAAGACAACTTCGGTCTGACGTGATATTTCTCCAGGTTGGATCCAATAATAATAATGACATATGTCTTTCTAGAACAGCCAAGAGTGTGGTCACGGAGCTGATTGAACTGGCAACCTACCTTCGGCAGTTGGAGTTCCACAAATGTTGTAGGGTCCCTTTTCACCGATTAAATACAAAAACAACACCATAGACAAGATCGACTATCTTAAAGCAGTCCAGAGGTAGTGATCAGGATGATTTCCATTTTTTAATCATGACTTTATGAAGAACAGTCTTCTTTTGTGAAAACGGGGTTCATCTGAAAAGAATTCAGTTAAGTGATAACTTCTGGATAAAACAAAAAGGCTCTTTTTAGGGCCACCATTTCTCCCAAAACAGTCCGTTTGACGCTCTAATTACGCTTCCCGCCACTTATCCCTTTCTCAGCAGTAGTTTAAGTTCATTTCTAATTCGAAACACTATACAAAGAACGTTAATTATCATCTGAAATTAGTACAAATCCACGTGAATATTTGCAGTTTAATTCAATTAAAGTTATTATCACTAACAAAAATCGACGCAAAAAATGTTATATAACTGACAAATGATTAAACCTGGTATTGAGATCACATGAATTTAAAATGATTATATTTTTTTCAATTTTGATAGTTTTTCGCCATTACAATTGATTTTTATATCATTGTTGTTAATATCCGTCCAAACAATTCATATTAATTTAAGTTAGGTTCTCAACCCTAACTTTATCAACTAGAAGAACCACCATTTAAGACCACTCTCTGTGTCCTGTTGGAAAGATATTTTTCGAACGCAATTAATATAGATTTCCACGAATTCCTACTGAAGAAAGTTTTCATATAAGACCGCTATGCCACACGCGGTCAAATGCCTTATTTACATCACAAAAAACGCTATTATCTCTTTACCATTGTCAGTAGCTTTACCTGTGTCGTGAGATGTACCTAACTATTGGTTTACCGTAAAGTCACCTGCTACAGAACCAAATGGGTGACTTGTAATAACATTATTAGTAATAAGAAAATTATAGACACAGTTTTCATCAATTTTCCAGATTCACACAATAATGATATTAGGAGTTTATTCTTAATATTACTATTAGTTTTTGTAAACAGGAGTAACATTACCTTTTCCACAATTAATTGATAAAGATTTGTTAAATAACATTAATAGAGGATAACAAAGGATGTGTGATACTGCTTTGAGTAGGCATGGACACATGAGACCAGGACCAACTGCTTTGAGTAGGCT